GAAACCCTTCAAGTGCAGTGTGTGTGGGAAGGCATTTTTACAGTTGCAACAAATTGCACAACACCAGAGAACACACACCGGAGAGAAACCCTTCAAGTGCAGTGTGTGTGGGAAGGCATTTTCACAGTTACAACATCTTGCACGACACCAGAGAACACACACAGGAGAGAAACCCTTTAAGTGCAGTGTGTGTGGGAAGGCATTTTCAGAGTCAAGTGATCTTGCAAAACACCAGGGAACACACACAGGAGAGAAACCCTTCAAGTGCAGTGTGTGTGGGAAGGCATTTTCAGAGTCAAGTGATCTTGCAAAACACCAGAGAACACACACAGGAGAGAAACCCTTCAAGTGCAGTGTGTGTGGGAAGGCATTTTCATACTCATCTGTTCTTGCAAGACACCAGAGAACACACACAGGAGAGAAACCCTTCAGGTGCACTCTGTGCGGGAAGGCGTTTGCACGTTCACAACATCTTCAAGAACACCAGAGAACACAGAAGCATCAGAAGATCCACAAGGAGTGGAGTCTGAAATCAGCTTGTGAAAGTCAAAGTGCCGTAAGGAGCCCATCCCTCATGAAACAAGTACCGGAAGAAAATCCCAGTTTGGGCACTTTAAAAGGTATCAAGGCGGAATTTTAAGAGGTGATTGTGAAATGTGAAGAGGTGACGTTGAAGAGCGAAGAAGTGAAGGTAAAATGTGAAGATAAAAATTCGACTCCAGAATGGGACCTTCACATCGGTGGAGGCAACGTGAAGCAAGAGGGGAATTCTGACTGTAAGGCAGAGCGAGGCAACTCACAGCAGTTTGTGGAAGTGGAGGTGTGGGTGGACTTCCTAGACAATATAAAGTCAAATGGAGACCCGGTAGATGTGTAAGCTTGAGACGATGTCGCTTCCAATAGATGCACCTTTGTCACAGGCCTTTAATGAAAATAACGTGAAGTAGAACATTGAAATCTTAGGTTCAACCTGCAGGGTAAGAGCGGCCAGTCTTGGTGGATCTGTTGGTTGGGTAGATATCTCACCAGGAGCTTCGGTGTTTACCACTGAACCCTATGGGAGCCTTCATCTGGCTCTTGTGAGCCTCAGCGATTCACACTGAAGCCTATGGGAGCCTTAGTCTTGCTCTGTGAGCCTCGGTAATTAACAATGAACGCGATGGATGGGAGCCAGTGACATGGCGTGAGGTCAGTGGCTGGGGAGGCACTGGGGGCGTGGCCTCACCGGTGTGTCTGACACGCCCACCCCCCTCAGTGAGGCAGATGTGATAGCTGCCTCCCCTGGTGCTTTTTCATTGCAGTTTCATGACGAGACCAGCGAGCCTACGTATCTTTATGCACATACAGTAGAACCTCTGGTCGCGAATGCTTCTGACCACGACCAAATTGGGTTTCGACCAAAACATTTACAACAGTTTATTTAATCTGGTCACGAACACATACTCGGGTGGAGATCAAACAGGGCCGCGGCCGATTTCTCCTTCCGCGCCATTTTTGTTGTTGAATTACACAAAGCGTAACAGTTATGTATATATCTTTTGTAATATAAAATTCCTAGTAAGATATGTATACATTTTGTAAGTGTAGTCATACCCCTCCTTCCTCATTCAAGCCATAGTTTAGAGAGCGAAAGCGCTGAGTACGTCAATCGCTAACATAAGAACCCGTTAATCTCTTCTCGCATTAATACGATGATGCGGTGAAGTAAACGTTCATACGATATTACGGTGAATGCTTCCAAAAACAATACTGTACTCAAATATTACTGTTATCTTTCAATAGAAACATAAATTGCTCATACGAATATGCTCTCTCAGAATCGACCGACTGATGTAGCAGACGAAACAGTAATCTTGTTGAACAATTCTAAACCTTGTCAGTTTTCTCTGTTTTTCAAGGTTTTCTCAGTGTTATGCAATGTTTTTACATTTAGTTTACTATTACATTGAATTCTATGGCATAATTAACTATTTTTGTCCTTAAAAATATTTTAAAAACTTTATATACAGTTCGTAGGAGTCTGGAATGGATTAATCGTATTAACATACAATCCAATGGGGAAATTAGGTTTGAGTCACGACCAAATCGGGTTGCGACCAAAGTTATGGAACGAATTATGGTCGTGACCAGAGGTTCTACTGTACTTGAACTCAGTTACCTGGACTATGGAAGGCGAGGACATGCAATGAAGGGGTCTACAAACATTCTATTGGTGACATGCTGAGATAGTAACAGGCAAGCCCTTACTGCCCGCGGTCCATCCAGTGTCTGAGGGGAGGCTGAGCGTGTCGCTGCCTCACCTCTCGTCTCTCCCTGTACTTGCAGCGAAGCTCCGCAAATTTGGCGATTTTGACTATAAATAAATAATTAAGAAAAACACTTGCTTTTTCATACGTGCTTTTATGAAATGTACTAGTAATGGCAGAACTCCACGACTCCAGGAAATGGCCCCGAAGCTTGCCATAACGTAAGGGACAGTGGCCAATTATAGCCAACGTCAGTTGACTGTGGGGACAATTAGACCGAAACATAACATAAAAAAGAATGTTTAAAAATATATTTTTTTAAATGATAGAATATAGTATTGTCATCAGTATGACATAAGTATACCAAGTTTGCAGTCGATACCACATTCGGAAGTTGGTTAAAATTGAGTTACAAGATTTGAGAATACGACAAAAACGACAACAGACAGTTAAAATTAAATATTTTAAAATACTTTTTTTAAAAACACGCTTTAATGAAATGTACTGTCCGAGCTGCCCCTGCCCCCTTCTCTCATCGCTCCTCTTCCACATGCCCCGGCCCTGGGCGTGGCTCCCCAAGGCTTGCCGTGACGTAAGGGACCGCGGTGATTTACAGGCAACGTCAGTTGAACGTGGACAATTAGAGCCGTAAATAAGATTGTAAAAAAATATTTATTTATTTTTAAAGATAAAATATGGTATTGTCATCAGTATGACACACCTATACGAATTTTGCATTCGATACATTGGGAATACGGTTGAAATTGAGTTACAAGATTTTTGGATACAACACATACAGTAAATTTAAATAAAAGCGTGTTAAATGTAAAAAAAAATCTATGTTATGGATTTTGTATGATATAATATCGTGTTGTCATCAATATGACATCGCTATACCAAGTTTGCAGTCGATAGCACATTGGGAAGTGTGTAAAATTTGAGTTAGAAGATTTCGTTTTTGAGGATACAACAGACGAAGTGAGTTAAATAGAAGCGTGTAAAAATGATTGGAATCATCTTCTTGGTTCTTTCGGTAAAGTCACGTAGAAGGGAAATAATAAAAATAAAACTTTTTAAAATAATTCTCACGACGTTTCGGCCACAACGCAAGCAGCCGTCCTCAGGTGACAGACCTGCTTGCGTTTTGGCCGAAACGTGAGAATTTTATTTTAGTATGTTTTATTTATTTATTGTTTTATTATTTCCTTTTTACGTGACTTTACCGAAAGAACCAAGAAGATGAATCCCTGCAGTCACGAAAACTTTAAATCGAAAATGATTGGAATCGTACAGAAATGACATAACACCCAATTTCAAAGCAGATGCGGTCCACCCTTCTGAAACGCCCTGTAATTTACGAGTTTTGAATTATTGTAACCAAACACAATAAACCAGACACGTGAATTTGTGAACTTTCACGGCAACGTGTGTCGAGACCTTTAATCTGTGTAATCGGCCACGTGTTGTGTGTGTACATACAAAGACAAAGATCCCCCCCGGTATAGCCTTCACAGACTATTGGGGCAAGTGCTGTTAGCGGGTGGCGATATTCGCACACCGCACCGGGTACGCATTTGAGGCTGAGTCGATGTAGGGGCGGCTCAGGACCGGTTAAAAAAATCATCTCCACTGGTTATGGGGGCCGTCCATAAATGAGGTCACGCGATTTTGGACGATTTTTGACCCCCCCACCCGCGTCACACGGCGTCACAAAAAGTCAAACCCCCTCAAATATGACGTCACACAGCTCTGCCCCCCAAATAAAATATAACACGCTTCAAATTGCTTTAAACTATTGTCATTGTAGTGCGTATTTAATGTGGCGCTGCATTCTGATGTTGTAGGAGAAAACATTTATTAAAAAGTCTATTTAATTAAGTAGAACGTGTTGTCTATATGTATTTAAAGTTGCGCATTTTGATGTGACGTCACATTTCTCAACCCCCACCCCCCTGGTCTCCTTTTGAATAAATGTTTTCTTCTACAACATCAGAGTGCAGCGCCACATTAAATACGCACTACAATGACAATAGTTTATAGCGATTTGAAGCGTGTTTTTTTTTAAGGGGGGGGGGAGTAGAGCTTTGTGACGTCATATTTGAGGGGGGTCTGACTTTTTGTGACGCCGTGACGTCATTTATGGACGGCCTCTGGACGCAAAACTTGAACTCTGACCCCGCTCTCTGACGTCACCACTAAGCATTACCTCATCGGCGTGAAACGCCACGGGGGGGGCGGTGCGCCTCGCTAGAGACGTGATGTCACCCCTGCTTGGTCACCGCCGATGTCCGTTCCGGTACAATCCTTATTTGGGCAAAGCTACGCCCAGTGACTGGCGGCTCATTAACATAATCTAGGATCTCAGCTTTGGTGACTGCAGGAATTGCTCATTGGTTATTTCGGTAAAGAAATGAAATACAATTAACATAATATATTCGTTAAAAGCCGTCGCGAGTTTGTTTTTTATTGCGACGGGTTCAGCACCCACGCCCCATCATCCCTCGACGTGTGACTTTACCGAAAGAGCCAATGAGTGTACAACGAGTTGAGTCATTCCTGCAGTTGACGAAAGATTCAATTCTCGAATAAGTTATTCAGTTACCCAGCACCGCTCGTTGGGGGCGTGTCTTGTACCCCGGAAGTGAATTTTACGTCACATCCTGCTGCCGCCATAACGTAGCGAGGTTACGACAAGCTGCCGATGAAATCTGAGGTGAGAGATTTTCATCGTGGTGGTTGTTGTTGTTGTGGTGGTTGTTGTGGTTGTTGTTTACCCAGGTAGAGCCTCTCTCTCGTAGGGATGTCAATTGAGTCACAGCGAGTATGGGAATCCATGTCAAGGTTGGGACATTACAACGCGGGGCCTAGCCACGCGGGGCCTCGCCTCCTGCCCTCGCCTGAAGGCCTTTGTTTGAATTCTCTCGCTTCAACTTGATCTGGAAGCTTTCGTGACGGCAGCAGAAATACAATAAATGAAGAAACAACCAATTTAATTTAGTTGTTTTTTCAAATTTTAGTTGTTTTTTCATAATATTTTTTAAATACAAATTTAGTTTCGTAAAAAATGAAAAAACTATTTCGTTTCATTTATTTTAGTTGTTTATTCATAATATTTTATTTTTCATCAAAAATGTTTTTAACAAAATAAAAAAAACTAATTTTATTTAGTTGTTTCATTTTATTGTTTTACCTACGTGACTTTACCGAAATAAACATAGAATTATCTCGTTTAAACTTGATCTGGAGCTTCGTGAGTGCAGGGATCCATACTATTTGGTTCTTTAGGTAAAGTCACGTAGAAAAAAAACATTAATTAAGTAATAGCATACGACGTTTCCTTTGCGACACGAGCAACCACCATCAGGTACAAATGAATGAGAAAACAAAGCTTGTAAACTTAGAACTATATTTTTTGGTTCTTTGCAATACAACACAACACAGCGAGTCGGCTAACATTACAGTCAACACCCCACCTGGTTGATTAACGTTCTTCCAAAGATTGCTAAATTTGAGAGAACTAAACACAGACACGGAGACACACAGACACACAAGCAGAGAGAGACACCGACACACAGAGAGAGACACACATAAGCAGAGAGAGATGAGACAGAGAGAGACACATAGGCATTACAGAGAGATACACACACAGAGAGAGATAACACAAAGACACAGAGACACACACATAGACACAGATAGAGACACGATGAGAGATAGAGACACACACATAGGCTCACAGAGAGATAACAAAGAGACAGAGACACACATAGACACACACACAAAGGCACACAGAGCGAGACATACACATAGGCACACAGAGAGACACACATAGGCACAGAGAGAGAGAGAGACAAACACACAGAGATAACACAGAGAGAGAGACACACACATAGGCACACACAGAAACAACACCTCTGTGTCGAGGCCTTAAATAGAGAGAGAGGGGGGCAGAGAGAGACGGGGGGGGGTAGAGAAATGAGCATGGCAATGAGAGATTTGGAGCTTTCGTGACTGCAGGAAATGTAACCAAGCCAAGCCCGCTTGAGCTGCTGTACCGTTCTTATGATTTGAAGCTTTCGTGAGTGCAGGAATCCATACTCTTTGGTTCTTTCGGTAGAGTCACGTAGGTCAGAAAATAAAATAAATCACGACGTTTCGTGCGAAAAGCGTCCGCTCTTGTTTTCAGACGCGACCTGCCCACACAACAAAGGTGGGCTTTGTCAACGTGTGGAAATGACTATCGGTCAAAGGCTCTAAACGCGTGCTGATGTTCACTCTTAAATGTGGAGTTGCATCCGGAGGAAAATCCACGCCACCACGGAGAGAGAGGGAGACACGCAAACTCGGTTATGTTGATTTGATCCTCAATTATTTGGTGGAGTGAGTAAGCATTGAAAACGTTTGGTTTAGCCATGTTTGTTTGTGGTAGTACAGAGTTAGACTGATACCTTTAATCTAAGTTGTCTTATGGTTGTTATTGTTTGACTTGCATCCCACTGGGATTTTTGCACACAGCGTTGAAATACGGTGTTTTTTCTGTTGTTTTTTCCTGGATTTTTCTGTTGTGTGTAGTCACTTTAAGATGTTTCTTGTTCATGTTTTTGTTTGTTGCAGTTGCCCCCGAGTCAAGAGCCGCATGGCTCACGGGGTTATCTATATATAAAAGGGAAATTTGTGAATGTGTATCTGTTCTAAATGTTTAGCATACTTTCCGACATGCAACAAACTTTAAATTTGGCATGTGGGTAGCTTCCAGATTGTACACAATGCAAAAAGTATAAAAATTGACTTTTGCATTTTTGTGGGGTGGGGGGGCGCAATAATGGATATATTTAGCACGGCAAGTGAGCGGTGACCTCACGTCTGTGATGTCACCCTCATGCGGCTGCGTCACGCAGTGTGCTTGCTGACGTCACGCACCCCCCACCCTCCGCGTAGGCCGTGGATTCATTCAAGACAAGAATCCAAGTCTCGGGCTAAGCCAGGTAGTAAAGCTAGTACCTAATAAATGAAACTGAAACATTAATACTGAGCAGATGAAGGTGTGTGGCCAGGCATGGTTCTGGACACGCCACCACCTGTTTAACGCGGCAGTGTGTGGCAGTGTCAAGTTTGTGTTTGCAGTGAAGTCTATTAACTCTATTGAACATGGAGGATATATGAAAACAATGGTTTATGTTTTTTATTTTCATCTGGAACTCTTTATGAGAATGAAAGCAGTCAGGAAGTTGACACAGCACACATACAGCTGACGTTAGATCTGTTCATCCCAGCATTCAAAGAAACCTGAGCCTGGCTTCACACCTCTAAGTTGCGATTGAACATGAATTTATGCATAACACAAGTATTATTTTCAACACCCTTTGCTATGTCAGCTGAATTTAGCTCTTATGAATATTCATTTTGTAGCCAGACAGCCAAAATTGTGTGCTTGGAGTTTTGGGTTAACATTCATTTTGAAGATACGAGGGCTTCCAGGAATGTTTATGACCATTTGCCCTCTCATAGTGCGCCATAACAGCCCGTGTGATGAATTTCGGTAACTTTTAACTCTATCATGAATATATTAATACGTATAGACGTGTTAGTCATGTGTGACTGTATTTATATATACTCTTTGGTTCTTTCGGTAAAGTCACGTAGGTAGAAATAAAATAAGTAAAATTTTAAAAAACTTTTAAGAACACGCTTTTATGAAATGTACTTGTAATGGAAGAACTCCACGACTCCAGGAAGTGGCCCTGAGGCTTGCCGTAACACAAGCGACCGTGGTCAATTACACCCAACGTCAGTTTACCGTGGACAATTAGACCCAAGCCGAAACATAACATGTAAAAAAGATTGTTTAAATGTTTTTTATTTAATGATAGAATATAGTATTGTCATCAGTATGGCGTAAGTATACCAAGTTTGCAGTCGATATCACATTGGGAAGTGGGTTAAAATTGAGTTACAAGATTTGAGGATACAACGACAACAATGACAACAACAACAGACAGTGAGTTAAATGAAAGCGTTTATTAAAATAAATCACAGCAGACATCTCAGCTATCGCAATTTTCACCCGAAGACGAACGCTTGTGTTGCGTTCGAAACGTCATTTATGTTAATTCTACCTACGTGACTTTACCGAAAGAACCATAGAGTATGGATTCCTGCAGTCATGAAAGCTTCAAATCAAGATTGTGTACTTATATATGCGTATATTCATTCCTCTGTGCCTTGATACTGACGTGTAGATGCTATTTTCTGTCTGCAGCTGTCGCTTCCTCTGACGCTTCCTCTGCAGAATTGGTCTGATGGAGCACAGGCAGTCAGCACGGCTCGGTACGGCAAGGCAACAATCCGACCAGCGTGCATACAGCACGGATCGGACTGAAATTTTGACACAGCATCAGAAAAAACACACGGGAGAAAAACCCTTCAAGTGCACTCGGTGTGAGATGGCGTTTGCAGATTCATCAACTCTTCAAAGACACCAGAGAAAACACACGGGAGAGAAACCCTTCAAGTGCATTGTGTGTGGGAAGGCATTTTCACAGTCATCTAATCTTGCAAAACACAAGAGAACACACACAGGAGAGAAATCCTTCAAGTGCAGTGTGTGTGGGAAGGCATTTTCACAGTCACAATATCTTGCACGACACCAGAGAACACACACAGGAGAGAAACCCTTCAAGTGCAGTGTGTGTGGGAAGGCATTTTTACGGTCACAACATCTTGCAATACACCAGAGAACACACACAGGAGAGAAACCCTTCAAGTGCACTCTGTGTGGGAAGGCATTTTCACAGTCATATGATCTTGCAAAACACCAGAGAACTCACACAGGAGAGAAACCCTTCAAGTGCAGTGTGTGTGGGAAGGCGTTTGCAGGTCCATCAAATTGTCAAATACACCAGAGAACACACACAGGAGAGAAACCCTTCAAGTGCAGTGTGTGTGGCAAGGCATTTTCACAGTCATCTGATCTTGCAATACACCAGAGAACACACACAGGAGAGAAACCCTTCAAGTGCAGAGTGTGTGGGAAGGCATTTTCACAGTCCTCAAATCTTGCAAAACACCGGAGAACACACACAGGAGAGAAACCCTTCAAGTGCAGTGTGTGTGGGAAGGCATTTTTACAGTTGCAACAAATTGCACAACACCAGAGAACACACACCGGAGAGAAACCCTTCAAGTGCAGTGTGTGTGGGAAGGCATTTTCACAGTTACAACATCTTGCACGACACCAGAGAACACACACAGGAGAGAAACCCTTTAAGTGCAGTGTGTGTGGGAAGGCATTTTCACAGTCCTCAAATCTTGCAACACACCGGAGAACACACACAGGAGAGAAACCCTTCAAGTGCAGTGTGTGTGGGAAGGCTATTTCACAGTCCTCAAATCTTGCAACACACCAGAGAACACACACAGGAGAGAAACCCTTCAGGTGCACTCTGTGCGGGAAGGCGTTTGCACGTTCACAACATCTTCAAGAACACCAGAGAACACAGAAGCATCAGAAGATCCACAAGGAGTGGAGTCTGAAATCAGCTTGTGAAAGTCAAAGTGCCGTAAGGAGCCCATCCCTCATGAAACAAGTACCGGAAGAAAATCCCAGCTTGGGCACTTTGAAAGGTATCAAGGTGAAATTTGAAGAGGTGATTGTGAAATGTGAAGAGGTGACGTTGAAGAGCGAAGAAGTGAAGGTAAAATGTGAAGATGAAAATTCGACTCCAGAATGGGACCTTCACATCGGTGGAGGCAACGTGAAGCAAGAGGGGAATTCTGACTGTGAGGCAGAGCGAGGCAACTCACAGCAGTTTGTGGAAGTGGAGGTGTGGGTGGACTTCCTCGACAATATAAAGTCAAATGGAGACTCGGTAGATGTGTAAGCTTGAGACGATGTCGCTCCCAATAGATGCACCTTTGTCACAGGCCTTTAATGAAAATAATGTGAAGTAGAACATTGAAATCTTAGGTTCAACCTGTAGGGTAAGAACGGCCAGTCTTGGTGGATCTGTTGGTTGGGTAGATATCTCACCAGGAGCATCGGTGTTTCACACTGAACCCTATGGGAGCCTTCATCTGGCTCTTGTGAGCCTCAGTGATTCACACTGAAGCCTATGGGACCCTTTGTCTGGGTCTGTGAGCCTCAGTGATTCACACTGAAGCCTATGGGAGCCTTAGTCTGGTGCTGTGAGCCTCAGTGATTAACACTGAACCCTATGGGAGCCTTAGTCTTGCTCTGTGAGCCTCGGTAATTAACACTGAACGCGATGGATGGGAGCCAGTGACATGGCGTGAGGTCAGTGGCTGGGGAGGCACCGGGGGCGTGGCCTCACCGAGGGGGGGGGTGTCTGACACGCCCCCCCCTCAGTGAGGCAGATGTGATAGCTGCCTCCCCTGGTGCTTTTTCATTGGAGTTTCATGACGAGACCAGCGAGCCTACGTATCTTTATGCACATACAGTAGAACCTCTGGTCACGAATGCTTCTGACCACGACCAAATTGGGTTTCGACCAAAACATTTACAACAGTTTATTTAATCTGGTCACGAACACATACTCGGGTGGCGATCAAACACGGCCGCTTTCCCCTTCCGCGCCATTTTTGTTGTTGAATTACACAAAGCGTAACAGTTATGTATATATATTTTGCTATATAAAATTCCTAGTAAGATATGTATACATTTTGTAAGTGTAGTCATACCCGTCCCCCCTCATTCAAGCCATAATTTAGAGAGCGAAAACGCTGAGTACGTAAATCGCTAACATAAGAACCCGTTAATCTCTTCTCGCATCATTCATACGATGATGCGGTGAAGTAAACGTTCATACGATATTACGGTGAATGCTTCCAAAAACAATACTGTACCCAGTAATTACTGTTAACTTTCAATAGAAACATGAATTGCTCATACGAATATTCTCTTCCAGAATCGACCGACTGATGTAGCAGACGAAACAGTAATCTTGTTGAATGATTCTACACCTTGACGCGGCAATGTTAGTTTTCTCTGTTCAAGGTTTTCTCAGTGTTATGCAATGTTTTTACATTTAGTTTCCTATTACACTGAATTCTATGGCATAATTAACTATTTTTGTGCTTAAAAATCTTTTTAAAACTCTATATACAGTTTGTAGGAGTCTGGAACGGATTAATCGTACTTACATACAATCCAATGGGGAAATTAAGTTTGAGTCATGACCAAATCAGGTTGCGACCAAAGTTATGGAACGAATTATGGTCATGACCAGACATTCTACTGTACTTGAACTCAGTTACCTGGACTATGGAAGGCGAGGACATGTAATGAAGGGGTCTACACACATTCCATTGGTGACATGCTGAGATAGTAACAGGCACACCCTTACTGCCCGAGTTCCATCCAGTGTCTGAGGGGTTGCGCAATCGGAGGGGAGGCTGAGCGCGTCGCTGCCTCACCTCTCGTCTCTCCCTGTACTTGCAGCGAAGCTCCGCAAATTTGGCGATTTTGACTATAAATAAATAATTAAGAAAAACACTTGTTTTTTCATACGTGCTTTTATGAAATGTACTAGTAATGGCAGAACTCCACGACTCCAGGAAATGGCCCCGAAGCTTGCCATAACGTAAGGGACAGTGGCCAATTATAGCCAACGTCAGTTGACTGTGGGGACAATTAGACCGAAACATAATATATAAAAAAGAATGTTTAAAAATATATTTTTTTTAATGATAGAATATAGTATTGTCATCAGTATATGACATAAGTATACCAAGTTTGCAGTCGATACCACATTGGGAAGTTGGTTAAAATTGAGTTACAAGATTTGAGAATACGACAAAAACGACAACAGACAGTTAAAATAAAATATTTTAAAATACTTTTTTTAAAAACACGCTTTAATGAAATGTACTGTCCGAGCTGCCCCTGCCCCCTTCTCTCATCGCTCCTCTTCCACATGCCCCTGGGCGTGGCTCCCCAAGGCTTGCCGTGACGTAAGGGACCGCGGTGATTTACAGGCAACGTCAGGTTGAGCGTTGACAATTATAGCCGTAAAAAAGATTGTAAAAAAATATTTATTTATTTTTAATGATAAAATATGGTATTGTCATCAGTATGACACACCTCTACGAATTTTGCATTCGATACATTGGGAATACGGTTGAAATTGAGTTACAAGATTTTTGGATACAACACATACAGTAAATTTAAATAAAAGCGTGTTAAATGTAAAAAAAAATCTATGTTATGGATTTTGTATGATATAATATCGTGTTGTCATCAATATGACATCGCTATACCAAGTTTGCAGTCGATAGCACATTGGGAAGTGTGTAAAATTTGAGTTAGAAGATTTCGTTTTTGAGGATACAACAGGCGAAGTGAGTTAAATAGAAGCGTGTAAAAATGATTGGAATCATCTTCTTGGTTCTTTCGGTAAAGTCACGTAGAAGGGAAATAATAAAAATAAAACTTTTTTAAATAATTCTCACGACGTTTCGGCCACAACGCAAGCAGCCGTCCTAAGGTGACAGACCTGCTTGCGTTTTGGCCGAAACGTGAGAATTTTATTTTAGTATGTTTTATTTATTTATTGTTTTATTATTTCCCTTTTACGTGACTTTACCGAAAGAACCAAGAAGATGAATCCCTGCAGTCACGAAAACTTTAAATCGAAAATGATTGGAATCGTACAGAAATGACATAACACCCAATTTCAAAGCAGATGCGGTCCACCCTTCTGAAACGCCCTGTAATTTACGAGTTTTGAATTATTGTAACCAAACACAATAAACCAGACACGTGAATTTGTGAACTTTCACGGCAACGTGTGTCGAGACCTTTAATCTGTGTAATCGGCCACGTGTGTGTGTACATACAAAGACAAAGATCCCCCCCGGTATAGCCTTCACAGACTATTGGGGCAAGTGCTGTTAGCGGGTGGCGATATTCGCACACCGCACCGGGTACGCATTTGAGGCTGAGTCGATGTAGGGGCGGCTCAGGACCGGTTAAAAAAATCATCTCCACTGGTTATGGGGGCCGTCCATAAATGAGGTCACGCGATTTTGGACGATTTTTGACCCCCCCACCCGCGTCACACGGCGTCACAAAAAGTCAAACCCCCTCAAATATGACGTCACACAGCTCTGCCCCCCAAATAAAATATAACACGCTTCAAATTGCTTTAAACTATTGTCATTGTAGTGCGTATTTAATGTGGCGCTGCATTCTGATGTTGTAGGAGAAAACATTTATTAAAAAGTCTAATTAAGTAGAACGTGTTGTCTATATGTATTTAAAGTTGCGCATTTTGATGTGACGTCACATTTCTCAACCCCCACCCCCCTGGTCTCCTTTTGAATAAATGTTTTCTTCTACAACATCAGAGTGCAGCGCCACATTAAATACGCACTACAATGACAATAGTTTAAAGCGATTTGAAGCGTGTTTTTTTTGAAGGGGGGGGGGGTAGAGCTTTGTGACGTCATATTTGAGGGGGGTCTGACTTTTTGTGACGCCGTGTGACGAGGGGGGGAGGGGGATCAAAAATCGTCCAAAATCGCGTGACGTCATTTATGGACGGCCTCTGGACGCAAAACTTGAACTCTGACCCCGCTCTCTGACGTCACCACTAAGCATTACCTCATCGGCGTGAAACGCCACGGGGGGGGCGGTGCGCCTCGCTAGTGACGTCATGTCACCCCTGCTTGGTCACCGTCGATGTCTGTTCCCGTACAATCCTTATTTGGGCAAAGCTACGCCCAGTGACTGGCGGCTCATTAACATAATCTAGGATCTAAGCTTTGGTGACTGCAGGAATTGCTCATTGGTTATTTCGGTAAAGAAATGAAATACAATTAACATAATATATTCGTTAAAAGCCGTCGCGAGTTTGTTTTTTATTGCGACGGGTTCAGCACCCACGCCCCATCATCCCTCGACGTGTGACTTTACCGAAAGAGCCAATGAGTGTACAATGAGTTGAGTCATTCCTGCAGTTGACGAAAGATTCAATTCTCGAATAAGTTATTCAGTTACCCAGCACCGCTCGTTGGGGGCGTGTCTTGTACCCCGGAAGTGAATATTACGTCACATCCTGCTGCCGCCTTAACGTAGCGAGGTTACGACAAGCTGCCGATGAAATCTGAGGTGAGAGATTTTCATCGTGGTGGTTGTTGTTGTTGTGGTGGTTGTTGTGGTTGTGGTGGTTGTTGTGGTTGTTGTTTACCCAGGTAGAGCCTCTCTCTCGTAGGGATGTCAATTGAGTCGCAGCGAGTATGGGAATCCATGTCAAGGTTGGGACATTACAACGCGGGGCCTAGCCACGCGGGGCCTCGCCTCCTGCCCTCGCCTGAAGGCCTTTGTTTGAATTCTCTCGCTTCAACTTGATCTGGAAGCTTTCGTGACGGCAGCAGAAATACAATAAATGAAGAAACAACCAATTTAATTTAGTTGTTTTTTCAAATTTTAGTTGTTTTTTCATAATATTTTTTAAATACAAATTTAGTTTCGTAAAAAATGAATAAACTATTTCGTTTCATTTATTTTAGTTGTTTATTCATAATATTTTATTTTTCATCAAAAATGTTTTTAACAAAATAAAAAAAACTAATTTAATTTAGTTGTTTCATTTTATTGTTTTACTTACGTGACTTTACCGAAACAAACATAGAATTATCTCGTTTAAACTTGATCTGGAGCTTCGTGAGTGCAGGGATCCATACTATTTGGTTCTTTAGGTAAAGTCACGTAGAAAGAAAACATTAATTAAGTAATAGCATACGACGTTTCCTTGCGACACGAGCAACCACCATCAGGTACAAATGAATGAGAAAACAAAGCTTGTAAACTTAGAACTATATTTTTTGGTTCTTTGCAATACAACACAACACAGCGAGTCGGCTAACATTACAGTCAACACCCCACCTGGTTGATTAACGTTCTTCCAAAGATTGCTAAATTTGAGAGAACTAAACACAGACACACACAGACACACAAGCAGAGAGAGATACCGACACACAGAGAGAGACACACATAAGCAGAGAGAGATGAGACAGAGAGAGACACATAGGCATTACAGAGAGATACACACACAGAGAGAGATAACACAAAGACACAGAGACACACACATAGACACAGATAGAGACACGATGAGAGATAGAGACACACACATAGGCTCACAGAGAGATAACAAAGAGATAGAGACACACATAGACACACACACAAAGGCACACAGAGCGAGACATACACATAGGCACACAGAGAGACACACATAGGCACAGAGAGAGAGAGAGAGACAAACACACAGAGATAACACAGAGAGAGAGACACACACATAGGCACACACAGAAACAACACCTCTGTGTCGAGGCCTTAAATAGAGAGAGAGGGGGGCAGAGAGAGACGGGGGGGGGGGTAGAGAAATGAGCATGGCAATGAGAGATTTGGAGCTTTCGTGACTGCAGGAAATGTAACCAGGCCAAGCCCGAGCTGCTGTACCGCTCTTATGATTTGAAGCTTTCGTGAGTGCAGGAATCCATACTCTTTGGTTCTTTCGGTAGAGTCACGTAGGTCAGAAAATAAAATAAATCACGACGTTTCGTGCGAAAAGCGTCCGCTCTTGTTTTCAGAAGCGACCTGCCCACACAACAAAGGTGGGCTTTGTCAACGTGTGGAAATGACTATCGGTCAAAGGCTCTAAACGCGTGCTGATGTTCACTCTTAAATGTGGAGTTGCATCCGGAGGAAAATCCACGCCACCACGGAGAGAGAGGGAGACACGCAAACTCGGTTATGTTGATTTGATCCTCAATTATTTGGTGGAGTGAGTAAGCATTGAAAACGTTTAGTTTAGCCATGTTTGTTTGTGGTAGTACAGAGTTAGACTGATACCTTTAATCTAAGTTGTCTTATGGTTGTTATTGTTTGACTTGCATCCCACTGGGATTTTTGCACACAGCGTTGAAATACGGTGTTTTTTCTGTTGTTTTTTCCTGGATTTTTCTGTTGCGTGTAGTCACTTTAAGATGTTTCTTGTTCATGTTTTTGTTTGTTGCAGTTGCCCCCGAGTCAAGAGCCGCATGGCTCACGGGGTTATCTATATATATAAGGGAAATTTGTGAATGTGTATCTGTTCTAAATGTTTAGCATACTTTCCGACATGCAACAAACTTTAAATTTGGCATGTGGGTAGCTTCCAGATTGTACACAATGCAAAAAGTATAAAAATTGACTTTTGCATTTTTGTGGGGTGGGGGGGCGCAATAATGGATATATTTAGCACGGCAAGTGAGTGGTGACCTCACGTCTGTGATGTCACCCTCATGCGGCTGCGTCACGCAGTGTGCTTGCTGACGTCACGCACCCCCCACCCTCCGCGTAGGCCGTGGATTCATTCAAGACAAGAATCCAAGTCTCGGGCTAAGCCAGGTAGTAAAGCTAGTACCTAATAAATGAAACTGAAACATTAATACTGAGCAGATGAAGGTGTGTGGCCAGGCATGGTTCTGGACACGCCACCACCTGTTTAACGCGGCAGTGTGTGGCAGTGTCAAGTTTGTGTTTGCAGTGAAGTCTATTAACTCTATTGAACATGGAGGATATATGAAAACAATGGTTTATGTTTTTTTGAGAATGAAAGCAGTCAGGAAGTTGACACAGCACACATACAGCTGACGTTAGATCTGTTCATCCCAGCATTCAAAGAAACCTGAGCCTGGCTTCACACCTCTAAGTTGCGATTGAACATGAATTTATGCATAACACAAGTAGTATTATTTTCAACACCCTTTGCTATGTCAGCTGAATTTAGCTCTTATGAATATTCATTTTGTAGCCAGACAGCCAAAATTGTGTGCTTGGAGTTTTGGGTTAACATTCATTTTGAAGATACGAGGGCTTCCAGGAATGTTTATGACCATTTGCCCTCTCATAGTGCGCCATAACAGCCCGTGTGATGAATTTGGGAAACTTTTAACTCTATCATGAATATATTAATACGTATAGACGTGTTAGTCATGTGTGACTGTATTTATATATACTCTTTGGTTCTTTCGGTAAAGTCACGTAGGTAGAAATAAAATAAGTAAAATTTTAAAAAACTTTTAAGAACACGCTTTTATGAAATGTACTTGTAATGGAAGAACTCCACGACTCCAGGAAGTTGCCCTGAGGCTTGCCGTAACACAAGCGACCGTGGTCAATTACAGCCAACGTCAGTTTACCGTGGACAATTAGACCCAAGCCGAAACATAACATGTAAAAAAGATTGTTTAAATTTTTTTTATTTAATGATAGAATATAGTATTGTCATCAGTATGGCGTAAGTATACCAAGTTTGCAGTCGATATCACATTGGGAAGTGGGTTAAAATTGAGTTACAAGATTTGAGGATACAACAATGACAACAACAACAGACAGTGAGTTAAATGAAAGCGTTTATTAAAATAAATCACAGCAGACATCTCAGCTATCGCAATTTTCACCCGAAGACGAACGCTTGTGTTGCGTTCGAAACGTCATTTATGTTAATTCTACCTACGTGACTTTACCAAAAGAACCATAGAGTATGGATTCCTGCAGTCATGAAAGCTTCAAATCAAGATTGTGTACTTATATATGCGTATATTCATTCCTCTGTGCCTCGATACTGACGTGTAGATGCTATTTTCTGTCTGCAGCTGTCGCTTCCTCTGACGCTTCCACTGCAGAATTGGTCTGATGGAGCACAGGCAGTCAGCGCGGCTCGGTACGGCAAGGCAACAATCCGACCAGCGTGCATACAGCACGGATCGGACTGAAATTTTGACACAGCACCAGAAAAAACACACGGGAGAAAAACCCTTCAAGTGCACTCGGTGTGAGATGGCGTTTGCAGATTCATCAACTCTTCAAAGACACCAGAGAAAACACACGGGAGAGAAACCCTTCAAGTGCATTGTGTGTGGGAAGGCATTTTCACAGTCATCTAATCTTGCAAAACACAAGAGAACACACACAGGAGAGAAATCCTTCAAGTGCAGTGTGTGTGGGAAGGCATTTTCACAGTCACAATATCTTGCACGACACCAGAGAACACACACAGGAGAGAAACCCTTCAAGTGCAGTGTGTGTGGGAAGGCATTTTTACGGTCACAACATCTTGCAATACACCAGAGAACACACACAGGAGAGAAACCCTTCAAGTGCACTCTGTGTGGGAAGGCATTTTCACAGTCATATAATCTTGCAAGACACCAGAGAACTCACACAGGAGAGAAACCCTTCAAGTGCAGTGTGTGTGAGAAGGCATTTTTACGGTCACAACATCTTGCAACACACCAGAGAACACACACAGGAGTGAAACCCTTCAAGTGCAGTGTGTGTGGGAAGGCGTTTGCAGGTCCATCAAATTGTCAAATACACCAGAGAACACACACAGGAGAGAAACCCTTCAAGTGCAGTGTGTGTGGGAAGGCATTTTCACAGTCATCTGATCTTGCAATACACCAGAGAACACACACAGGAGAGAAACCCTTCACGTGCAGAGTGTGTGGGAAGACATTTTCACAGTCCTCAAATCTTGCAACACACCAGATAACACACACAGGAGAGAAATCCTTCAAGTGCAGTGTGTGTGGGAAGGCATTTTCATACTCATCTGTTCTTGCAAGACACCAGAGAACACACACAGGAGAGAAATCCTTCAAGTGCAGTGTGTGTGGGAAGGCATTTTCATACTCATCTGTTCTTGCAAGACACCAGAGAACACACACAGGAGAGAAACCCTTCAAGTGCAGTGTGTGTGGGAAGGCATTTTCAGAGTCAAGTGATCTTGCAAAACACCAGGGAACACACACAGGAGAGAAACCCTTCAAGTGCAGTGTGTGTGGGAAGGCATTTTCAGAGTCAAGTGATCTTGCAAAACACCAGAGAACACACAAAGGAGAGAAACCCTTCAAGTGCAGTGTGTGTGGGAAGGCATTTTTACAGTCACAACAACATGCAAAACACCAGAGAACACACACAGGAGAGAAACCCTTCAAGTGCAGTGTGTGTGGGAAGGCATTTTTACAGTTGCAACAAATTGCACAACACCAGAGAACACACACCGGAGATAAACCCTTCAAGTGCAGTGTGTGTGGGAAGGCATTTTCACAGTTACAACATCTTGCACGACACCAGAGAACACACACAGGAGAGAAACCCTTCAAGTGCAGTGTGTGTGGGAAGGCATTTTCAGAGTCAAGTGATCTTGCAAAACACCAGAGAACACACACAGGAGAGAAACCCTTCAAGTGCAGTGTGTGTGGGAAGGCATTTTCAGAGTCAAGTGATCTTGCAAAACACCAGAGAACACACACAGGAGAGAAACCCTTCAAGTGCAGTGTGTGTGGGAAGGCATTTTCATACTCATCTGTTCTTGCAAGACACCAGAGAACACACACAGGAGAGAAACCCTTCAGGTGCACTCTGTGCGGGAAGGCGTTTGCACGTTCACAACATCTTCAACACCAGAGAACACAAAAGCATCAGAAGATCCACAAGGAGTGGAGTCTGAAATCAGCTTGTGAAAGTCAAAGTGCCGTAAGGAGCCCATCCCTCATGAAACAAGTACCGGAAAAAAATCCCAGTTTGGGCACTTTGAAAGGTATCAAGGCGGAATTTGAAGAGGTGATTGTGAAATGTGAAGAGGTGACGTTGAATAGCGAAGAAGTGAAGGTAAAATGTGAAGATGAAAATTCGACTCCAGAATGGGACCTTCACATCGGTGGAGGCAACGTGAAGCAAGAGGGGAATTCTGACTGTAAGGCAGAGCGAGGCAACTCACAGCAGTTTGTGGAAGTGGAGGTGTGGGTGGACTTCCTAGACAATATAAAGTCAAATGGAGACCCGGTAGATGTGTAAGCTTGAGATGATGTCGCGCCCAATAGATGCACCTTTGTCACAGGCCTTTAATGAAAATAATGTGAAGTAGAACATTGAAATCTTAGGTTCAACCTGCAGGGTAAGAGCGGCCAGTCTTGGTGGATCTGTTGGTTGGGTAGATATCTCACCAGGAGCTTCGTTGTGTTTCACACTGAACCCTATGGGAGCCTTCATCTGGCTCTTGTGAGCCTCAGTGATTCACACTGAAGCCTATGGGAGCCTTAGTCTTGCTCTGTGAGCCTCGGTAATTAACACTGAACGCGATGGATGGGAGCCAGTGACATGGCATGAGGTCAGTGGCTGGGGAGGCACTGGGGGCGTGGCCTCACAGGTGTGTCTGACACGCCCACCCCCCTCAGTGAGGCAGATGTGATAGCTGCCTCCCCTGGTGCTTTTTCATTGCACTTTCATGACGAGACCAGCGAGCCTACGTATCTTTATGCACATACAGTAGAACCTCTGGTCGCGAATGCTTCTGACCACGACCAAATTGGGTTTCGACCAAAACATTTACAACAGTTTATTTAATCTGGTCACGAACACATACTCGGGTGGAGATCAAACACGGCCGCGGCCGATTTCCCCTTCCGCGCCATTTTTGTTGTTGAATTACACAAAGCGTAACAGTTATGTATATATCTTTTGTAATATAAAATTCCTAGTAAGATATGTATACATTTTGTAAGTGTAGTCATACCCCTCCTTCCTCATTCAAGCCATAGTTTAGAGAGCGAAAGCGCTGAGTACATCAATCGCTAACATAAGAACCCGTTAATCTCTTCTCGCATCATTAATACGATGATGCGGTGAAGTAAACGTTCATACGATATTACGGTGAATGCTTCCAAAAACAATACTGTACCCAAATATTACTGTTAACTTTCAATAGAAACATAAATTGCTCATACGAATATGCTCTCTCAGAATCGACCGACTGATGTAGCAGACGAAACAGTAATCTTGTTGAACAATTCTAAACCTTGTCAGTTTTCTCTGTTTTTCAAGGTTTTCTCAGTGTTATGCAATGTTTTTACATTTAGTTTACTATTACAATGAATTCTATGGCATAATTAACTATTTTTGTCCTTAAAATTTTTTTAAAAACTTTATATACAGTTCGTAGGAGTCTGGAATGGATTAATCATATTTACATACAATCCAATGGGGAAATTAGGTTTGAGTCACGACCAAATCGGGTTGCGACCAAAGTTATGGAACGAATTATGGTCGTGACCAGAGGTTCTACTGTACTTGAACTCCGTTACCTGGACTATGGAAGGCGAGGACATGTAATGAAAGGGTCTGCAAACATTCCATTGGTGACATGTTGAGATAGTAACAGGCAAGCCCTTAGTGCCCGCGGTCCATCCAGTGTCTGAGGGGAGGCTGAGCGTGTCGCTGCCTCACCTCTCGTCTCTCCCTGTACTTGCAGCGAAGCTCTGCAAATTTGGCGATTTTGACTATAAATAAATAATTAAGAAAAACACTTGTTTTTTCATACATGCTTTTATGAAATGTACTAGTAATGGCAGAACTCCACGAATCCAGGAAATGGCCCCGAAGCTTGCCACAACGTAAGGGACCTTGGCCAATTATAGCCAACGTTAGTTGACTGTGGGGACAATTAGACCGAAACATAACATATTAAAAAGAATGTTTAAAAATATATATTTTTATAATGAAAGAATATAGTATTGTCATCAGTATGACATAAGTATACCAAGTTTGCAGTCGATACCACATTGGGAAGTTGGTTAAAATTGAGTTACAAGATTTGAGAATATGACAAAAATGACAACAGACAGTTAAAATAAAATATTTTAAAATACTTTTTTTTAAAACACGCTTGAATGAAATGTACTGTCCGAGCTGCCCCTGCCCCCTTCTCATCGCCCCTCCCCTCCCACATGCCCCGCCCCTGGGCGTGGCTCCCCAAGGCTTGCCGTGACGTAAGGGACCGCGGTGATTTACAGGCAACGTCAGTTGATCGTGGACAATTAGAGCCGTTAAGAAGTTAAAAAAGATATATTTTTAAATCCTTTATATTAAGTTCGCTTGCTTGCGTGCTTGCTTAGGACCGTGCAAATCTTTCGCTCGTTTTTTAACCCACTTCCCGTGATCCAATCGAGCTGACATTTTGCACACAGACTCGTTGTGCGAGACAATTAATGTTCGTGAAAATTTTCAAAATTTTACACTGTTTAGGGAAAACTAATTAAATATTTAATTACCAATTGCTTAATACTGGCAGACAATCATCTGACCCATAGGTGGCAGCCATCTCAAGCCAGAGGACGAGAGGACTCTAGCCGCCACGCATATAAAGGATTTATAGTGAATAACTTTGTTTTTACGGGTTATACTTATTAATGATAAAATATAGTATTGTCATCAGTATGACACACCTATACGAAGTTTTCATTCGATATGAAATGGGAAATACGGTTGAAATTGAGTTACAAGATTTTTGGATACAACACATACAGTACGTGAAATAAAAGCGTGTAAAATGTTTTAAAATATGTTTAGGATTTCTTTTATGATATATCGCGTAATCGGTATGACAGCTATACCAAGTTTGCAGTCGATAGCACATTGGGAAGTGTAAAAATTAAGTTACAATATTTCGTTTTTGAGGATGCAACAGACGAAGTGAGTTAAATAGAAGCGTGTAAAAATGATTGGAATCATCATCTTGGTTCTTTCGGTTAAGTCACGTAGAAGGGAAATAATAAAAATAAAACAAAATCTCACGTTTCGGCCACAACGCAAGCAGCCGTCCTCAGGTGACAGACCTGCTTGCGTTGTGGCCGAAACGTGAGAATTGTATTTTATAGTTTTATTGTTATTATTTTATTATTTCCCTTCTACGTGACTTTACCGAAAAAACCAAGAAGATGAATCCCTGCAGTCACGAAAGCTTTAAATCGAAAATGATTGTAATCGTACAGAAATGACATAACACCCAATTTCAAAGCAGATGCGGTCCACTCTTCTGAAACACCCTGTAATTTACGAGATTTGAATAATTGTAACCAAACAATAAACCAGACACGTGAATTTGTGAACTTTCACTGCTACCTTTAATCTGTGTAATTGGCCACGTGTGTGTGTACATACAAAGACAAAGATCCCCCCCGGAATAGCCTTCCCAGACTATTGGGGAAAGTGCTGTTAGCGGGTGGTCGATGATAGCACACCGCACCGGGTACGCATTTGTAACGGGTTCCGGAGACACTTGTAGAGGTAACTTGTTTATTCCAACCCAACACTCTCCAACAGTCCAACTCTCCAACAGTCCTGACTCTCCAACACTCCTGATACTCTGTTACAGCCTAGGTACACAGCCTAGATACTCTACTCTGGCAACGCTCTGGAACTCGCCCTCACAAGGTCGTAGAGTCGGGAGTTCCAGAGTCCCACCACTGGCTCTCACAGCGTCCCAGGGTCCTCCGATGGCTGGTCTTGGGTCTTGAGCTACGACTGGGCCCCGATCGTCCAGGGAGCTCCCCTTTTTATGCCTGGTCCAACGAGGGGTGGGGCCGTGTGTGCCACCAGACATCCCACAGAGCACACACAGCCCCCCCCCCCCCCCCCGTTGGCAGCACCAAGAGGCTTAAGCGTCTGGGAACCCAACGCCTGGTGCCAAGAGGCTTAAGCGTCTGGACCCGCCTGGGAACCCAACGCCTGGTGCCAAGAGGCTTAAGCGCCTGGCCCACCCAGGGTCCCAGAGCCCCCAGCAGCCCCTCCCTTATGTTACTACATTACCCCCCTCTACGTAGCCTCCAGCCGACCCGGCTGTCAATAATTAGAAAGTTTAAATTAACAAAAGGGAGAGAGAGAAAAACAAATACGCGAGCCTCAACAGGAAAAGAAAAGAGAACAAGAAAGCAACCATAAATACCATAACCAACCTGTACAACTTTACACTATATACAAGCATCAATCAACAAAAAGGTGAAGCAATGACACGTGAACAAACGACCCACGGCACACCTAGCCCTCCTCGGGATCCGCATAGAAAACGGGGAATTAACAACAGATTCTGACGCGTTGGATACAACCAACACCGGTAATCGAACCGAAATCACACAATCACCGCATGGATGGCAGGGATCCACACCACCCTGCCACCCTCCCATCCGTCAGGTGGTGAGAAGGCGAAGACCAACATGTCTATCACCCCTCTACACACACTTATCCGGACGTCTGTCTACGTCCCGGGTCGAGAAGTCGTACTTAATAGCCGACCCATGTACTGGGCAAAGAAGTCGCACTTCAGGGCTGCCCCAGTATCTACATTTTAAAATCTATATATATAAAATCACGAATCTGTCTGTGTGTGTGTCGCCGGACCATACGCACTTTCATTGGACGGCGGTTGCCCCTGCCAACGGGTAGCGACGCCTTCGCCGCTTTCATTGGACGGCGGTTGCCCCTGGCAACGGGTAGCGACGCCTTCGCCGCGGGCTGCAGTTTCATTGGACGGCGGTTGCCCCTGGCAACGGGTAGCCACGCCTTCGCCGCTTTCATTGGACGGCGGTTGCCCCTGCCAACGGGTAGCGACGCCTTCGGCGCGGGGTGGACGCCATTTTTAATTCCCCTTAAAAATAGGCGCACGCATTAACACGCGACTTAAGCGTCTGGGAACCCAACGCCTGGTGCCAAGAGGCTTAAGCGTCTGGACCCGCTTGGGAACCTAATGCCTGGTGCCAAGAGGCTTAAGCGCCTGGCCCACCCAGGGTCCCAGAGTCCCCAGCAGCCCCTCCCTTCTTATATCACTACACATTTGAGGCTGAGTCGATGTAGGAGTGGCTCAGGACCGGTTAAAAAAAATCTCCACTGGTTATGGGGGACGTCCATAAATGACGTCACACGATTTTGGACGATTTTTGACCACCCCCCCCCCCCCTCGTCACACGGCGTCACAAAAAGTCAGACCCCCCCCCTCAAATATGACATCACACAGCTCTGCCCCCCCCCCCCAAAATAAAACATGCTTCAAATCGCTTTAAACTATCGTCATTGTCGTGCGTATTTAATGTGGCGCTGCACTCTGATGTTGTAGAAAACATTTATTAAAAAGTCTATTTAATTAAGTAGAACATGTTGTCTATATTTATTTAAAGTTGCGCATTTTGATGTGACGTCATATTTCTCAACCCCCACACCCCCTCGTCACATTGTCACAAATGTCTGACACCCCCCAGGTGCGTGACGTCATTTATGGACGGCCCCTTTCCAACAATTTCATAAAAGCGTGTTTAAAAAAAAAAAATTCTTAATTACTTATTTATAGTCAAAATCGCCAAATTTGCGGAGCTTCGCTGCAAGTACAGGGAGAGACGAGAGGTGAGGCAGCGACGCGCTCAGCCTCCTCTCCGATTGCACCCCTCAGACACTGGATGGAACGCGGGGAGTAAGGGCGTGCCTGTTACTATCTCAGCATGTCACCAATGCAATGTTTGTAGACCCCTTCATTCCATGTTCTCGCCTTCCATGGTCCGGGTAACTTAGTTCAAGAACAGTAGAACCTCTGGTCATGACCCTAATTCGTTCCATAACTTTGGTCTCAACCCGATTTGGTCGTGACTCGAACCTAATTTCCCCATTGGATTTATGTAATAACGATTAATCCGTTCCAGACTCCTACGAACTGTATATACATATTTTTAAAAAGATTTTTAAGTGCAAAAATAGTTAAGTATGCCATAGAATTCAGTGTAATAGTAAACTAAATGTAAAAACATTGCATAACACTGAGAAAACCTTGAACAGAGAAAACTAACATTGCCGCGACAAGGTTTAGAATCGTTCAACAAGATTACTGTTTCGTCTGCTACATCAGTCGGTCGATTCTGAGAGAATATTCGTATGAGCAATTCATGTTTCTATTGAAAGTTAACAGTAATATTTGGGTACAGTAATGTTTTTGGAAGCATTCACCGTAATATCGTATGAACGTTTACTTCACCGCATCATCGTATGAATGATGCGAGAAGAGATTAACGGGTTCTTATGTTAGCGATTTACGTACTCGGCGCTTTCGCTCTCTAAATTATGGCTTGAATGAGAGGGGAGGGGTATGGCTACACTCACACAATTTATATCTTACTAGGAATCTTATATAGCAAAAGTTATATACATAACTGTTACGCTTTGTGTAATTCAACAACAAAAATGGCACGGAAGGGGAAATCGGCCGCGGCCGTGTTTGATCGCCACCGGAGTATGTGTTCGTGACCAGATTAAAAAATGTTTTAAATGTTTTGGTCGGAACCCAATTTGGTCGTGGTCAGAAGCGTTCGTGACCACAGGTTCTTCTGTATGTGTATAAAGACACGTAGGCTCGCTGGTCTCGTCATGAAACTGCAATGAAAAAGCACCAGGGGAGGCAGCTATCACATCTGCCTCACTAAAGGGGGGGCGTGTCAGACACGTCCCCCCTTGGTGAGGCCACGCCCCCGGTGCCTCCCCAGCCACTGACCTCACCGCATGTCACTGGCTCCCATCCATTGCGTTCAGTGTTAATTACCGAGGCTCACAAAGCCAGACTCAGGCTCCCATAGGCTTCAGTGTCAATCACTGAGGCTCACAGGGCCAGACTCAGGCTCCCATAGGCTTCAGTGTTAATCACTAAGGCTCACAGAGCCAGACGAAGGCTCCCATAGGGTTCAGTGTTAATCACCGAGGCTCACAGAGCCAGACTAAGGCTCCCATAGGCTTCAGTGTGAATCACTGAGAATCACAGATCCAGACTAAGGCTCCCCCCATAGGCTTCAGTGTGAATCACTGAGGCTCACAGAGCCAGACGAAGGCTCCCAAAGGGTTCAGTGTGAATCACCGAGGCTCCTGGTGAGATATCTACCCAACCCACGGATCCACCAAGACTGGCCGCTCTTACCCTGCAGGTTGAACCTAGGATTTCAATGTTCTACTTCACATTATTTTCATTAAAGGCCTGTGACAAAGGTACATCTATTGGGAGCGACATCGTCTCAAGCTTACACATCTACCGGGTCTCCATTTGACTTTGTATTGTCTAGGAAGTCCACCCACACCTCCACTTCCACAAACTGCTGTGAGTTGCCTCGCTCTGCCTCACAGTCAGAATTACCCTCCTGCTTCACGTTGCCTCCATCGATGTGAAGGTCCAATTTTGGAGTCGAATCATCTTCACATTTTACCTTCACTTCTTCGCTCTTCACCGTCACCTCTTCACATTTCACAATCACCTCTTCACATTTCACAATCACCTCTTCAAATTCCGCCTTGATACCTTTAAAAGTGCCCAAGCTGGGATTTTCTTCCGGTTTCATGAGGGATGGGCTCCTTAAGGCACTTTGACTTTCACAAGCTGATTTCAGACTCCACTCCTTGTGGATCTTCTGATGCTTCCGTGTTCTCTGGTGTTCTTTAAGACGTTGTGACCGTGCAAACGCCTTCCCGCAAAGAGTGCACCTGAAGGGTTTCTCTCCTGTGTGTGTTCTCTGATGTTTTCGACAATTTGATGGATCTGCAAACGCCATTCCACACACACTGCACTTGAAGGGTTTCTCTCCTGTGTGTGTTCTCTGGTGTTGTGCAAGATTTTGTGACTGTAAAAATGCCTTCCCACACACACTGCACTTGAAGGGTTTCTCTCCTGTGTGTTTTCTCCGGTGTGTTGCAAGATCAGATGACTGTGAAAATGATTTCCCACACACACTGCACTTGAAGGGTTTCTCTCCTGTGTGTGTTCTCTGGTGTATTGCAAGAACACATGACTGTGAAAATGCCTTCCCACACACACTGCACTTGAAGGATTTCTCTCCTGTGTGTGTTCTCTGGTGTTGTGCAAGATGGTGTGACTGTGAAAATGCCTTCCCACACACACTGCACTTGAAGGGTTTCTCTCCTGTGTGTGTTCTCTGGTGTGTTGCAAGATTAGATGACTGTGAAAATGACTTCCCACACACTCTGCACTTGAAGGGTTTCTCTCCCGTGTGTGTTCTCTGGTGTCTTTGAAGAGTTGATGAATCTGCAAACACCATCTCACACAGAGTGCACTTGAAGGGCTTCTCTCCCGTGTGTTTTCTCTGGTGTCTTTGAAGAGTTGATGAATCTGCAAACACAATCTCACACAGAGTGCACTTGAAGGGTTTCTCTCCCGTCCGATCCGTGCTGTATGCACGCTGGTCCCATTGTTGCCTTGCCGCACCGAGCCGCGCTGACTGCCTGTGCTCCATCAGACCAATTCTGCAGAGGAAGCGACAGCTGCAGACAGAAAATACCATCTACACGTCAGTATCGAGGCACAGAGGAATGAATATACGCATAAATATGTACAAAATCTTGATTTGAAGCTTTCATGACTGCAGGAATCCATACTCTTTGGTTCTTTCGGTAAAGTCACGTAGGTATAAATAAAATGAAATCACGACGTTTCGAACGCAACACAAGCGTTCGTCTTCGGGTGAAAATCGCGATAGCCGAGATGTCTGCTGTGATTTATTTTAATACACGCTTTCATTTAACTCACTCTGTCTGTTGTTGTTGTCATTGTTGTCGTTGTTGTATCCTTCAAATCTTGTAACTCCATTTTAACCCAATTTCCAATGTGGTATCGACTGTAAACTTGGTATACGTATGCCATACTGATGACAATACTATATTCTATCATTAAAAATATTTTTTTTAAACAATCTTTTTTACATGTTATGTCTCGGCTTGGGTCTAATTGTCCACGGTAAACTGACGTTGGCTATAATTGAGCACGATCGTTTATGTTACGGCAAGCCTCGGGGCCACTCCCTGAAGTCGTGGAGTTCTTCCATTACTAGTACATTTCAAAAAAGCGTGTTTAAAAAAATATTACTTCTTTTATTTCTACCTACGTGACTTTACCGAAAGAATCAAAGAGCATATATAAACAGTCACACATGACTAACACGTCTATACGTATTCATATATTCATGATAGAGTTAAAAAGTTTCCCAAATTCATCACACGGGCTGTTATGGCGCACTATGAGAGGGCAAATGGTCATACACAATCCTGTTAACCCAAAACTCCAAGCACACAATTTTGGCTGTCTGGCTACAAAATGAATATTTATAAGAGCTAAATTCAGCTGACACAGCAAAGGGTGTTGAAATACTACTACTTGTGTTATGCATAAATTAATGTTCAATCGCAGGCTCAGATTTCATTGAATGCTGGGATTAACAGATCTAAGGTCAGCTGCATGTGTGCTGTGTCAACTTCCTGACTGCTTCCATTATCATAAAGAGTTCCAGATGAAAACAAAAAAGAAACCATTGTTTTCATATAACCTCCGTGTTCATTAGCGTTAATAGACTTTACTGCAAACACAAACTTGACACTGCCACACACTGCCGTGTTAAACAGGTGGTGGCGTGTCCAGAACCATGCCTGGCCACACACCTTCATCTGCTCAGTATTAATGTTTCAGTTTCATTTGTTACGTCTTAGCTTTAATTCATGGCTTCGCCCGAGACTTGGATTCTTGTCTTAAAAGAATCCACGGCCTACGCGGAGGGTGGGGGGTGCGTGACGTCAGCAGACGCTGCCGCATGCGGGTGACATCACAGACGTGAGGTCACCATTCACTTGCCGTGCAAAACATATCCATTATTGCACCCCCCCCCCCCCCCAAAATGCAAAAGTAATTTTTTATACTTTTTGCATTGTGTACAATCTGAGGGGCTACCCACATGCCAAATTTTAAATTTGTTGCATGTCGGAACGTATGCCAAACATTTCGAACAGATACAAATTCACAAATTTCCCTTTTATATATAGATAACCCCGTGAGCCATGCGGCTCTTGACTCGGGGTCAACTGCAACAAACAAAAACATGAACAAGAAACATCTTAAAGTGACTACACGCAACAGAAAAATCCAGGAAAAAACTGCAGAAAAAACACCGTATTTCAACGCTGTGTGCAAAAATCCCAGTGGGATGCAAGTCAAACAATAACAACCATAAGACAACTTAGATTAAAGGTATCAGTCTAACTCTGTACTACCACAAACAAACATGGCTAAATCAAAACGTTTTCAATGCTTCCTCACTCCACCAAATAATTGAGGATCAAATCAACATAACCGAGTTTGCGTGTCTCCCTCTCTCTCCGTGGTGGCGTGGATTTTCCTCCGGATGCCCCTCCACATTTAAGAGTGAACATCAGCACGCGTTTAGAGCCTTTGACCGGTAGTCATTTCCACACGTTGACAAGGCCCACCTTTGTTGTGTGGGCAGGTCGCTTCTGAAAACAAGAGCGGACGCTTGTCGCACGAAACGTCGTGATTTATTTTATTTTCTGAACTACGTGACTTTACCGAAAGAACGAAAGAGTATGGATTCCTGCACTCACGAAAGCTTCAAATCATAAGAGCGGTACAGCAGCTCAAGCGGGCTTGGACTGGTTACATAAAATAAAAACCTAAAGTGTCCTCGTGTTGTAGTAGGCCTCGACACAGAGGTGTTGTTTCTGTGTGTGCCTATGTGTGTGTCTCTCACTCTGTGTGCCTATGTGTATGTCTCGCTCTGTGTGCCTCTGTGTGTCTCTCTCTCTGTGTCTGTCTCTCTGTGTGTCTCTCTCTGAGTGCCTATGTGTGTGTCTCTCTGTGTCTTTGTGTTATCTCTCTCTGTATCTATGTGTGTGTCTCTGTGTTGTCTCTCTCTGTGTCTGTGTTATGTCTCTGTGTGCCTGTGTATCTCTCTGTAATGCCTATGTGTGTCTCTCTGTCTCATCTCTCTGTGTGCCTGTGTATCTCTATGTCTCTGTGTGCCTGTGTATCTCTCTGTAATGCCTATGTGTGTCTCTCTGTCTCATCTCTCTCTGCTTATGTGTGTCTCTCTGTTTGTCTGTATCTCTCTCTGCTTGTGTGTCTCCGTGTCTGTGTTTAGTTCTCTCAAATTTAGCAATCTTTGGAAGAACGTTAATCAACCAGGTGGGGTATTGACTGTAATGTTAGCCGACTCGCTGTGTTGTGTTGTAATGCATTGTAGTTCTAAATTTATTTTATTTTATACCTACGTAACTTTACCGAAAGAACCAAAGAATATAGTTCTAAGTTTACAAGCTTTGTTTTCTCATTCATTTGTACCTTATGGTGATTGCTCGTGTCGCAAATGAAACGTCGTATGCTATTACTTAATTAATGTTTTCTTTCTACGTGACTTTACCGAAAGAACCAAAGAGTATGGATCCCTGCACTCACGAAGCTCCAGATCAAGTTTAAACGAGATAATTCTTTGTTTTTTTTTCCGGTAAAGTCACGTAGGTAAAACAATAAAATGAAACAACGACTAAATTTAGTTTTTTTTATTTTGTGAAAAATATTTTTTATTAAAAATTAAATATGAAGAAACTAAAAGAAACTAGTTTTTTCATTTTTTTACGAAACAAAATACGTATTAAAAATATTATGAAAAAACAACTAAAATAAATGAAAAAAAAACTAAATTGGTTGTTTCTTCATTTATTGTATTTCTGCTGCCGTCACGAAAGCTTCGAGATCAAGTTGAAGCGAGAGAATTCAAAGGCCTTCAGGCGAGGGCAGGAGGCGAGGCCCCGCGTGGATAGGCCCCGCGCTGTAATGTCCCAACCTGGACATGGATTCCCATACTCGCTGCGACTCAATTGACATCCCTACGAGAGAGAGAGTGAGGCTCTACCTGGGTAAACAACAACAACCACCACAACCACCAACATAATGAAAATCTCTCACCTCAGATTTCAACGGCAGCTTCTCGTTACCTCGCGACGTTACGGCGGCAGCAGGATGTGACGTAAAATTCACTTCCGGGGTACAAGACACGCCCCCAACGAGCGGTGCTGGGTAACTGAATAATTTATCCGAGAATTGAAGCTTTCGTGAACCGCAGTAATGACTCAACTCGTTGTACACTCATTGGCTCTTTCGGTAAAGTCACGAGTCGGGGGATGATTGGGCGTGGGTGCTGAACCCGTCGAAATAAAAAATAAACTCGCGACGGCTTTTAACGAATATATTATGTTAACTTTATTTTTTATTTAATTTCTTTACCGAAATAACCGATGAGCAATTCCTGCAGTCACCAAAGCTGAGATCCTAGATTATGTTAATGAGCCGCCAGTCACTGGGCATAGCTTTGCCCAAATAAGGATTGTACCGGAACAGACATCGGCGGTGACCAAGCAGGGGTGACATGACGTCACTAGCGAGGCGCAATGCCCCTCCCGTGGCATTCTACGTTCAGGTAATGCTTAGTGGTGACGTCAGAGAGCAGGGGGTCAGAGTTCAAGATTTGCGTACAGGGGCCGTCCATAAATGACGTCACGCGATTTTGGCCGATTTTTGAACCCCCCCCTACCCCCCTCGTCACACGGCGTCACAAAAAGTCAGACCCCCCGCCTCAAATGACGTCACAAAGCTCTGCCCCCCCCCAAAAAAAACGCTTCAAATCGCGTTAAACTATTGTCATTGTAGTGCGTATTTAATGTGGCGATGCACTCCGATGTTGTAGGAGAAAACATTTATTAAAAAGGCGTTGGAAAGGGGCCGTCCATAAATGACGTCAAGCACCTGGGGGGGGGGTCAGACATTTGTGACGATGTGTGACGAGGGGGTGTGGGGGTTGAAAAATATGACGTCACATCAAAATGCGCAACTTTAAATAAATATAAACAAGTTCTACTGAATTAAATCGACTTTTTAATAAAAGTTTTCTCCGACAACATCAGTGCAGCGCCACGTTAAATACGCCCTAAAATGACAATAGTTTAAAGCGATTTGAAGCATCTTTTATTTTGGGGAGGGGCAGAGCTTTGTGACGTCATATTTGTGACGTTGTGTGACGAGGGGGACTCAAAAATCGGCCAAAATCGCGTGACGTCATTTATGGACGGCCCCCAAAACCAGTGGAGATTTTTTTTTATCCGGTCCTGAGCCACCCCTACATCGACTCAGCATCAAATGCGTACCTGGTCCGGAGTGCGAACATCGCCACCAGCTAATAGCACTTGCCCCAATAGTCTGTGAAGGCTATACCGGGGGGATCTTTGTCTTTGTATGTACACACACACGTGGCCAATTACACAGATTAAAGGTCTCTACACAAGTAGCAGTGAAAGTTCACAAATTCACACGTCTGGTTTATTGTGTTTGGTTACAATTATTCAAAACTCGTAAATTACAAGGCGTTTCAGAAGGGTGGACCGCATCTGCTTTGAAATTGGGTGTTGTCATTTCTGTACGATTCCAATCATTTTCGATTTAAAGTTTTCGTGACTGCAGGGATTCATCTTCTTGGTTCTTTCGGTAAAGTCACGTAGAAGGGAAATAATGAAACAATAAATAAATAAAACATACTAAAATAAAATTCTCACGTTTCGGCCAAAACGCAAGCAGGTCTGTCACCTGAGGACGGCTGCTTGCGTTGTGGCCGAAACGTCGTGAGAATTAATTTAAAAAGTTTTATTTTTATTATTTTATTATTTCCCTTCTACGTGACTTTACCGAAAGAACCAAGATGATTCCAATCATTTTTACACGCTTCTATTTAACTCACTTCGTCTGTTGTATCCTCAAAAACGAAATCTTGTAACTTAAATTTTACACACTTCCCAATGTGCTATCGACTGCAAACTTGGTATAGCGATGTCATATTGATGACAACACGATATTATAACATAAAAAATCCAAAACATAGATTTTTTAAACATTTAACACGCTTTTATTTAAACTTACTGTGTGTGTTGTATCCAAAAATCTTGTAACTCAATTTCAACCGTATTCCCAATGTCGTATCGAATGCAAAATTCGTATAGGTGTGTCATACTGATGACAATACCATATTCTATCATTAAAAATAAATAAAAATATATTTTGAAACAATCTTTTTTACGGCTCTAATTGTCCACGCTCAACTCACGTTGCCTGTAAATCACCACGGTCCCTTACGTCACGGCAAGCCTTGGGGAGCCACGCCCAGGGGCGGGGCATGTGGAAGGAGAAGAGGGGCGATGAGAGAAGGGGGCATGGGCAGCTCGGACAGTACATTTCATTAAAGCGTGTTTTTAAAAAAAGTATTTTAAAATATTTTATTTTAACTGTCTGTTGTTGTCGTTTTTGTCGTATTCTCAAATCTTGTAACTCAATTTTAACCAACTTCCCAATGTGGTATCGACTGCAAACTTGGTATACTTATGTCATACTGATGACAATACTATATTCTATCATTAAAAAAATATATTTTAAAACATTCTTTTTTATGTTATGTTTCAGTCTAATTGTCCCCACAGTCAACTGACGTTGGCTATAATTGGCCATTTCCTGGAGTCGTGGAGTTCTGCCATTACTAGTACATTTCATAAAAGCGTGTATGAAAAATCGCCAAATTTGCGGAGCTTCGCTGCAAGTACAGGGAGAGACGAGAGGTGAGGCAGCGACGCGCTCAGCCTCCCCTCAGACACTGGATGGACCGCGGGCAGTAAGGGCTTGCCTGTTACTATCTCAGCATGTCACCAATGGAATGTTTGTAGACCCTTTCATTACATGTCCTCGCCTTCCATAGTCCAAGTAACTGAGTTCAAGTACAGTAGAACCTCTGGTCACGACCATAATTCGTTCCATAACTTTGGTCGCAACCCGATTTGGTCGTGACTCAAACCTAATTTCCCCATTGGATTGTATGTAAATACGATTAATCCATTCCAGACTCCTACGAACTGTATATAAAATTTTTAAAAGATTTTTAAGGACAAAAATAGTTAATAATGCCATAGAATTCATTGTAATAGTAAACTAAATGTAAAAACATTGCATAACACTAAGAAAACCTTGAACAAGAGAAAACTGACAAGGTTTAGAATCGTTCAACAAGATTACTGTTTCGTCTTCTACATCAGTCGGTCGATTCTGAGAGAGAGAATATTCGTATGAGCAATTCATGTTTCTATTGAAAGCAAGTAAGTTAACCGTATTATCGTATGAACGTTAACTTCACCGCATCATCGTATGAATGATGCGAGAAGAGATTAACGGGTTCTTATGTTAGCGATTTACGTACTCGGCGCTTTCGCTCTCTAAATTATGGCTTGAATGAGGGGGGAGGGGTATGACTACACTCACAAAATGTATATCTTACTAGGAATTTTATATAGCAAAAGTTATATACATAACCGTTACGCTTTGTGTAATTTAACAACAAAAATGGCGCGGAAGGGGGAAATCGGCCGCGGCCGTGTTTGATCGCCACCCGAGTATGTGTTCATGACCAGATTCAAAAATGTTGTAAATGTTTTGGGAGGAACCCAATTTGGTCGTGGTCAGAAGCGTTTGTGACCAGAGGTTCTACTGTATGTGTATAAAGATACGTAGGCTCGCTGGTCTCGTCATGAAACTGCAATGACAAAGCACCAGGGGAGGCAGCTATCACATCTGCCTCGGTGAGGCCACGCCCCCGGTATCTCCCCAGACACTGACCTCACCGCATGTCACTGGCTCCCATCCATCGCGTTCAGTGTTAATTACCGAGGCTCACAAAGCCAGACTCAGGCTCCTATAGGGTCCAGTGTAAATCACTGAAACTCAGAGCCAGACTAAGGCTTCCATAGGGTTCAGTGTTAATCACAGATGCTCACAGAGCCAGACTAAGGCTGCCATAGGCTTCAGTGTGAATAACTGAGGCTCACACATCCAGACTAAGGCTCCCATAGGTTTCAGTGTGAATCACTGAGGCTCACAGAGCCAGATGAAGGCTCCAATAGGGTTCAGTGTGAATCACCGAGGCTCCTGGTGAGATATCTACCCAACCAACAGATCCACCAAGACTGGCCGCTCTTACCCTGCAGGTTGAACCTAAGATTTCAATGTTCTACTTCACATTATTTTCATTAAAGGCCTGTGACAAAGGTGCATCTATTGGGAGCGACATCGTCTCAAGCTTACACATCTACCGGGTCTCCATTTGACTTTGTATTGTCTAGGAAGTCCACCCACACCTCCACTTCCACAAACTGCTGTGAGTTGCCTTGCTCTGCCTCACAGTCAAAATTCCCCTCCTGCTTAACGTTGCCTCCATCGATGTGAAGGTCCCATTTTGGAGTCGAATCTTCATCTTCACATTTTACCTTCACTTCTTCGCTCTTCACCGTCACCTCTTCACATTTCACAATCACCTCTTCAAATTCCGCCTTGATACCTTCAAAAGTGCCCAAGCTGAAATTTTCTCCCGGTACTTGTTTCATGAGGGCTGGGCTCCTTACAGCACTTTGACTTTCACAAGCTGATTTCAGACTCCACTCCTTGAGGATCTTCTGATGCTTCTGTGTTCTCTGGTGTTCTTGAAGACGTTGTGAACGTGCAAACGCCTTCCCGCACAGAGTGCACCTGAAGGGTTTCTCTCCTGTGTGTGTTCTCTGGTGTTTTGCAAGATTAGGCGACTGTGAAAATGCCTTCCCACACACACTGCACTTGAAGGGTTTCTCTCCTGTGTGTGTTCTCTGGTGTCTTGCAAGATGTTGTGACAGTAAAAATGCCTTCCCACACACACTGCACTTGAAGGGTTTCTCTCCTGTGTGTGTTCTCTGGTGTCTTGCAAGATCACATGACTGTGAAAATGCTTTCCCACACACACTGCACTTGAAGGGTTTCTCTCCTGTGTGTCTTCTCTGGTGTTTTGCAAGATCACATGACTGTGAAAATGCCTTCCCACACACACTGCACTTGAAGGGTTTCTCTCCTGTGTGTGTTCTCTGGTGTTGTGCAAGATGTTGTGACTGTAAAAATGCCTTCCCACACACACTGCACTTGAAGGGTTTCTCTCCTGTGTGTGTTCTCTGGTGTTTTGCAAGATGTTGTGACTGTAAAAATGCCTTCCCACACACACTGCACTTGAAGGGTTTCTCTCCTGTGTGTGTTCTCTGGTGTCTTTGAAAAGTTGATGGATCTGCAAACGCCATTCCACACAGAGTGCATTTGAAGGGCTTTTCTCCCGTGTGTTTTTTCTGGTGCTGAGTCAAACTTCCAGTCCGATCCGTGCTGTATGCACGCTGATCCCATTGTTGCCTTGCCGTACCGAGCCACGCTGACTGCCTGTCCTCCATCAGACCAATTCTGCAGATGAAGCGTCAGAGGAAGCGACAGCTGCAGACAGAAAATACCATCTACACGTCAGTATCGAGGCACAGAGGAATTAATATACGCATATATATGTACACAATCTTGATTTGAAGCTTTCATGATTGCAGGAATCCATACTCTATGGTTCTTTCGGTAAAGTCACGTAGGTAGAAATAACATAAATGACGACGTTTCGAACGCAACACAAGCGTTCGTCTTCGGGTGAAAATCGCGATAGCTGAGATGTCTGCTGTGATTTATTTTAATACACGCTTTCATTTAACTCACTGTCTGTTGTTGTTATTGTTGTCGTTGTTGTATCCTCAAATCTTCAAACTCCATTTTAACCCACTTCCCAATGTGGTATCGACTGAAAACTTGGTATACAGCGAGGGAAAAAAGTATTTGATCCCCTGCTGATTTTGTACATTTGCCCACTGGCAAATAAATGATCAGTCTTGATTTGAAGCTTTCATGATTGCAGGAATCCATACTCTATGGTTCTTTCGGTAAAGTCACGTAGGTAGAAATAACATAAATGACTCTAGATTTGAAGCTTTCGTGACTGCAAAGATTCATATTCTTAGGTTTTTTCGGTTAAGTCACATAAGTACTTACGTGACTTAACCGAAAAAACCTAAGAATATGTACATAAATGACGTTTCGAACGCAACACAAGCGTTCGTCTTCGGGTGAAAATCGCGATAGCTGAGATGTCTGCTGTGATTTATTTTAATACACGCTTTCATTTAACTCACTGTCTGTTGTTGTTGTTATTGTTGTCGTTGTTGTATCCTCAAATCTTCAAACTCCATTTTAACCTACTTCCCAATGTGGTATCGACTGAAAACTTGGTATACAGCGAGGGAAAAAAGTATTTGATCCCCTGCTGATTTTGTACATTTGCCCACTGGCAAAGAAATGATCAGTCTATAATTTTAATGGTAGGTTTATTTGAACAGTGAGAGACAGAATAACAACAACAAAAATCCAGAAAAACGCATGTCAAAAATGTTATAAATTGATTTGCATTTTAATGAGGGAAATAAGTATTTGACCCCCCCTCAATCAGAAAGATTTCTGGCTCCCAGGTGTCTTTTATACAGGTAACGAGCTGAGATTAGGAGCACACTCTTAAAGGGAGTGCTCCTAATCTCAGCTTGTTACCTGTATAAAAGACACCTGTTCACAGAAGCAAGCAATCAATCAGATTCCAAACTCTTCACCATGGCCAAAACCAAAGAGCTCTCCAAGGATGTCAGGGACAAGATTGTAGACCTACACAAGGCTGGAATTGGCTACAAGACCATCGCCAAGCAGCTTGGTGAGAAGGTGACAACAGTTGGTGCGATTATTTGGAAATGGAAGATACACAAAAGAACTGTCAATCTCCCTCGGCCTGGGGCTCCATGCAAGATCTCACCTCGTCGAGTTGCAATGATCATGAGAACGTTGAGGAATCAGACCAGAACTACACGGGAGGATCTTGTCAATGATCTCAAGGCAGCTGGGACCATAGTCACCAAGAAAACAGTTGGTAACACACTACGCCGTGAAGGACTGAAATCTTGTAGCGCCCACAAGGTCCCCCTGCTCAAAAAAGCACATATACATGCCCGTCTGAAGTTTGACAATGAACATCTGAATGATTCAGAGGACAACTGGGTGAAAGTGTTGTGGTCAGATGAGACCAAAATGGAGCTCTTTGGCATCAACTCAATCGCCGTGTTTGGATGAGGAGGAATGCTGCCTATGACCCCAAGAACACCATCCCCACCGTCAAACATGGAGGTGGAAACATTATGCTTTGGGGGTGTTTTTCTGCTAAGGGGACAGGACAACTTCACCGCATCAAATGGACGATGGACGGGGCCATGTACCGTCAAATCTTGGGTGAGAACCTCCTTCCCTCAGCCAGGGCATTGAAAATAGGTCGTGGATGGGTATTCCAGCATGACAATGACCCAAAACACACGGCCAAGGCAACAAAGGAGTGGCTCAAGAAGAAGCACATTAAGGTCCTAGAGTGGCCTAGCCAGTCTCCAGACCTTAATCCCATAGAAAATCTGTGGAAGGAGCTGAAGGTTCGAGTTGCCAAACGTCAGCCTCAAAACCTTAATGACTTGGAGAAGATCTGCAAAGAGGTGTGGGAAAAAATCCCTCCTGAGATGTGTGCAAACCTGGTGGCCAACTACAAGAAACGTCTGACCTCTGTGATTGCCAACAAGGGTTTTGCCACCAAGTACTAAGTCATGTTTTGCAGAGGGGTAAAATACTTATTTCCCTAATTAAAATGCAAATCAATTTATAACATTTTTGACATGCGTTTTTCTGGATTTTGTTGTTGTTATTCTGTCTCTCACTGTTCAAATAAACCTACCATTAAAATTATAGACTGATCATTTCTTTGTCAGTGGGCAAACGCACAAAATCAGCAGGGGATCAAATACTTTTTTTCCCTCACTGTACTCATGCCATACTGATGACAATACTATATTCTACCATTTAAATTTTTTTTTAAACAATCTTTTTTACATGTTATGTTTCGGCTTGGTCTAATTGTCCATGGTAAACTGACGTTGGCTGTAATTGACCACGGTCGCTTACATTATGGCAAGCCTCGGGGACACTTCCTGGAGTCGTGGAGTTCTTCCATTACTAGTACATTTCATAAAAGCGTTTTTTTTAAATAATTTTTCAAAATATTACTTATTTTATTTCTACCTACGTGACTTTACCGAAAGAACCAAAGAGTATATATAAATACAGTCACACATGACTAACACGTCTATACGTATTCATATATTTTATATATTCATGATAAAAAAAGTTTCCCAAATTCATCACACGGGCTGTTATGGCACACTATGAGATGGCAAATGCTCATACACATTCCTGGAAGCCCTCGTATCTTCAAAATCAATGTTAACCCAAAACTCCAAGCACACAATTTCGGCTGTCTGGCTACAAAATGAATATTTATAATAGCTAAATTCAGGTGACATAGCAAAGGGTGTTGAAAATAATACTACTTGTGTTATGCATAAATTCATGTTCAATCGCAACTTAGAGGTGTGAAGCCAGGCTCAGATTTCCTTGAATGTAGGGATGAACAGATCTAACGTCAGCTGTATGTGTGCTGTGTCAACTTCCTGACTGCTTCCATTCTCATAAAGTTCCAGATGAAAACAAAAAACATAAACCAATGTTTTCATATAACCTCCGTGTTCAATAGAATTAATAGACTTTACTTCAAACACAAACTTGACACTGCCACACACTGCCGCGTTAAACAGGTGGTGGCGTGTCCAGAACCATGCCTGGTCCCACACCTTCATCTGCTCAGTATTAATGTTTCAGTTTAATTTATTAGGTACTAGCTTTACTACCTGGCTTAGCCCGAGACTTGGATTCTTGTCTTGAATGAATCCACGGCCTACGCGGAGGGTGGGGGGTGCGTGACGTCAGCATGCACACTGCGTGACGCTGCCGCATGCGGGTGACATCACAGACGTGAGGTCACCGCTCACTTGCCGTGCAAAATATATCCATTATTGCGCCCCCCCCCCCCCCCCAAAAAAATGCAAAAGTCAATTTTTATACTTTTTGCATTGTGTACAATCTGGAAGCTACCCACATGCCAAATTTAAAGTTTGTTGCATGTCGGAGAGTATGCTAAACATTTCCAACAGACACAAATTCACATATTTCCCTTTTATATATAGATAACCCCGTGAGCCATGCGGCTCTTGACTCGGGGGCAAACGCAACAAACAAAAACATGAACAAGAAACATCTTAAAGTGACTACACGCAACTTAAAAATCCAGGAAAAAACAGCAGAAAAAACACCGTATTTCAGCGCTGTGTGCAGAAAATCCCAGTGGGATGCAAGTCAACAAAAACAACCATAAGACAATTCAGATTAAAGTTATCAGGCTAACTCTGTACTACAACAAACAAACATGGCTAAACCAAAACGTTTTCAATGCTTCCTCACTCCACCAAATAATTGAGGATCAAATCGACATGGCCGAGTTTGCGTGTCTCCCTCTCTGTGTGGTGGCGTGGATTTTCCTCCAGATCCCCCTCCACATTTAAAAGTGAATATCAGCACGCGTTTCGAGCCTTTGACCGATAGTCATTTCAACACGTTGACAAAGCCCACCTTTAAATTTTGATTAAAAGCTTTCGTGACTGCAAGGATTCATATTCTTGTTCTTTTCGGTAAAGTCACGTAGAAGGTAAATAACAAAATAATATAAATATAAAAGAATGAAAAAGTTCTCACGACGTTTCGACTGCAACACAATCCACAGAAAGAAAATTAGAAAAACTGCCACTTTTTTCTAATTTTGAAAAACCGCCACTTTTTTCTAATTTTCTTGCTGTGGATTTCACACCTGATGATGATTGCTTGTGTTGCAGTCGAAACGTTGTGATAATTTTTTATATTTATATTATTTTGTTATTTCCCTTCTACCTGACTTTACTGACAGAACCAATAATAACAAAGCCCACCTTTGTTGTGTGGGCAGGTCGCTTCGCAAAACAAGAGCGGACGCTTGTGTTGCGCCCAAAACGTCGTGATTTTTTTTATTTTCTACCCACGTGACTTTACTGAAAGAACCAAAGAGTATGGATTCCTGCAGTCACGAAAGCTTCAAATCATAAGAGCGGTAACAGCAGCTCAAGTGGGCTTGACCTGGTTACGTAAAATAAAAACCGAAAGTGTCCTCGTCTTGTAGTATTTCCTGCAGTCACGAAAGCTCCAAATCCATGCCATGCTTATTCCTCTACCCCCCCTCTCTCTCAGCCCCCTTCTCTCTCTATTTAAGGCCTCGACACAGAGGTGTTGTTTCTGTGTGTGTGCCTATGTGTGTCTGTGTCTCTGTGTGTGTCTCTCTCTGTGTCTATGTGTTATCTCTCTCTATGTGGCTATCTCTGTCTCTCTCTGTGTACCTATGTGTGTCTCTCTGTGCGTCTCTCTCTCTTTCTCTGTGGGTCTCTCTGTGTGTGCCTGTGTGTGTCTCTCTCTGCTTATGTGTCTCTCTCTCTGTGTTATCTATCTCTGCTTGTGTGTCTGTGTCTCCGTGTCTGTGTTTTGTTCTCTCTCTCAAATTTAGCAATCTTTGGAAGAACGTTAATAAACCAGGTGGGGTGTTGACTGTTATGTTAGCCGACTCTGTGTTGTGTTGTATTGTAGTTCTAAGTTGATTTAATTTTATACCTACGTAACTTTACCGAAAGAACCAAAGAATATAGTTCTAAGTTTACAAGCTTTGCTTTCTCATTCATACCTGATGGTAATTGCTTGTGTTGCAAAGGAAACGTCGTATGCTATTACTTAATTAATGTTTTATTTCTACGTGACATTACCGAAAGAACCAAAGAGTATGGATCCCTGCACTCACGAAAGCTCCAGATCAAGTTTAACCGAGATAATTATTTTTGTTTCTTTCGGTAAAGTCACGTAGGTAAAAAATAAATTCAAATTTTTTTATAAAAAATATATTTTTATTAAAAATTATGAAAAAAAAATAAAATGAAAAAACAAAATAAAATTGGTTGTTTCTTCATTTATTGTATTTCTGCTGCCGTCACGAAAGCTTCCAGATCAAGTTGAAGCGAGAAAATTAAAGCAAAGGCCTTCAGGCGAGGGCAGGAGGCGAGGCCCCGCGTGGATAGGCCCCACGTTGTAATGTTCCAACCTGGACATGGATTCCCATTCTCGCTGCGACTCAAATGACATCCCTACGAGAGAGAGAGAAATAGCGAAGCTCTACCTTGGTAAACAACAAGAACCACTACAACAACCACGATTAAAATCTCTCACCTCAGATTTCAGCGGTAGCTTCTCGTTACCTCGCGTTAATGAGCCGCCAGTCACTGAGCGCAGCTTTGCCCAAATAAGGATTGTACCAGAACATAGGCGGTGACCAAGTAGGGGTGACATGACGTCACTAGCGAGGCGCACCGCCCCCCCCTGGAGTTTCACGCCGATGAGGTAATGCTTAGTGGTGACGTCAGAGAACGGGAGTCAGAGTTCAAGTTTTGCGTATAGCGGACGTCTATAAATGACGTCACGCGATTTTGGCCGATTTTTGACCCCTCACAAAGTCAGACCCCCCCTCAAATATGACGTCACAAACCTCTGCCCCACACCCCCAAAAAACATGCTTCAAATCGCTTTAAACTAGTCATTGTAGTGCGTATTTAACGTGGCGCTGCACTCTTGATGTTGTAGGAGAAAACATTTATTTAACCGGTCCTGAGCCACCCCTACATCGACTCATCCTCAAATGCGTACCCGGTGCGGTGTGCGAACATCGCCACCCGCTAACAGCACTTGCCCCAATAGTCTGTGAAGGCTATACCGGGGGGGATCTTTGTCTTTACACACACACACGTGGCCGATTACACAGATTAAAGGTCTCTACACAAGTTGCAGTGAAAGTTCACAAATTCACGTATCTGGTTTATTGTGTTTGGTTACAATTATTTACAACTCGTAAATTACAGGGCGTTTCAGAAGGGTGGACCGCATCTGCTTTGAAATTGGGTGTTATGTCATTTCTGTACGATTCCAATCATTTTCGATTTAAAGCTTTCGTGACTGCAGGGATTCATCTTCTTGGTTCTTTCGGTAAAGTCACGTAGAAAGGAAATAATAAAACATAAAATAAAATAATTTTCACGACGTTTCGGCCACAACACAAGCAGGTCTGTCACCTGAGGACGGCTGCTTGCGTTGTGACCAAAACGTCGTGAGAATGATTGTTTTATTTTTATTATTTCCCTTCTACGTGACTTTACCGAAAGAACCAAGAAGATGATTCGATTCATTTTTACACGCTTATATTTAACTCAATTCGTCTGTTGTATCCTCAAAAACTAAATCTTGTAACTCAAATTTTACACACTTCCCAATGTGCTAACGACTGCAAACTTGGTATAGCAATGTCATACTGATGACAACACGATATTATATCATAAAAAAGATCCAAAACATAGATTTTTTTAAACTTTTAACACGCTTTTATTTAAACTTACTGTATGCGTTGTATCCAAAAATCTTGTAACTCAATTTCAACCATATTCCCAATTTCGCATCGAATGCAAAATTCAGCAGGGGATCAAATACTTTTTTCCATCACTGTACTTATGCCATACTGATGACAATACTATATTCTATCATTAAATTTAAAACATTATTTTTTAAATGTTATGTTTCGGTTGGGTTTAATTGTCAACTGACTTTGGCTGTAATTGGCCACTGTCCCTTAAGTTATGGCAAGCTTCGGGGCCACTTCCTGGAGTCGTGGAGTTCTGCCATTACTAGTACATTTCATAAAAGCGTGTTTTGAAAAAGTTTTTTTCTTAATTACTTATTTAGTCAAAATCGCCAAATTTGCGGAGCTTCGCTACAAGTACAGGGAGAGACGAGAGGTGAGGCAGCGACGCGCTCAGACTCCCCTCTGATTGCGCAACCCATCAGACACTGGATGGAACGTGGGCAGTAAGGGCTTGCCTGTTACTATCTCAGCATGTCACCAATGGAATATTTGTAGACCCCTTCATTACATGTCCTCGCCTTCCATAGTCTGGGTAACTTAGTTTAAGTGCAGTAGAACCTCTGGTCACGACCATAATTCGTTGCATAACTTTGGTCGCAAACCGATTTGGTCGTGACTCAAACCTAATTTCCCCATTGGATTGTATGTAAATACGATTAATCCGTTCCAGACGCCTACGAACTGTATATAGTTATTTAAAGATTTTTAAGCAAAAAAGTTAATTATGCCATAGAATTCAGTGTAATAGTAAACTAAATGTAAAAACATTGCATAACACTGAGAAAACCTTTAACAGAGAAAACTGACATTGCCGGGACAAGGTTTAGAATCGTTCAACAAGATTACTATTTCGTCTGCTACATCAGTCGGTCGATTCTGAGATTCATGTTTCTATTGAAAGTAAGTTAACAGTAATATTTGGCTACAGTATTGTTTTTGGAAGCATTCACCGTAATATCGTATGAACGTTTACTTCACCGCATCATCGTATGAATGATGCGAGAAGAGATTAACGGGTTATGTTAGTGATTTACGCACTCAGCACTTTCGCTCCCTAAATTATGGCTCGAATGAGGGGGGAGGGGTATGACTACACTCACAAAATTAATCTTACCAGGAATTGTATATAGCAAAAGTTATATACATAACTGTTACGCTTTGTGTAATTCAAAAACAAAAATGGCGCGGAAGGGGAAATCGGCCGCGGCCGTGTTTGATCGCCACCGGAGTATGTGTTCGTGACCAGATTAAAAAATGTTGTAAATGTTTTGGTCGGAACCCGATTTTGTCGTGGTCAGAAGCGTTCGTGACCAGAGGTTCTACTGTATGTGTATAAAGATACGTAGGCTCGCTGGTCTCGTCATGAAACTGCAATGACAAAGCACCAGGGGAGGCAGCTATCACATCTGCCTCACTGAGGGGGGCGTGTCAGACACACCACCCCTCGGTAAGGCCACGCCCCCGGTGTCTCAACAGCCACTGACCTCACCGCATGTCACTGGCTCCCATCCGTCGGGTTCGAGGTTAATTACCGAGGCTCACAAAGCCAGACTCAGGCTCCCATAGGCTTCAGTGTTAATCACTGAGGCTCACAGAGCCAGACATATGCAACGACCTTTATTACACTCCCATAGGGTCCAGTGTTAATCACTGAGGCTCACAGAGCCAGACGAAGGCTCCCATAAGGGTTCAGTGTGAATCACTGAGGCTCCTGGCGATATATCTACCCAACCCACGGATCCACCAAGACTGGCCGCACTTACCCTGCAGGTTGAACCTAGGATTTCAATGTTCTACTTAACATTATTTTCATTAAAGGTCTGTGACAAAGGTGCATCTATTGGGAGCGACATCGTCTCAAGCTTACACATCTAACGGGTCTCCATTTGACTTTGTATTGCCGAGGAAGTCCACCCACACCTCCACTTCCACAAACTGCTGTGAGTTGCCTCGCTCTGCCTCACAGTCAGAATTCCCCTCCTGCTTCACGTTGACTCCATCGATGTGAAGGTCCCATTTTGGAGTCGAATCTTCATCTTCACATTTTAACTTCACTTCTTCGCTCTTCACCGTCACCTCTTCACATTTCACAATCACCTCTTCAAATTCCGCCTTGATACCTTTAAAAGTGCCCAAGCTGGGATTTTCTTCCGGTACTTGTTTCATGAGGGATGGGCTCCTTACGGCACTTTGACTTTCACAAGCTGATTTCAGACTCCACTCCTTGTGGATCTTCTGATGCTTCCGTGTTCTCTGGTGTTCTTTAAGACGTTGTGACCGTGCAAACGCCTTCCCGCACAAAGTGCACCTGAAGGGCTTCTCTCCTGTGTGTGTTCTCTGATGTGTTTGACAATTTGATGGATCTGCAAACGCTATTCCACACACACTGCACTTCAAGGGTTTCTCTCCTGTGTGCGTTCTCTGGTGTTGTGCAAGATGGTGTGACTGTGAAAATGCCTTCCCGCACACACTGCACTTGAAGGGTTTCTCTCCTGTGTGTGTTCTCTGGTGTATTGCAAGATCCCATGACTGTGAAAATGCCTTCCCACACACACTGCACTTGAAGGGTTTCTCTCCTGTGTGTGTTCTCTGGTGTCGTGCAAGATGGTGTGACTGTGAAAATGCCTTCCCACACACACTGCACTTGAAGGGTTTCTCTCCTGTGTGTGTTCTCTGGTGTTTTGCATGTTGTTGTGACTGTAAAAATGCCTTCCCACACACACTGCACTTGAAGGGTTTCTCTCCTGTGTGTCTTCTCTGGTGTCTTTGAAAAGGTGATGGATCTGCAAACGCCATTCCACACAGAGTGCACTTGAAGGGCTTTTCTCCCATGTGTTTTTTCTGGTGCTGTGTCAAACTTCCAGTCCGATCCGTGCTGTATGCACGCTGATCCCATTGTTGCCTTGCCGTACCGAGCCGTGCTGACTGCCTGTCCTCCATCAGACCAATTCTGCAGAGGAAGCGTCAGAGGAAACGACAGCTGCAGACAGAAAATACCATCTACACGTCAGTATCGAGTTACAGAGGAATGAATATACGCATATATATGTACACAATCTTGATTTGAAGCTTTCATGACTGCAGGAATCCATACTCTATGGTTCTTTCGGTAAAGTCACGTAAGTAGAAATAACATAAATGACGTTTCGAACGCAACACAAGTGTTCGTCTTCGGGTGAAAATCGCGATAACTGAGATGTCTGCTGTGATTTATTTTAATACACGCTTTCATTTAACTCACTGTCTGTTGTTGTTGTTGTCATTGTTGTCGTTGTTGTTATCCTCAAATCTTGCAACTCCATTTAACCCACTTTCCAATGTGGTATCGACTGCAAACTTGGTATACAGCGAGGGAAAAAAGTATTTGATCCCCTGCTGATTTTGTATGTTTGCCCACTGGCAAATAAATGATCAGTCTATAATTTTAATGGTAGGTTTATTTGAACAGTGAGAGACAGAATAACAACAACAAAATCCAGAAAAACGCATGTCAAAAATGTTATAAATTGATTTGCATTTTAATGAGGGAAATAAGTATTTGACCCCCCCTCAAACAGAAAGATTTCTGGCTCCCAGGTGTCTTTTATACAGGTAACGAGCTGAGATTAGGAGAACACTCTTAAAGGGAGTGCTCCTAATCTCAGCTTGTTACCTGTATAAAAGACACCTGTTCACAGAAGCAAGCAATCAATCAGATTCCAAACTCTTCACCATGGCCAAGACCAAAGAGCTCTCCAAGGATGTCAGGGACAAGATTGTAGACCTACACAAGGCTGGAATTGGCTACAAGACCATCGCCAAGCAGCTTGGTGAGAAGGTGACAACAGTTGGTGCGATTATTTGCAAATGGAAGATACACAAAAGAACTGTCAATCTCCCTCGGCCTGGGGCTCCATGCAAGATCTCACCTCGTCGAGTTGCAATGATCATGAGAACGTTGAGGAATCAGACCAGAACTACACGGGAGGATCTTGTCAATGATCTCAAGGCAGCTGGGACCATAGTCACCAAGAAAACAGTTTGTAACACACTACGCCGTGAAGGACTGAAATCTTGTAGCGCCCGCAAGGCCCCCCTGCTCAAAAAAGCACATATACATGCCCGTCTGAAGTTTGCCAATGAACATCTGAATGATTCAGAGGACAACTTGGTGAAAGTGTTGTGGTCAGATGAGACCAAAATGGAGCTCTTTGGCATCAACTCAATCGCCGTGTTTGGATGAGGAGGAATGCTGCCTATGACCCCAAGAACACCATCCCCACCGTCAAACATGGAGGTGGAAACATTATGCTTTGGGGGTGTTTTTCTGCTAAGGGGACAGGACAACTTCACCGCATCAAATGGACGATGGACGGGGCCATGTACCGTCAAATCTTGGGTGAGAACCTCCTTCCCTCAGCCACGGCATTGAAATTGGGTCGTGGATGGGTATTCCAGCATGACAATGACCCAAAACACACGGCCAAGGCAACAAAGGAGTGCCTCAAGAAGAAGCACATTAAGGTCCTTGAGTGGTCTAGCCAGTTCCCATACCTTAATCCCATAGAAAATCTGTGAAAGGAGCTGAAGGTTCGAGTTGCCAAACGTCAGCCTCGAAACCTTAATGACTTGGAGAAGATCTGCAAAGAGGTGTGAGAAAAAATCCCTCCTGAGATGTGTGCAAACCTGGTGGCCAACTACAAGAAACGTCTGACCTCTGTGATTGCCAACAAGGGTTTTTCCACCAAGTACTAAGTCATGTTTTGCAGAGGGGTCAAATACTTATTTCCCTCATTAAAATGAAAATCAATTTATAACATTTTTGACATGCGTTTTTCTGGATTTTGTTGTTGTTATTCTGTCTCTCACTGTTCAAATAAACCTACAATTAAAATTATAGACTGATCATTTCTTTGCCAGTGGGCAAACGTACAAAATCAGCAGGGGATCAACTACTTTTTTCCCTCACTGTACTTATGCCACTGATGACAATACTATATTCTATCATTACATTTTTTTTTTAAACAATCTTTTTTACATGTTATGTTTTGGCTTTGGTTCAATTTTCCACGGTGGCTGTAATTTACCACGGTCGCTTACATTATGGCAAGCCTCGGGGCCACTTCCTGGAGTCGTGGAGTTCTTCCATTACTAGTACATTTCATAAAAGCGTGTTTTTAAAATAATGTTAAAAAATATTACTTCTTTTATTTCTACCTACGTGACTTTACCGAAAGAACCAAAGAGTATATATAAATAGTCACACATGACTAACATGTCTATACGTATTCATATATTTTATATATTCATGATAAAAACATTTTTCCCAAATTCATCACACGGGCTGTTATGGCGCACTATGAGAGGGCAAATGGTCATACACATTCCTGGAAGCCCTCGTATCTTCAAAATGAATGTTAACCCAAATCTCCAAGCACACAATTTCGGCTGTCTGCCTACAAAATGAATATTTATAAGAGCTAAATTCAGCTGACAAAGCAAAAGGTGTTGAAAATAATACTAATTGTGTTATCCATTAATTCACGTTCAATCGCAACTTAGAGGTGTGAAGCCAGGCTCAGATTTCCTTGAATGCTGGGTTGAACAGATCTAACATCAGCTGCATGTGTGTTGGGTCAACTTCCTGACTGCTTCCATTCTCTTAAAGAGTTCCAGATGAAAACAAAAAACATACACCATTGTTTTCATATAACCTCCGTGTTCAATAGAGTTAATAGACTTTACTTCAAACACAAACTTGACACTGCCACACACTGCCGCGTTAAACAGGTGGTGGCGTGTCCAGAACCATGCCTGGCCACACACCTTCATCTGTTCAGTATTAATGTTTCAGTTTCATTTATTTGGTACTAACTTTACTACCGGGCTTCGCCCGAGACTTGGATTCTTGTCTTGAATGAATCCACGGCCTACGCAGAGGGTGGGGGGTGCGTGACGTCAGCATGCACACTGCGTGACGCTGCCGCATGCGGGTGACATCATAGACATGAGGTCACCACTCACTTGCCGTGCAAAATATATTCATTATTGCGCCCCCCCCCCCAGAAAAATGCAAAAGTCAATTTTTATACTTTTTGCATTGTGTACAGTCTGGAAGGTACCCACATGCCAAATTGTAAGTTTGTTGCATGTCGAAAAATATGCTAAACATTTAGAACAGATACACATTCACAAATTTCCCTTTTATGTATAGATAACCCCGTGAGCCATGTGGCTCTTGACTCGGGGGCAAACGCAACAAACAAAAACGTGAACAAAAAACATCTTAAAGTGACTACACGCAACAAACAAATCCAGGAAAAAACAGCAGAAAAAACACCACATTTCAACTCTGTATGCAGAAAATCCCAGTGGGATTGCAAGTAAACAAAAACAACCATAGGGCAATTTAGATTAAAGTTATCAGGCTAACTGTGTACTACAAAAAACAAACATGGCTAAACCAAAACGTTTTCAATGCTTCCTCACTCCACCAAATAATTCAGGATCAAATCAACATGGCTGAGTTTGCGTGTCTCCCTCTCTCTCTATGTTGGCGTGGATTTTCCTCCAGATCGCCCTCCACATTTAAGAGTGAATATCAGCACGCGTTTAGAGCTTTGACCGATAGTCATTTCCACACGTTGACAAAGCCCACCTTTGTTGTGTGGGCAGGTCGCTTCTGAAAACAAGAGCGGACGCTTGTGTTGCGCCCAAAACGTCGTGATTTATTTTATTTTCTACCTACGTGACTCTACCGAAAGAACCAAAGAGTATGGATTCCTGCACTCACGAAAGCTTCAAATCATAAGAGCGGTATAGCAGCTCAAGCGGGCTTGGCCTGGTTACATAAAATAAAAACCGAAAGTGTCCTCGTGTTGTAGTATTTCCTGCAGTCACGAAAGCTCCAAATCTCTCATTGCCATGCTCATTTCTCTACCCACCCCCTTCTCTCAGCCCCCTTCTCTCTCTATTTAAGGCCTCAACACAGGTGTTGTTTCTGTGTGTGCCTATGTGTGTGTGTCTCTGTGTGTCTCGGTGTCTGTGTTATCTCTCTCTGTGTGCCTATGTGTGTCTCGCTCTGTGTGCCTATGTGTGTGTCTCTCTCTGTGTGTTTGTGTTATCTCTCTCTCTACTTGTGTGTATGTGTCTGTGTCTCCGTGTCTGTGTTTAGTTCTCTCTCTCAAATGTATCAATCTTTGGAAGAACGTTAATAAACCAGGTGGGGAGTTGACTGTTATCTTTGCCGACTCTCTGTGTTGTATTGCATTGTAGTTCTAAGTTTATTTAATTTTATACCTACGTAACTTTTACCAAAATAACCAAAGAGTATAGTTCAAGTTTACAAGCTTTGCTTTAAATTTCGATTTAAAGCTTTGCTTTCTCATTCATTTGTACCTGATGGTGATTGCTCGTGTTGCAAAGGAAACGTCGTATGCTATTACTTATTTTTTCTTCCTACGTGACTTTACCGAAAAAAACAAAGAGTATGGATTCCTGCACTCACGAAAGCTTCAAATCATAAGAGCGGTACAGCAGCTCAAGTGGGCTTGGCCTGGTTACATAAAATAAAAACCGAAAGTGTCATCGTGTTGTAGTATTTCCTGCAGTCACGAAAGCTCCAAATTTCTCATTGCCATGCTCATTTCTCTACCCCCTCCCTCTCTCTCAGCCCCCTTCTCTCTCTATTTAAGGCCTTGTCACAGAGGTGTTGATTATGTGTGCGCCTATGTGTGTGTCTCTGTCTGTGTGCCTATGTGTGTATCTCTCTGTCTCTGTGTTATCTCTCTCTGTGTCTCTCTCTCTCTCTCTCTGTGTGCCTATGTGTCTCTCTCAGTGTGCCTATGTGTGCCTCTTCTTGGTTCTTTCGGTAAAGTCACGTAGAAGGGAAGTAATAAAATAATAAAAACAAAACATAATAAAATAATTCTCACGACGTTTCGGCCACAACGCAAGCAGCCGTCCTCAGGTTATTTTTATTACTTCCCTTCTACGTGACTTTACCGAAAGAACCAAGACGATGAATCCCTGCAGTCACGAAAGCTTTAAATCGAAATTTACGTGTGCCTCTGTCTGTTTTATCTCTCTGTGTGCCTATGTGTGTATCTCTCAAAAAATACATTTAGTTGTTTTTTCATTTTTTATGAAAAAAAGAATTTGTATTATAAAAATATTATGAAAAAACAACTAAAATAAATGATAAAACTAAATTAAATTGGTTGTTTCTTCATTTATTTTATTTCTGCTGCCATCACAAAAGCTTCCAGATCAAGTTGAAGCGAGAGAATTCAAACAAAGGCCTTCAGGCGAGGGCAGGAGGCGAGGCCCCGCGTGACTAAGCCCCACGTTGTAATGTCCCAACCTGGACATGGATTCCCATACTCGCTGCGACTCAATTGACATCCCTACGAGAGAGAGGCTCTACCTTGGTAAACAACAACCACAACAACCACCACGATGAAAATCTCTCACCTCGGATTTCAACGGCAGCTTCTCGTTACCTCGCTACGTTATGGCGGCAGCAGGATGTGACGTAATATTCACTTCCGGGGTACAAGACACGCCCCCAACGAGCGGGGCTGGGTAACTGAATAACTTATTCGAGAATTGAAGCTTTCGTCAACTGCAGGAATGACTCAACTCGTTGTACACTCATTGGCTCTTTCGGTAAAGTCACGCGTCGAAGGATGATGGGGCGTGGGTGCTGAACCCGTCGCAATAAAAAACAAACTCGCGACGGCTTTAACGAATATATTATGTTAATTTTATTTTTTATTTAATTTCTTTACCGAAATAACCAATGAGCAATTCCTGCAGTCACCAAAGCTTAGATCCTAGATTATGTTAAATAGCCGCCAGTCACTGGGCGTAGCTTTGCCCAAATAAGGACTATACCGGAACAGATATTGGCGGTGACCAAGCAGGGGTGACATGACGTCACTAGCGAGGCGCACCGCCCCCCCTGGCGTTTCACGCCGATGAGGTAATGCTTAGTGGTGACGTCAGAGAACGGGGGTCAGAGTTCCAGTTTTGCGTATTGGGGCCGTTCATAAATGACGTCACGTTATTTTGGCCGATTTTTGACCCCCTCCCCCCCTCGTCACAAAAAGTCAGACCCCCTCAAATATGACGTCACAAAGCTCTGCCCCCCCCCCCCCCCCAAATATATAAAACACGCTTCAAATCGCTTTAAACTATTGTCATTGTAGTGCGTATTTAATGTGGCGCTGCACTCTGATGTTGTAGGAGAAAAGATTTATTAGAAAGGAGACCAGGGGGGCGGGGGTTTGAGAAATGTCACATCACATCAAAATGCACAACTTTAAATACCTATAGAGTATAGACAAAACGTTCTGCTTAATTCTAGATTTGAAGCTTTCGTGACTGCAAGGATTCATACTCTTTGTTTTTTTCGGGAAAGTCACGTTGGTTCTACTTAATTAAATACTTTTTTTATAAATGTGTATATATTTGTAAACATTCTTTTTCATATGTTATGTTACGGCTTGGGTCTAATTGTCCCCACGGTCGACTGACGTTGGATGTAATTGGCCACTGTCCCTTACGTTATGGCAAGCTTCGGGGCCACTTCCTGGAGTCGTGGAGTTCTGCCATTACTAGTACATTTCATTCATAAAAGCGTGTATTAAAAAAAGTTTTTTTCTTAATTACTTATTTGTAGTCAAAATCGCCAAATTTGCGGAGCTTCGCTGCAAGTACAGGGAGAGACGAGAGGTGAGGCAGCGACGCGCTCAGCCTCCCCTCTGATTGCGAAACCCCTCAGACACTGGATGGAACGCGGGCAGTAAGGGCGTGCCTGTTACTATCTCAGCATGTCACCAATAGAATGTTTGTAGACCCCTTCATTACATGTCCTCGCCTTCCATAGTCCGGGTAACTTAGTTCAAGTACAGTAGAACCTCTGATCATGACAATAATTCGTTCCATAACTTTGGTCACAACCCGATTTGGTCGTGACTCGAACTTAATTTCCCCATTGGATTGTATGTAAATACGATTAATCCATTCCAAACTCCTATGAACTGTATATAGATTTTTAAGCACAACAATAGTTAATTATGCCATAGAATTCAGTGTAATAGTAAACTAAATGTAAAAACATTGCAAAACACTGATAAAACCTTGAACAGAGAAAACTAACATTGCCGCGACAAGGTTTAGAATCGTTCAACAAGATTACTATTTCGTCTGCTACATCAGTCGGTCGATTCTGAGAGAGAGAATATTCGTATGAGCAATTCATGTTTCTGTAATAAAGGACTCCTTCACACGATGTCACTCTCCGTTGGTCCTTTATTTATATTCTTCTCCTGCGCACCCCGCTGGCCTCCTCCTCGGCCCAGCGTCGTCTCTCCTCGCGCCCCACGCACTCTGCAGCCACCCCGCTGCTCCGTGTGCTCCCGCACACTCTGCAGCCACTCTGCTGCCCGTGCAACCTCGCATGCTCCGCTAGCCCTCCGCTAGCCCCGTGCTACCTGCAAGGTCCCGCTAGCCACTCTATTTGCCCCGTGCAACCTCGCACGCCCTGTGCGCCCCGCACACTCCGCTCTCTCTCCGCACACCGCTAGCTGGCGGGGTGCCAAGCCCTATCAGCCTCGCGGCTGATGGCACGGCGGCCACCCAACGTGGTCTCGCCTCTTCACTACCTCGACTGCCCATATCTCTTCCGGGCTCCCTCCTATAACCTCTCACCCACGTGACCCTGACTCCTCCCTCTCGGATCGTCACATCCGGCCTTCCCATTTACGCTCGCATTACATTTCTATTGAAAATAAGTTAACAGTAATATTTGGGTACAGTATTGTTTTTGGAAGCATTCACCGTAATATCGTATGAATGTTTACTTCACCGCATCATCGTATGAATGATGCGAGAAGAGATTAACGGGTTCTTATGTTAGCAATTTACGTACTCAACGCTGTCGCTCTCTAAATTATGGCTTGAATGAGGGGGGAGGGGTATGACTACACTCACACAATTTATATCTTACTAGGAATTTTATATAGCAAAAGTTATATACATAACTGTTACGCTTTGTGTAATTCAACAACAAAAATGGCGCGGAAGGGGAAATCGGCCGCGGCTGTGTTTGATCGCCACCCGAGTATGTGTTCGTGACCAGATTAAAAAATGTCAATGTTTTGGATGGAACCCAATTTGGTCGTGGTCAGAAGCGTTCGTGACCAGAGGTTCTACTGTATGTGTATAAAGATACGTAGGCTCGCTGGTCTCGTCATGAAACTGCAATGAAAAAGCACCAGGGTCGGCAGCTATCACATCTGCCTCACTGAGGGGGGGCGTCAGACACACCCCCCCTTCGGTGAGGCCACGCCCCCGGTGCCTCCAGTCAGCCACAGACCTCACCCCATGTCACTGGCTCCCATCCATCGCGTTCAGTGTTAATTACCGAGGCTCACAAAGCCAGACTCAGGCTCCCATAGGCTTCAGTGTTAATCACCGAGGCTCACAGAGTCAGACGAAGGCTCCAATAGGGTTTAGTGTGAATCACTGAGGCTCCTGGTGAGATATCTACCCAACCAACAGATCCACCAAGACTGACCGCTCTTACCCTGCAGGTTAAACCTAGGATTTCAATGTTCTACTTCACATTATTTTCATTAAAGGCCTGTGACAAAGGTGCATCTATTGGGAGCGACATCGTCTCAAGCTTACACATCTCTGCCTCACAGTCAGAATTCCCCTCCTGCTTCACGTTGCCTCCATCGATGTGAAGGTCCCATTTTGGAGTCGAATCTTCATCTTCACATTCTACCTTCACTTCTTCGCTCTTCACCGTCACCTCTTCACATTTCACAATCACCTCTTCAAATTCCACCTTGATACCTTTAAAAGTGCACAAGCTGGGATTTTCTCCCGGTACTTGTTTCATGAGGGATGGGCTCTTTACGGCACTTTGACTTTCACAAGCTGATTTCAGACTCCACTCCTTGTGGCTCTTCTGATGCTTCTGTGTTCTCTGGTGTGTTGCAAGATTAGATGACTGTGAAAATGCCTTCCCACACACACTGCACTTGAAGGGTTTCTCTCCTGTGTGTGTTCCCTGGTGTCTTGCAAGATGCTGTGACCATAAAAATGCCTTCCCACACACACTGCACTTGAAGGGTTTCTCTCCTGTGTGTGTTCTCTGGTGTTTTGCAAGATCAGATGACTGTGAAAATGCTTTCCCACACACACTGCACTTGAAGTGTTTCTCTCCTGTGTGTGTTCTCTGGTGTTTTGCAAGATCAGATGACTGTGAAAATGCCTTCCCACACGCACTGCACTTGAAGGGTTTCTCTCCTGTGTGTGTTCTCTGGTGTCTTACAAGATCAGATAACTGTGAAAATGCCTTCCCACACACACTGCACTTGAAGGGTTTCTCTCCTGTGTGTGTTCTATGATGTGTTGCAAAATAAGATGACTGTGAAAATGCCTTCCCACACACACTGCACTTGAAGGGTTTCTCTCCTGTGTGTGCTCTCTGGTGTGTTGCAAAATAAGACGACTGTGAAAATGCCTTCCCACACACACTGCACTTGAAGGGTTTCTCTCCCGTGTGTTTTCTCTGGTGTCTTTGAAGAGTTGATAAATCTGAAAACGCCATCTCGCACATAGTGCACTTGAAGGGTTTCTCTCCCGTGTGTTTTCTCTGGTGTCTTTGAAAAGTTGCTAAATATGCAAACGCCATCTCGCACATAGTGCACTTGAAGGGCTTCTCTCCCGTGTGTTTTCTCTGGTGTCTTTGAAAACTTGATGGATCTGCAAACGCCATTCCACACAGAGTGCACTTGAAGGGTTTCTCTCCTGTGTGTGTTCTCTGGTGTGTTGCAAGATTAGATGAATCTGAAAATGCCTTCCCACACACTCTGCACTTGAAGGGTTTCTCTCCCGTGTGTGTTCTCTGGTGTCTTTGAAGAGTTGATGAATCTGCAAACGCCATCTCACACAGAGTGCACTTGAAGGGTTTCTCTCCCGTGTGTGTTCTTTGGTGTCTTTGAAGAGTTGATAAATGTGCAAACGCCATCTCACACAAAGTGCACTTGAAGGGCTTCTCTCCCGTGTGTTTTCTCTGGTGTCTTTGAAGAGTTGATGAATTTGCAAACGCCATCTCACACAGAGTGCACTTGAAGGGTTTCTCTCCCGTGTGTTTTTTCTGGTACTGTTTCAAACTTCCAGTCCGATCCGTGCTGTATGCACGCTGGTCCCATTGTTGCCTTGCCGTACCGAGCCGCGCTGACTGCCTGTGCTCCATCAGACCAATTCTGCTGAGGAAGCGTCAGAGGAAGCGACAGCTGCAGACAGAAAATACCATCGACACGTCAGTAGAGGCACAGAGGAATGAATATACGCATATATATGTACACAATCTTGATTTGAAGCTTTCATGACTGCAGGAATCCATACTCTTTGGTTCTTTCGGTAAAGTCACGTAGGGTAGAAATAACATAAATGACGTTTCAAATGCAACACAAGCGTTCGTCTTCGGGTGAAAATCGCAATCGCCGAGATGTCTGCTGTGATTTATTTTTATACATGCTTATATTTAACTCACTCTGATTTTGTACGTTTGCCCACTGGCAAAGAAATGATCAGTCTATAATTTTAATGGTAGGTTTATTTGAACAGGGAGAGACAGAATGACAACAAAATTCAGAAAAACGCATGTCAAAAATGTTATAAATTGATTTGCATGTTAATGAGGGATATACGTATTTGACCCCCACTCAATCAGAAATATTTCTGGCTCCCAAGTGTCTTTAATACAGGTAACAATCTGAGATTAGGAGCACTCCCTTTAAGAGTGAGCTCCTAATCTCAGCTCGTTACCTGTATAAAAGACACCTGTTCACAGAAGCAAGCAATCAATCAGATTCCAAACTCTTCACCATGGCCAAGACCAAAGAGCTCTCCAAGGATGTCAGGGACAAGATTGTAGACCTACACAAGGCTGGAATTGGCTACAAGACCATCGCCAAGCAGTTTGGTGAAACAGTTGGTAACACACTACGCCGTGAAGGACTGAAATCCTGTAGCGCCCGCAAGGTCCCCCTGCTCAAGAAAGCACATATACATGCCCGTCTGAAGTTGGCCAATGAACATCTGAATGATTCAGGGGACAAGTGGGCGAAAGTGTTGTGGTCAGATGAGACCAAAATGGAGCTCTTTGGTATCAACTCAACTCGCCGTGTTTGGAGGAGGAGGAATGCTGCCTATGACCCCAAGAACACCATCCCCACCGTTAAACATGGAGGTGGAAACATTATGCTTTGGGGGTGTTTTTCTTCTAAGGGGACAGGACAACTTCACCACATCAAATGGACGATGGACGGGGCCATGTACCGTCAAATCTTGGGTGAGAACCTCCTTCCCTCAGCCAGGGCATTGAAAATGGGTCGTGGATGGGTATTCCAGCATGACAATGACCCAAAACACACGGCCAAGGCAACAAAGGAGTGCCTCAAGAAGAAGCACATTAAGGTCCGAGAGTGGCCTAGCCAGTCTCCAGACCTTAATCCCATAGAAAATCTGTGGAGGGACCTGAAGGTTCGAGTTGCCAAACGTCAGCCTCGAAACCTTTATGACTTGGAAAAGATCTGCAAAGAGGTGTGGGAAAAAATCCCTCCTGAGATGTGTGCAAACCTGGTGGCCAACTACAAGAAACGTCTTGACCTCTGTGATTGCCAACAAGGGTTTTGCCACCAAATACTAAGTCATGTTTTGCAGAGGGGTCAAATAATTATTTCCCTCATTAAAATCCAAATCAATTGATAACATTTTTGACATGTGTTTTTTGTTGTTGTTATTCTATCTCCCAGTGTTCAAATAAACCTACCATTAAATTATAGACTGATCATTTCTTTGTCAGTGGGCAAACGCACAAAATCAGCAGGGGATCAAATACTTTTTCCCTCACTGTACTTATGCCATACTGATGACAATACTATATTCAATCATTAAATAAAAAATGTTTAAACAATCTTTTTTACATGTGTAGTGACATGGGAGGGGAGGGGCTGCTGGGGGGCTCTGGGACCCTGGCCGGCCTAGGCGCTTGGGCCCCTTGGCACCGGACGCTGGGTTCCCAGGCGGTCCAGACGCTTAAGCCTCTTGGGGCCAGGCGTTGGGTTCCCAGGCGGCCCAGGCGCTTAAGCCCCTTGGCGCCACCAACGGGGGGGGGGGGCTGTGTGTGCTCTGTGGGATATCTGGGGGCACACATGGCCCCACCCCTCGTTGGGGACTAGGCATAAAAGGGGAGCTCCCTGGACGATCAGGCCAGTCGTAGCTCAAGACCCAAGACCAGCCATCTCAGGACCCTGGGACGCTGCGAGAGCCAGTGGTGGGACTCTCGAACTCCCGGCTCTACGTCCTTGTGAGGGCGAGTTCCAGAGCGTAGCCAGAGTAGTGTATCTAGGCTGTGTACCTAGGCTGTGTACCTCGGCTGTAACAGAGCATCAGGACTGTTGGAGAGTTGTTGGATTGTAATAAAGAAGTTACCTCTACAAGTGTCTCCGGAACCCATTACACATGTTATGTTTCTGGCTTTGGTCTAATTGTCCACGGTAAACTGACGTTGGCTGTAAATGACTACGGTCGCTTACGTTATGGCAAGCCTCGGGGCCACTTCCTTGAGTCGTAGAGTTCTTCCATTACTAGTACATTTCATAAAAGCTTGTTTTTAAAATAATTTTTAAAAATATTACTTATTTTATTTCTACCTATGTGACTTTACCGAAAGCACCAAAGAGGATATATAAATACAGTCACACATGACTAACACGTCCATACGTATTCATATATTTTATATATACATGATAAAAAAAAGTTTCCCAAATTCATCACAAGGGCTGTTATGGCGCACTATGAGAGGGCAAATGGTCATACACATTCCTAGAAGCCCTCGTATCTTCAAAATTAATGTTAACCCAAAACTCCAAGCACACAATTTCGGCTGTCTGGCTACAAAATGAATATTTATAAGAGCTAAATTCAGCTGACATAGCAAAGGGTGTTGAAAATACTACTACTTGTGTTATGCATAAATTCATGTTCAATCGTAACTTAGAGGTGTGAAGCCAGGCTCAGGTTTCCTTGAATGCTGGGATGAACAGATCTAACGTCAGCTGTATGTGTGCTGTGTCAACTTTCTGACTGCTTCCATTCTCATAAAGAATTCCAGATAAAAACAAAAAACGTAAACCATTGTTTTCATATATCCTCCGTATTCAATAGAGTTAATAGACTTTACTGCAAACACAAATTTGACACTGCCACACACTGCCGCGTTAAACAGGTGGTGGCGTGTCCAGAACCATGCCTGGCCACACACCTTCATCTGCTCAGTATTAATGTTTCAGTTTCATTAATTAGGTACTCACTTTACTACCTGGCTTCGCCCGAGACTTGGATTCTTGTCTTGAATGAATCCACGGCCTACGCGGAGGATGGGGGGTGGGGAATGCGTAACGTCAGAATGCACACTGCGTGACGCTGCCGCATGCGGGTGACATCACAGACGTGAGGTCACCGGCTCACTTGCCGTGCAAAATATATCCATTATTGCGCCCCCCCCCCCCATTTGTATACTTTTTGCATTGTGTACAGTCTAGAAGGTACCCACATGCCAAATTTTAAGTTTGTTGCATGTCGGAAAGTATGCTAAACATTTCGAACAAATACACATTCACAAATTTCCCTTTTATATATAGATAACCCCATGAGCCATGCGGCTCTTGACTCAGGTGCAAACGCAACAAACAAAAACGTGAACAAGAAACATCTTAAAGTGCCTACACGCAACAACAAAATCCAGGAAAAAACAGCAGAAAAAACACCGCATTTCAACGCTGTATGCAGAAAATCCCAGTGGGATGCAAGTCAACAAAAACAGCCATAGGACAATTTAGATTAAAGTTATCAGGCTAACTGTGTACTACAAAAAACAAACATGGCAAAACCAAAACGTTTTCAATGCATCCTCACTCCACCAAATAATTCAGGATCAAATCAACATGGCTGAGTTTGCGTGTTTCCCTCTCTCTCTGTGGTGGCGTAGATTTTCCTCCAGATCCCCCTCCACATTTAAGAGTGAATATCAGCACGCGTTTAGAGCCTTTGACCGATAGTCATTTCCACACTTTGACAAAGCCCACCTTTGTTGTGTGGGTAGGTCGCTTCTGAAAACAAGAGCGGACGCTTGTGTTGTGCCCGAAACGTCGTGATTTATTTTATTTTCTACCTATGTGACTCTCCCGAAAGAACCAAGGGAGTATGGATTCCTGCACTCACGAAAACTTAAAATCATAAGAGCGGTATAGCAGCTCAAGCAGGCTTGGCCTGGTTACATAAAATAAAAACCGAAAGTGTCCTCGTCTTGTAGTATTTCCTGCAGTCACGAAAGCTTCTCTCTCTATTTAAGGCCTTAACACAGGTGTTGTTTCTGTGTATGTCTATGTGTGTGTCTCTGTCTGTGTTAGCTCTCTCTCTGTGCCTATGTGTGTGTCTCTGTGTACCTATGTGTATGTCTCTCTCTGTGTGCCTTTGTGTCTCTCTCTCTCTCTCTCCGTCTCTCTCTGTGTCCATGTGTGTCTCCCTCTGTGTGCCTATGTGTGTGTGTCTCCCTCTGTGTGCCTATGTGTGTGTGTCTATGTGTGTCTCTCTCTGTCTCTTTGTTATCTCTGTGTGCCTATGTGTGTCTCTCTTTCTCATTGTGACTCTCTCTGTGCGCCTATGTGTGTGTCTCTGTCTTCGTGTTATCTCTCTCTGTGTACCTACGTGTGTGTTCTCTGTGCGTCTCTGTGGTGTCTCTCTCTGTCTCTCTCTCTCTGTGTGCCTATGTGTGTCTCGCTCTGTGTGCCTATGTGTGTGTGTCTCTCTCTCTGTTATCTCTCTGCTTATGTGTCTCTCTGTGTCTGTGTTATCTCTCTCTGCTTGTGTGTCTCGTGTGTGTCTGTGTTTAGTTCTCTCTCTCAAATTTAGCAATCTTCGGAAGAACGTTAATAAACCAGGTGGGGTGTTGACTGTTATGTTAGCCGACTCGCTGTGTTGTGTTGTATTGCATTGTCGTTCTAAGTTTATTTTATACCTACGTAACTTTACCGAAAGAACCAAAGAATATAGTTCTAAGTTTACAAGCTTTGCTTTCTCATTCATTTGTACCTGATGGTGATTGCTCGTGTTGCAAAGGAAACGTCGTACGCTATTACTTAATTAATGTTTTCTTTCTACGTGACTTTACCGAAAGAACCAAAGAGTATGAATCCCTGCACTCACGAAAGCTCCAGATCAAGTTTAACCGAGATAATTATTTTAGTTTTTTTTCGGCAAAGTCACGTAGGTAAAAAATGAAACAACGACTAAAATAAAAAATGTATTAAATGTTTTTTATTAAAAATATTTTTAATAAAAAAATATTAGTTTTAATAAAAAATAATTATATTATGAATAAGCAACTAAAATAAATGAAACAAAATACATTCAATTGGTTGTTTCTTCATTTATTTTATTGCTGCTGCCGTCACGAAACCTTCCAGATCAAGTTTAAGCGAAATAATTCAAACAAAGGCCTTCAGGCGAGGACAGGAGGCTCGGCCCCGCGTGGCTCGGCCCCGCGTTGTAACGTCCCAACCTTGACATGGATTCCCATTCTCGCTGCGACTCAATTGACATCCCTACGAGAGAGAGAGAGGCTCTACCTTGGTAAACAACAACAACCACCACGATGAAAATCTCTCACCTCGGATTTCAACGGCAGCTTCTCGTTACCTCGCTACGTTACGGGGGCAGCAGGATGTGACGTAATATTCACTTCCGGGGTACAAGACACGCCCCCAACGAGCGGGGCTGGGTAACTGAATAACTTATTCGAGAATTGAAGCTTTCGTCAACTGCTGGAATGACTCAACTCGTTGTACACTCATTGGCTCTTTCGGTAAAGTCACGCGTCGAGGGATGATGGGGCGTGGGTGCTGAACCCGTCGCAATAAAAACAAACTCGCGACGGCTTTTAACGAATATATTATGTTAATTTTATTTTTTATTTAATTTCTTTACCGAAATAACCAATGAGCAATTCCTGCAGTCACCAAAGCTTAGTTCGTAGATTATGTTAATGAGCCGCCAGTCACTGGGCGTAGCTTTGCCCAAATAAGGACTATACCGGAACAGATATTGGCGGTGAACAAGCAGGGGTGACATGACGTCACTAACGAGGCGCACCGCCCCCCCTGGCGTTTCACACCGATGAGGTAATGCTTAGTGGTGACGTCAGAGAACGGGGATCAGAGTTCAAGTTTTGCGTATTGGGGCCGTTCATAAATGACGTCACGTGATTTTGGCCGATTTTTGACCCCCCTCCCCCCCTCGTCACAAAAAGTCAGACCCCCTCAAATATGACGTCACAAAGCTCTGCCCTCCCCCCCCCAAATATATAAAACACGCTTCAAATCGCTTTAAACTATTGTCATTGTAGTGCTATTTAATGTGGCGCTGCACTCTGATGTTGTAGGAGAAAAGATTTATTAGAAAGGAGACCAGGGGGGCGGGGGTTTGAGAAATGTCACATCACATCAAAATGCACAACTTTAAATACATATAGAGTATAGACAAAACGTTCTGCTTAATTCTAGATTTTAAGCTTTCGTGACTGCAAGGATTCATACTTTGTTTTTTTCGGGAAAGTCACGTTGGTTCTACTTAATTAAATACTTTTTAATAAATGTGTATATATTTGTAAACATTCTCTTTCATATGTTATGTTTCGGCTTGGGTCTAATTGTCCACGATGGGCAAACGCACAAAATCAGCAGGGGATCAAATACTTTTTTCCCTCACTGTACTTATGCCAAACTGATGACAATACTATATTCTATCATTAAATAAAAAATGTTTAAACAATCTTTTTTACATGTTATGTTTTGGCTTGGGTCTAATTGTTCCCACGGTCAACTGACGTTGGATGTAATTGTCTACCGTCCCTTACGTTATGGCAAACTTCGGGGCCACTTCCTAGAGTCGTGGAGTTCTTCCATTACTCGTACATTTAATAAAAGCGTGTTTTTAAAAAAGTTTTTTACATACTTATAGTCAAAATCTCCAAATTTGCGGTGCTTCGCTGCAAGTACAGGGCGAGACGAGGGGTGAGGCAGCGACGCGCTCAGCCTCCCCTCTGATTGCGCAACCCCTCAGACACTGGATGGAACGCGGGCACTAAGGGCTTGCCTGTTGCCATCTCAGCATGTCACCAATGGAATGTTTGTAGACCCCTTCATTATATGTCCTCGCCTTCCATAGTCCGGGTAACTTAGTTCAAGTACAGTAGAACCTCTTGTCACGACCATAATTCGTTCCATAACTTTGGTCGCAACCCGATTTAGTCGTGATTCGAACCTAATTTCCCCATTGGATTGTATGTAAATACGATTAATCCTACGAACTGTATATAGTTTTTTAAAGATTTTTAAGCACAATGGTTAATTATGCTTTAGAATTTAGTGTAATAGAAAACTAAATGTAAAAACATTGCATAACACTGAGAAATCCTTGAACAGAGAAAACTAACATTTCCGCGTCAAGGTTTAGAATCGTTCAAGATGACTGTTTCGTCTGCTACATCAGTCAGTCGATTCTGAGAAAGAGAATATTCGTATGAGCAATTCATGTTTCTATTGAAAGTTAACGGTAATATTTGGGTACAGTAATGTTTTTGGAAGCATTCACCGTATTATCGTATGAACGTTAACTTCACCGCATCATCGTATGAATGATGCGAGAAGAGATTAACAGGTTCTTATGTTAGCGATTTACGTACTCGGCGCTTTCGCTCTCTAAATTATGGCTTGAATGAGGGGGGAGGGGTATGACTACACTCACACAATTTATATCTTACTAGCAATTTTATATAGCAAAAGTTATATACATAACTGTTACGCTTTGTGTAATTCAACAAAAATGGCGCGGCAGAGGGAAATCGGCCGCGACCCTGTTTGATCGCCACCCGAGTATGTGTTCGTGACCAGATTCAAAAATGTCAATGTTTTGGATGGAACCCAATTTGGTCGTGGTCAGAAGCGTTCATGACCAGAGGTTCTACTGTATGTGTATAAAGATACGTAGGCTCGCTGGTCTCGTCATGAAACTGCAATGAAAAAGCACCAGGGTAGGCAGCTATCACATCTGCCTGAGGGGGGGCGTGTCAGACACACCCCCCCTCGGTGAGGCCACGCCCCCGGTGCCTCCACAGCCACTAACCTCACCCCATGTCACTGGCTCCCATCCATCGCGTTCAGTGTTAATTACTGAGGCTCACAAAGCCAGACTCAGGCTCCCATAGGCTTCAGTGTTAATCACCGAGGCTCACAGAGTCAGACGAAGGCTCCAATAGGCTTCAGTGTGAATCACTGAGGCTCACAGAGCCAGACTAAGGCTCCCATAGGCTTCAGTGTGAATCACTGAGGCTCACAGATCCAGACTGAGGTTCCCACAGGCTTCAGTGTGAATCACTGAGGCTCACAGAGCCAGATGAAGGCTGCAATAGGGTTCAGTGTGAATCACTGAGGCTCCTGGTGAGATATCTACCCAACCAACAGATCCACCATGACTGGCCGCTCTTACACTGCAGGTTGAACCTAAGATTTCAATGTTCTACTTCACGTTATTTTTATTAAAGGCCTGTGACAAAGGTGCATGTATCGGGAGTGACATCGTCTCAAGCTTACACATCTAACGGATCTCCATTTGACTTTGTATTGTCTAGGAAGTCCACCCACACCTCCACTTCCACAAACTGCTGCGAGTTGCCTCGCTCTGCCTCACAGTCAGAATTCCCCTCCTGCTTCACGTTGCCTCCATCGATGTGAAGGTCCCATTTTGGAGTCGAATCTTCATCTTCACATTTTACCTTCACTTCTTCGCTCTTCACCGTCACCTCTTCACATTTCACAATCACCTCTTCACATTTCACAATCACCTCTTCAAATTCCACCTTGATACCTTTAAAAGTGCCCAAGCTGGGATTTTCTTCCGGTACTTGTTTCATGAGGGATGGGCTCCTTACGGAACTTTGACTTTCACAAGCTGATTTCAGACTCCACTCCTTGTGGATTTTCTGATGATTCTGTGTTCTCTGGTGTTCTTGAAGATGTTGTGACCGTGCAAACGCCTTCCCGCACAGAGTGCACCTGAAGGGTTTCTCTCCTGTGTGTGTTCTCTGGTGTTTTGCAAGAATAGGCGACTGTGAAAATGCCTTCCCACACACACTGCACTTGAAGGGTTTCTCTGTGTGTGTTCTATGGTGTGTTGCAAGATCACGTGACTTTGAAAATGCCTTCCCACACACACTGCACTTGAAGGGTTTCTCTCTTGTGTGTGTTCTATAGTGTTTTGCAAGATACCACTGTGAAAATGCCTTCCCACACACACTGCACTTGAAGGGTTTCTCTCCTGTGTGTGTTCTCTGGTGTCGTGCAAGATTATGTGACTGTGAAAATGCCTTCCGACACACACTGCACTTCAAGGGTTTCTCTCCTGTGTGTGTTCTCTGGTGTATTGCAAGATCAGATGACTGTGAAAATGCCTTCCCACACACACTGCACTTGAAGGGTTTCTCTCCTGTGTGTGTTCTCTGGTGTTTTGCAAGATCAGATGACTGTGAAAATGCCTTCCCACGCACACTGCACTTGAAGGGTTTCTCTCCTGTGTGTGTTCTCTGGTGTTTTGCAAGATGTTGTGACTGTGAAAATGCCTTCCCACACACACTGCACTTGAAGGGTTTCTCTCCTGTGTGTGTTCTCTGGTGTTTGGCAAGATAAGATGACTGTGAAAATGCCTTCCCACACACACTGCACTTGAAGGGTTTCTCTCCTGTGTGTGTTCTCTGGTGTTTTGCAAGATGTTGTGACTGTGAAAATGCCTTCCCACACACACTGCACTTGAAGGGTTTCTCTCCCGTGTGTGTTCTTTGGTGTCTTTGAAGAGTTGATGAATGTGCAAACGCCATCTCACACAGAGTGCACTTGAAGGGTTTCTCTCCCGTGTGTGTTCTTTGGTGTCTTTGAAGATTTGATGAATGTGCAAACGCCATCTCACACAGATTGCACTTGAAGGGTTTCTCTCCCGTGTGTTTTTTCTGGTGCCGTGTCAAACTTCCAGTCCGATCCGTGCTGTATGCACGCTGGTCCCATTGTTGCCATGCCGTACCGAGCCGCGCTGACTGCCTGTGCTCCATCAGACCAATTCTGCAGAGGAAGCGTCAGAGGAAGCGACAGCTGCAGACAGAAAATAACATCTACAAGTCAGTATCGAGGCACAGAAGAATGAATATACGCATATATATATGTACACAATCTTGATTTGAAGCTTTCATGACTGCATGAATACATACTCTATGGTTCTTTCGGTAAAGTCACGTAGGTAAAAATAACATAAATGACGATGTTTCGAATGCAACACAAGCGTTCGTCTTCGGGTGAAATCGCGATAGCTGAGATGTCTGCTGTGATTTATTTTAATACACGCTTTCATTTAACTCGCTCTGTCTGTTGTTGTCATTTTTGTCATTGTTGTATCCTGAAATCTTCTAACTACATTTTAACCCACTTCCCAATGTGGTATCGACTGCAAACTTAGTATACTTATGCCATACTGATGACGATACTATATTCTATCATTAACATTTTCTTTTAAACAATATTTTTTACATGTTATGTTTCGGCTTGGGTCTAATTGTCCACGGTAAACTGACGTTGGCTGTAATTGACCACGGTCGCTTACGTTATGGCAAGCCTCGAGGCCACTTCCTGGAAGTCGTGGAGTTCTTTCATTACTAGTACATTTCATTAAAGCGTGTTTTTAAAAGAGTTTTTAAAAATATTACTTATTTTATTTCTACCTATGTGACTTTACCGAAAGAACCAAAGAGTATATATAAACACAGTCACACATGACTAACATGTCTATATGTATTCATATATTCATGATAGAGTTAAAAAGTTACCGAAATTCATCACACGGGCTGTTATGGCGCACTATGAGAGGGCAAATGGTCATAAACATTCCTGGAAGCCCTCGTATCTTCAAAATGAATGTTAACCTAAAACTCCAAGCACACAATTTTGGCTGTCTGGCTACAAAATGAATATTCATGAGAGCTAAATTCAGCTGACATAGCAAAGGGTGTTGAAAATAATACTACTTGTGTTATGCATAAATTCATGTTTAATTGAAAATTAGAGGTGTGAAGCCAGGCTCCGATTTCCTTGAATGCTGGGATGAACAGATCTAACGTCAGCTGTATGTGTGCTGTGTCAACTTCCTGACTGCTTCCATTCTCATAAAGAGTTCCAGATGAAAACAAAAAACATAAACCATTGTTTTCATATATCCTCCGTGTTCAAGAGTTAATAGACTTTACTGCAAACACAAACTTGACACTGCCACACACTGCCGCGTTAAATAGGTGGTGGCGTGTCCAGAACCATGCCTGGCCACACACCTTCATCTGCTCAGTATTAATGTTTCAGTTTAATTTATTAGGTACTAGCTTTACTACCTGGCTTCGCACGAGACTTGGATTCTTGTCTTGAATGAATCCACGGCCTACGCGGAGGATGGGGGGTGGGGGATGCGTAACGTCAGAATGCACACAACGTGACGCTGCCGCATGCGGGTGACATCACAGACGTGAGGTCACTGCTCACTTGCCGTGCAAAATATATCCATTATTGCGCCCCACCCCCCCCCCCCAGAAAAATGCAAAAGTCAATTTTCATACTTTTTGCATTGTGTACAGTCTGGAAGGTACCTACATGCCAAATTTCAAGTTTGTTGCATGTCGGAAAGTATGCTAAACATTCACAAATTTCCCTTTTATATATAGATAACCCCGTGAGCCATGTGGCTCTTGACTCGGGGGCAAACGCAACTAACAAAAACGTGAACAAGAAACATCTTAAAGTGACTACACGCAACAGAAAATTCCAGGAAAAAACTGCAGAAAAAACACCGCATTTCAACGCTTTATGCAGAAAATCCCAGTGGGATGCAAGTCAACAAAAACAACCATAGGACAATTTAGATTAAAGTTATCAGGCTAACTGTGTACTACAAAAAAACAAACATGGCTAAACCAAAACGTTTTCAATGCTTCCTCACTCCACCAAATAATTCAGGATGAAATCAACACGGCTGAGTTTGCGTGTCTCCCTCTCTCTCTGTGGTGGCGTGGATTTTCCTCCAGATCCCCCTCCACATTTAAAAGTGAATATCAGCACGCGTTTAGAGCCTTTGACCGATAGTCATTTCCACACGTTGACAAAGCCCACCTTTGTTGTGCGGGAAGGTCGCTTCGGAAAACAAGAGCGGACGCTTGTATTGCGCCCAAAACGTCGTGATTTATTAAATTTTCTACCTACGTGACTCTACCGAAAGAATCAAAGAATATGGATTCCTGCACTCACGAAAGCTTCAAATCATAAGAGCGGTATAGCAGCTCAAGCGGGCTTGGCCTGGTTACATAAAATAAAAACCGAAAGTGTCCTCGTGTTGTAGTATTTCCTGCAGTCACGAAAGCTCCAAATCTCTCATTGCCATGCTCATTTTTCTACCCCCCCCTCTCTCAGCCCCCTTCTCTCTCTATTTAAGGCCTCAACACAGGTGTTGTTTCTGTGTGTGCCTATGTGTGTGTCTCTGTGTCTGTGTTATCTCTCTCTGTGTGCCTATGTGTGTCTCTGTGTGCCTATGTGTATGTCTCTCTCTGTGTGCCTCTGTGTCTCTCTCTGTCTCTATCTGTGTCCATGTGTGTGTCTCTCTCTCTCTCTGTGTGTCTCTCTCTCAGTGTGTCTCTTTCTGTGTGCCTATGTGTGTCGCCCTCTGTGTGCCTATGTGTGTGTGTCTATGCGTCTCTCTCTCTGTCTCTTATCTCTGTGTGCCTGTGTGTCTCTCTCTCTCTTTGTGTCTCTCTCTGTGCCTGTGTGTGTGTCTCTGTCTTTGTGTTATCTCTGTGTGTACTTACGTGTGTGTGTGTGTCTCTCTCTCTCTCTTTGTGTGCCTATGTGTGTCTCGCTCTGTGTGCCTATGTGTGTGTCTCTGTCTGTGCTTTCTCTCTGTGTGCCTGTGTGTGTCTCTCTCTCTGTCTCTCGTGTTATCTCTCTGCTTCTGTGTGTCTCTCTCTGTGTGTCTGTGTTATCTCTCTCTGCTTGTGTGTATGTGTCTGTGCGTCTCCGTGTCTGTGTTTAGTTCTCTCTCTCAAATGTATCAATCTTTGGAAGAACGTTAATAAACCAGGTGGGGAGTTGACTGTTATCTTAGCCGACTCTCTGTGTTGTATTGCATTGTAGTTATAAGTTTATTTAATTTTATACCTACATAACTTGACCGAAAAAACCAAAGAGTATAGTTCAAGTTTACAAGCTTTGCTTTAAATTTCGATTGAAACCTTTGCTTTCTCATTCATTTGTACCTGATGGTGATTGCTCGTGTTGCAAAGGAAACGTCGTATGCTATTACCTATTTTTTCTTCCTACGTGACTTTACCGAAAAAAACAAAGCGTATGGATTCCTGCACTCACGAAAGCTTCAAATCATAAGAGCGGTACAGCAGCTCAAGTGGGCTTGGCCTAGTTACATAAAATAAAAACCGAAAGTGCCCTCGTGTTGTAATATTTCCTGCAGTCACGAAAGCTCAAAATCTCTCATTGCCATGCTCATTTCTCTACCCCCCCCTCTCTCTCAGCCGCCTTCTCTCTCTATTTAAGGCCTTGTCACAGAGCTGTTGATTATGTGTGCGCCTATGTGTGTGTCTCTGTGTCTGTGTGCCTGTGTGTATCTCTCTGTCTGTGTTATCTCTCTCTGTGTTATCTCTCTCTGTGTGTCTCTCTCTCTGTGTGCTTATGTGTCTCTCTCTGTGTGCCTATGTATGCCTGTCTGTTTTATCTCTCTCTCTGTGCCTACGAGTGTATCTCTAAAAAAAAATTATGAAAAAAAATATTATGAATAAACAACTAAAATAAATGAAAAAACTAACTTAAATTGGTTGTTTCTTCATTTATTTTATTTCTGCTGCCGTCACGAAAGCTTCCAGATCAAGTTGAAGCGAGAGAATTCAAACAAAGGCCTTCAGGCGAGGGCAGGAGGCGAGGCCCCGCGTGACTAAGCCCCACGTTGTAATGTCCCAACATGGACATGGATTCCCATACTCGCTGCGACTCAATTGACATCCCTACGAGAGAGAGGCTCTACCTTGGTAAACAACTACAACAACAACCACAACAACCACCACGATGAAAATCTCTCACCTCGGATTTCAACGGCAGCTTCTCGTTACCTCGCTACGTTATGGCGGCAGCAGGATGTGACGTAATATTCACTTCCGGGGTACAAGACACGCCCCCAACGAGCGGGGCTGGGTAACTGAATAACTTATTCGAGAATTGAAGCTTTCGTCAACTGCAGGAATGACTCAACTCGTTGTACACTCATTGGCTCTTTCGGTAAAGTCACGCGTCGAGGGATGATGGGGCGTGGGTGCTGAACCCGTCGCAATAAAAAACAAACTCGCGACGGCTTTAACGAATATATTATGTTAATTTTATTTTTTATTTAATTTCTTTACCGAAATAACCAATGAGCAATTCCTGCAGTCACCAAAGCTTAGATCCTAGATTATGTTAATGAGCCGCCAGTCACTGGGCGTAGCTTTGCCCAAATAAGGACTATACCGGAACAGATATTGGCGGTGACCAAGCAGGGGTGACATGACGTCACTAGCGAGGCGCACCGCCCCCCCGTGGCGTTTCACACCGATGAGGTAATGCTTAGTGGTGACGTCAGAGAACGGGGGTCAGAGTTCCAGTTTTGCGTATTGGGGCCGTTCATAAATGACGTCACGTTATTTTGGCCGATTTTTGACCCCCTCCCCCCCTCGTCACAAAAAGTCAGACCCCCTCAAATATGACGTCACAAAGCTCTGCCCCCCCCCCCCCCCAAATATATAAAACACGCTTCAAATCGCTTTAAACTATTGTCATTGTAGTGCGTATTTAATGTGGCGCTGCACTCTGATGTTGTAGGAGAAAAGATTTATTAGAAAGGAGACCAGGGGGGCGGGGGTTTGAGAAATGTCACATCACATCAAAATGCACAACTTTAAATACCTATAGAGTATAGACAAAACGTTCTGCTTAATTCTAGATTTGAAGCTTTCGTGACTGCAAGGATTCATACTCTTTGTTTTTTTTGGGAAAGTCACGTTGGTTCTACTTAATTAAATACTTTTTTATAAATGTGTATATATTTGTAAACATTCTTTTTCATATGTTATGTTACGGCTTGGGTCTAATTGTCCCCACGGTCGACTGACGTTGGATGTAATTGGCCACTGTCCCTTACGTTATGGCAAGCTTCGGGGCCACTTCTTGGAGTCGTGGAGTTCTGCCATTACTAGTACATTTCATTCATAAAAGCGTGTATTAAAAAAAGTTTTTTTTCTTAATTACTTATTTGTAGTCAAAATCGCCAAATTTGCGGAGCTTCGCTGCAAGTACAGGGAGAGACGAGAGGTGAGGCAGCGACGCGCTCAGCCTCCCCTCTGATTGCGCAACTCCTCAGACACTGGATGGAACGCGGGCAGTAAGGGCGTGCCTGTTACTATCTCAGCATGTCACCAATAGAATGTTTGTAGACCCCTTCATTACATGTCCTCGCCTTCCATAGTCCGGGTAACTTAGTTCAAGTACAGTAGAACCTCTGATCATGACAATAATTCGTTCCATAACTTTGGTCACAACCCGATTTGGTCGTGACTCGAACTTAATTTCCCCATTGGATTGTATGTAAATACGATTAATCCATTCCAGACTCCTACGAACTGTATATAAATAGATTTTTAAGCACAACAATAGTTAATTATGCCATAGAATTCAGTGTAATAGTAAACTAAATGTAAAAACATTGCAAAACACTGATAAAACCTTGAACAGAGAAAACTAACATTGCCGCGACAAGGTTTAGAATCGTTCAACAAGATTACTATTTCGTCTGCTACATCAGTCGGTCGATTCTGAGAGAGAGAATATTCGTATGAGCAATTCATGTTTCTGTAATAAAGGACTCCTTCACACGATGTCACTCTCCGTTGGTCCTTTATTTATATTCTTCTCCTCCGCACCCCGCTGGCCTCCTCCTCGGCCCAGCGTCGTCTCTCCTCGCGCCCCGCACACGCTGCAGCCACTCTGCTGCCCATGCAACCTCGAACGCTCCGCTAGCCCCGTGCAACCCGCACGGTCCTGCTAGCCACTCTGCTAGCCCCGTGCAACCTCGCACGCCCTGTGCGCCCCGCACACTCCGCTCTCTCTCCGCACACCGCTAGCTGGCGGGGTGCCAAGCCCTATCAGCCTCGCGGCTGATGGCACGGCGGCCACCCAACGTGGTCTCGCCTCTTCACTCCCTCAACTAGCCCAGATCTCTTCCGGGCACCCTCCTATAACCTCTCACCCACGTGACCCTGACTCCTCCCTCTCAGATCGTCACATCCGGCCTTCCCATTTATGCTCGCATTACATAACCCCCCCCCCCCCCCCCCTAAAGAAAAATCCAGCCGTCCTCAGCTAAAACAGGACAAAATAATGCGAGCGAAGGCATCACAATCAGGAATCACCCCAGACACAATGGAGATTATAACAACACAAGTAACGAACGGGGAGGGATCAGGATCCGGTACAGAACACCGGCCCGTCCTCCGCGCAACAAGCAACAAGAATTAAGAATGGAACAATGCACAACAACGGCAACCGACACGCAAGAACGGCCGACGCGCATAACCCAGGAATGCTGTGTCTTAGAGCGTGTCCGTGTTGCTGTTCCATCCGCTCGGCTCAAGTCCAACGTCAGAGAGCAACTGGTAGAGCAAGTGTGACGAACGGGCGCTCAATTCCCCCTTCAAGTCCACATCCGGTTAGCACACCCGGTAACACCCAGTGTGGCAGGCGCCAAAGATCTGTGACGAGAAGGAGAATCCAACCCCCTGAGGCACAGCACAACAACGCACATCCGCATGTCGTACACGACAGCCACCCGGCCCCAGGGTAGTGGAGATGATGTAAATCCGGCCCGCTTAAGGAAAACCCCAATAAATACCCAAAATAGACGCGATGGATGCCCCAGTATTTACAATTTAAAAACAATATTATTTACACGTGACAACAACAAAAATTCCTGCTCTTGCCCACCAGCAGTCCTCCCTTGAGGACCAGCACAAACATCTCACGTACACAGCATATACCCACTGTCACTCTCAACAAAGCCCCCAGCCGCACACCCTCGCGTGGGGAGAGCCACGCTCCCCAGCGGTAACATTTAACCCGCCTTCACCCTCACCGTGGTCGTCCAACCACAGCAACATCCACTGACCATACACTCGGCTAGTGCAATTTCGGGGACGAGCAACAACTCAGCCATGCTCCTCCCTTACTATCCCATCAGCGATGGACACACACCAGCATCTTATAGTCTGATGCTTTATAGCCAAGGGAAGATTCATCCCTCGGCAAGGCCAGACCCCATCAACCTCCCCACGGGCAATGTTCCCTTACACATTCAATAACGCCCTAACCCAGAGCAGAACAAGTCCGCGGCCCTTCCCGCTGGAGGACCCGCAAGGGAAATCCCTGCCCCATGCTAGCCAGGTCACCCCGTTCGCTGCCACGTAACGGAACCTCTACTCCTGAATCCCGTGCGCCCCCGGCACACCAGGTTCAGTCTGCCACCGCACAACTGAACCACGACTCCCCGAGCCATATGAGCCCACGGCCCATTAGTTTGAGACATACCACGGAGTGTCTCGCCTCCGGGCTGTCAGGTCAGCCATCGGCCATAGGCCGATGTGACCACAACTCGTGCATCACCCACTCAACAATGGCAGGCATATACTGATGAAATATTTGCCCCAGAATAGAACCCAGCCACCATCTCTGTCCCAAATGATGGTGCAATGACAATGCCCCTCTTTAGTCAGCCACGTGCCACTACGCTGTTACCCCGATGGGCGCCAACACGCCAGCATTGCGCACAACACGCAATGCACGCACACAAGTTAGAGCGCAACACGAGAATCAAGGGATGATATCCATATCCACATCCCCGCGGCTCGATGTGTATACTCAAAATGGTGGCGGCCCGCGCGAGCGCCCCACCGAGGTTTTTCCCGCACGCTCAAAATGGCGGCCCTCTGCGCCAAGCGCATCCCCGCAATTTCCCGCGCGCGCTCAAAATGGTGGCCCAACGTGCGACCGCGTCGCCAGTTTTCCCTGTGCGTGCAGCCCAGCTGCCCTTTGCTGGGGGTCACAACACACATCCCCCGTCACGTTTTAACAATATTGTATGTGTTGGGTTATGAAATTTTGATAAAAATAATAAAAATTTATAATTTTCCTAAAAATGCGCAAATCGCATTAATTATGTTAGTGTGTATTAATATGTATAAATTATGTCTGTAATTATATGCATACATTTATGATAATCACGGAGATAATCGTAGTAATTTATGCGGATGCTTGCGATTATGTTAATGCGAGCGGTTATGATAATTAAGTTTAGTTTCGTTTATCCAGAGTTATCTCAATCAGGATAACACGATTATCATTGATTAAACATTTACCGATTATCTTAGTGTGTGTTATGTTATTTTAGGTCTCCAGTTTCAGATCTCATCACAGGATACAGTTCAAGAATAAGACAGTTTTGCATGGACTTGGAAGAAACACTCGAGACTTGGTGTTAAGCAATTTTAATTCTAAACAAACACAACACTCTAGTATGCAAAAGCAAGTATACGTCAATAAATTCATGGGTAAGATTATGCAATTAACGAAAATGGATGACTAAACATACTTCATTGGCGAGATTATACAGTTAACTAAAATGAATGACTAAAAACATCTATTCATTGGTGAGATTATGCAATTAACGAAATTGAATGACTAAAAACTCTTATTCATTGGCGAGATTATGCAGTTAACGAAATTGAATGACTAAACTCTTCTAACAACCGTCATTTCTACTTTCGCACCAGACATCTCAGTAGTTCCCCCATGTATCGAGCACAATCGGCGACTGGCGGAGTTTTAAAACAGACATGCGACGATTTGTATGAAGGCAATAAAAGCAATTTATTATATCCCAGAGGCGAAAGTATATGTCAATAGATTCATCGGTAAGTATAAAATCCTTTTAACGAAATGTTTGAGACAAGGGTGGGTGGATGCGTGTTGTGAGACAGAGTATCGGCTCTGCTTTGATTAATTCCTCGGCGAGATTCTCTGACAAAAAAAAAACGGTTTGACAAGATATTCTCTCTATATATATGGGTCGATTCGAAATGAGGATTCAGAGAGTTTGAGTTTGCCTCAACGAATCTATTGATCGCCTATGCGATGAACGGGACAAAAGAAAAAGGCAAGGCAAATAACCTCACTCTTATAACCGACGGACTCTTAATAACTCAATTGGCCGCGATTCCTCATGGCCAGCTGATGGTTCATGTAGTTGATAATCAGTCTTCTGATAATTGACTAGGGTTGATACGATGGTAAGGGTGAAATAGATAGGATAGTCTCACAGGTGAGTGGGGCGTCGATGCGTGCGTGTGTGGGTCTATGGGTGGGGGAAGTTGTGGGTAAGAACGACTTTCGGAGGACCCTCTGGCTTGCGCGGCTGCGGTGAGCGGCTCGCTTTCCGACTCCTCCCTCGGCTGACCCCGTACGATGACTGACGGCGCGGCCGCGCTCGTTTGCGCGGTAGGCGAGCACCTCGGCGTGGCGGCACGGCAAGGGCTGAGCAGGTTCACTCGTGTGCGGCAGGCGAGCACCTTGGGCTTGGCGATGCACGTCGGGGGCTGAACTCGTTCACTCGTGTGCGGCAGGCGAGCACCTCGGCGTGGCGGCACGACAAGGGGGTTGAGGCTCGTTGACTCGTGAACGGCAGGCGAGCACTTTGACTTGGCGATGCACGTCACCACCCCGCGAACCTCGTCCTTCGGGATGACGAGAGCTTCTTCGTTGGCGGCGACGAGGAGAGATGGAGGCCGAAGCCCCGTGGAGATCTGTGGTGGGGGCCAGAGCCCCTGACGATCTAAGTTGAATGGATTTTTCCTCGGCTTATATCGGGAAAATCCACTCAGTTTTCCCGAGTTGTTCAAAAGGCCGTGTCATATATCTTCCTGTGGGGGTGAACACATCTGCGTCCGTGTGTGTTGTGTGTCGTGTGCGTATTTATTAGTAAAGACACAGCTGTGTAATCATTCTGGAAGGAGGGGTGGGGAATGTTATTTGCTCGCGTGTGCAAATCTTGCTGTTCGTGCTGCGGGGAGACAAAGACGGCCGTACTCTGTCGTCGGAGCACCCTGCGCGTGTTTAACTCAAAACGTGAACACCCTCTCCTCTCTCCGTGTCTCTTGCGAGAGAAAACAAACAGAAAAAAAACATATGTTCTCGGAATGTTAGCACGAACTCCCCCCCTTGTGACCTTTTGCTCCCTTCTTGCTTGCCCCGCGTGGGTCATTCAGAGGCCACACCCCGCTGGAAGACAAAGGTGGTCGAGGAGATTTTTGCAATACATTTATGTGGTCCTGTGTGTTACATTTATTCTTGAGATATCTTATGGATTCCTTCGGTCTTAGTATCGTGGTAATCATTCGTCTATGTTTAATGAATATTCGTAATGATCCTCGTTACATCATTATTTTGAGGGTTTCGCCAATTTTAGTTCTCCAGGGATTGGTGTTTTATTCTGAGTTATTTTTTTTAATGTCCTGAGGTTAAGTGTAACTATGTTTCAGTTAAGCTTTTTGGAATTTGTACTCTTTAGTTTTTAGGAAGGTCATGTAAATAGGAAACATATAATTCTAAATAATATGTATGCGGTGAGTACGAGTAATATAAGGGAATTACTAATAAAAAGCCCCTATTGTTTGTTGGTTACTTCTTTTTGTTAAGTTTCTACTTTTCGGTAAGGAAAACGTAAAAAAAAAACGCGAGTTGCAACCGTTATTATTCTTTACTCTGCACCTTATCTGTACATCTCCAGATGTCTTGGGAGGTTAGTCCATCAATCTTTTTGTCCATCTGGATGTCTATGACCTCTCTGTGACCGAATTCTTATCGTTTTAATGGCGCTTCATGTTTCATAGATTCCTGGTGTGCTTGTGAGAAGTGAGTTGTTTTCATTGTTAAATTTTAAAAATATATATAGGAAATTTTTTTTTTTCTTAATGATTCTTAATATTAATAACGGAAAACAGGGCATAGATACAACAACAACCCCCAACGATAGGACGCACAGCCGCAGCTCGCTGCGCACAGCAGTCTTATCGGGGGAATTTTTACCCATATTTGACCAAGACACTTTGCTTACACACACCAACTCGCAATGCAACCCCTGGCCGCATGCAATCAACAAAATGAGCGACGCCACTTGGCGGCAATTTACGGCCCCATCTCTCAACACTCGCAATTTGCTTTAACACACAAGCAATCTCGTGTGCATGAACACTCATACGACCAAATTTTTGGGTCCCCCCCGAATTTTGAACAATTTCCTAACAGGTACGCACAATTAATAACTTTCCCGAACCCAATGGTCAACCAATGCACCGCACTCCGTATCCGTACAGAACAGTGTATACAGCACATGCAGTCACCATATCGCGATCACAAGCGTAAATTCATGCACAATAGCAAGCAGAGCTGCAGGCAGACACACCATTAACTCAGTCGTACCATGCAGTAACAACACCCAAATATTTTTTTTTCAATTAACCACGTCGCACACGGCAACCCACGGGATGGTACAGCGCGGGATACACGACACAACCGAATTAATAATTAACTTCGCCATCAAGATAACAACTCCACGCCACAACGCACACACACTATTTGACACTGAGCAAACAAACAGATAGCGCGTCCATCGTCAACACACACACACACGGCCCGAACCGCGCTCTGTACGCTCAAAACATGACAATCGCCCCCCCGGCACACGCTAGATGGGTGAGGTGTGTGTTAGGGCTGGGAGCATATCGTTACGACTCACCCGGGCTGCAGCGAGCAGAGGACGGCAGGGTGGCAACTTGAAACGCCTCGCAGAACTCGAACGCTGAGTGCGGCGTCCTCCCTTGACTGCTCCGGTGTCTCGCACACGAGCCAGGACGGGAGTGCTCCCGCCCCAGCAGCAGCAGCGTCGGCGTCCTCTCCTCGCGGCTCCTCCCCGCAAAACAGCAGCTCAGCAGCAGGCTGCACACCACACGGCGCCTCCAAGATGGCAGCGCACGGCCGCCTCTCCGCCGCAATATTGAAGATGGCGGTGGCTTCCCGCCGCGGCGACGACAAGATGGTGGCTTCCCGCCGTTCCTCCCCGACCACACCCAAGATGGCGGCGCCCTGCCGCGTGTCGGAGAGGACGGGAAGCGTGGGCCAGGCCAAAATGGCGGACGGCTCAGCCCCACTCGAAGGCTCACCGCTTTCAGGCCTGCCGCGTGGCCGATCCGGCCTCGTCGCCGGCGCCACCAGGGTGAAAAAACCCAGCAGAACGGCCCGCAGCGATTCAAGTTGGACCACCACGTGGCCGCTGGAGGACGTGCGCCGGCGGCCGTTTCTTCGTCGTCGAAAGACGTAACAAGTGGGTTACACTTTTTCAAGTTCTCGGCCCTCTTCCTCGATGTTATTTAGCCTTGAAAAAGTCCACTTCTGACTCCAATGTAATAAAGGACTCCTTCACACGATGTCACTCTTCGTTGGTCCTTTATTTATATTTTTCTCCTGCGCACCCCGCTGGCCTCCTCCTCGGCCCAGCGTCGTCTCTCTTCACGCCCCACGCACTCTGCAGCCACCCCGCTGCTCCGTGTGCTCCCGAACACTCTGCAGCCACTCTGCTGCCCGTGCAACCTCGCATGCTCCGCTAGCCCTCCGCTAGCCCCGTGCTACCTGCAAGGTCCCGCTAGCCACTCTATTAGCACCGTGCAACCTCGCACGCCCTGTGCGCCCCGCACACTCCGCTCTCTCTCCGCACACCGCTAGCTGGCGGGGTGCCAAGCCCTATCAGCCTCGCGGCTGATGGCACGGCGGCCACCCAACGTGGTCTCGCCTCTTCACTCCCTCGACTGCCCATATCTCTTCCGGGGTCCCTCCTATAACCTCTCACCCACGTGACCCTGACTCCTCCCTCTCGGATCGTCACATCCGGCCTTCCCATTTACGCTCGCATTACATTTTTATTGAAAGTAAGTTAACAGTAATATTTGGGTACAGTATTGTTTTTGAAAGCATTCACCGTAATATCGTATGAATGTTTACTTCACCGCATCATATGAATGATGCAAAACGAGATTAACGGGTTATGTTAGCGATTTACGTACTCAGCGCTTTCGCTCTCTAAATTATGGCTTGAATGAGGGGGGAGGGGTATGACTACATTCACAAAATGTATATCTTACTAGGAATTTTAGATAGCAAAAGTGATATACATAACTGTTACGCTTTGTGTAATTCAACAACAAAAATGGCGCGGAAGGGGAAATTGGCCCCGGCCGTGTTTGATCGTCACCAGAGTTTATGTTCGTGACCAGATTAAAAAATGTTGTAAATGTTTTGGTCGGAACCCAATTTGGTCGTGGTCAGAAGCGTTCGTGACCAGAGGTTCTACTGTATGTGTATAAAGATACGTAGGCTCGGTGGTCTCGTCATGAAACTGCAATGAAAAAGCACCAGGGGAGGCAGATATCACATCTGCCTCACTGAGGGGGGGCGTGTCAGAGGCCACGCCCCCGGTGCCTCCCCAGCCACTGACCTCACCCCATGTCACTGGCTCCCATCCATTACGTTCAGTGTTAATTACCGAGGCTCACAAAGCCAAACTAAGGCTCCAATAGGCTTCAGTGTGAATCACTGAGGCTCACAGAGCCAGACTAAGGCTCCCATAGGCTTCAGTGTGAATCACTGAGGCTCACAGATCCAGATTAAGGCTCCAATAGGCTTCAGTGTGAATCACTGAGGCTCACAGAGCCAGACTAAGGCTCCAATAGGCTTCAGTGCGAATCACTGAGGCTCACAGAGCCAGACTAAGGCTCCCATAGGCTTCAGTGTGAATCACTGAGGCTCACAGATCCAGACTAAGGCTCCCATAGGCTTCAGTGTGAATCACTAAGGCTCACAGAGCCAGATGAAGGCTGAAATAGGGTTCAGTGTGAATCACTGAGGCTCCTAGTGAGATTTCTACCCAACCATACCCTGCAGGTTGAACCTAGGATTTCAATGTTCTACTTCACATTGTTTTTATTAAAGGCCTGTGACAAAGGTGTATCTATCGGGAGTGACATCGTCTCAAGCTTACACATCTAACGGATCTCCATTTGACTCTGTATTGTCTAGGAAGTCCACCCACACCTCCACTTCCACAAACTGCTGCGAGTTGCCTCGCTCTGCCTCACAGTCAGAATTCCCCTCCTGCTTCACGTTGCCTCCATCGATGTGAAGGTCCCATTTTGGAGTCGAATCTTCATCTTCACATTTTACCTTCACTTCTTTTTTCTTCACCGTCACCTCTTCACATTTCACAATCACCTCTTCACATTTCACAATCACCTCTTCAAATTCCACCTTGATACCTTTAAAAGTGCCCAAGCTGGGATTTTCTTCCGGTACTTGTTTCATGAGGGATGGGCTCCTTACGGTACTTTGACTTTCACAAGCTGATTTCAGACTCCACTCCTTGTGGATTTTATGATGCTTCTGTGTTCTCTGGTGTTTTGCAAGATTAGGCGACTGTGAAAATGCCTTCCCACACACACTGCACTTGAAGGGTTTCTGTCCTGTGTGTGTTCTATGGTGTGTTGCAAGATCACGTGACTTTGAAAATGCCTTCCCACACACACTGCACTTGAAGGGTTTTTCTCTTGTGTGTGTTCTATGGTGTTTTGCAAGATCCCACTGTGAAAATGCCTTCCCACACACACTGCACTTGAAGAGTTTCTGTCCTGTGTGTGTTCTCTGGTGTCGTGCAAGATTATGTGACAGTGAAAATGCCTTCCGACACACACTGCACTTCAAGGTTTTCTCTCCTATGTGTGTTTTCTGGTGTATTGCAAGATCAGATGACTGTGAAAATGCCTTCCCACACACACTGCACTTGAAGGGTTTCTCTCCTGTGTGTGTTCTCTGGTGTATTTGACAATTTTCTGGACCTGAAAACGCCATTCCACACACACTGCACTTGAAAAGTTTCACTCGTGTGTGTGTTCTCTGGTGTTTTGCAAGATTAGGTGAATGTGAAAATGCCTTCCCACAAACACTGCACTTGAAGGGTTTCTCTCCTGTGTGTGTTCTCTGGTGTTTTGCAAGATCAGATGACTGTGAAAATGCCTTCCCACACACACTGCACTTGAAGGGTTTCTCTCCCGTGTGTTCTTTGGTGTCTTTGAAGCGACAGCTGCAGACAGAAAATACCATCTACAAGTCAGTATCGAGGCACAGAAGAATGAATATACGCATATATATGCACACAATCTTGATTTGAAGCTTTCATGACTGCATGAATACATACTCTATGGTTCTTTCGGTAAAGTCACGTAGGTAAAAATAACATAAATGACGATGTTTCGAATGCAACACAAGCGTTCGTCTTCGGGTGAAATCGCGATAGCTGATATGTCTGCTGTGATTTATTTTAATACACGCTTTAATTTAACTCACTCTCTCTGTTGTTGTTGTCATTGTTGTATCCTCAAATCTTGTAACTCCATTTTAACCCACTTCCCAATGTGGTATCGACTGCAAAATTGGTATACTTATGCCATACTGATGACAATACTATATTCTATCATTAACATTTTCTTTTAAGCAATATTTTTTACATGTTATGTTTCGGCTTGGGTCTAATTGTCCACGGTAAACTGACGTTGGCTATAATTGAGCACGGTCGCTTATGTTACGGCAAGCCTCGTGGCCACTCCCTGGAGTCGTGGAGTTCTTCCATTACTAGTAGTACATTTCATAAAAGCGTGTTTAAAAAAATATTACTTCATTTATTTCTACCTACGTGACTTTACCGAAAGAACCAAAGAGTATATATAAACACAGTCACACATGACTAACATTTCTATACGTTTTCATATATTCATGAGAGTTAAAAAGTTTCCCAAATTCATCACACGGGCTGTTATAGAGCACAATGAGAGGGCAAATGGTCATACACATTCCTGGAAGCCCTCGTATCTTCAAAATGAATGTTAACCCAAAACTCCAAGCACACAATTTTGGCTGTCTGGCTACAAAATGAATATTTATGAGAGCTAAATTCAGCTCACATAGCAAAGGATGTTGAAAATACTACTACTTGTGTTGTGCATAAATTCATGTTCAATCGCAACTGAAGAGGTGTGAAGCCAGGCTCAGATTTCCTTGAATGCTGGGATGAACAGATCTAACGTCAGCTGCATGTGTGCTGTGTCAATTTCCTGACTGCTCCCATTATCATAAAGAGTTGCAGATGAAAACAAAAAAGAAACCATTGTTTTCATATAACCTCCGTGTTCATTAGTGTTAAAAGACTTTACTGCAAACACAAACTTGACACTGCCACACACTGCCGTGTTAAACAGGTGGTGGCATGTGTCCAGAACCATGCCTGGCCACACACCTTCATCTGCTCAGTATTAATGTTTCAGTTTCATTTGTTAGGTCTTAGCTTTACTTCATGGCTTCGCCCGAGACTTGGATTCTTGTCTTTAAAGAATCCATGGCCTCCGCGGAGGGTGGGGGGTGCGTGATGTCAGCAGACGCTGCCGCATGCGGGTGACATCACAGACGTGAGGTCACCGTTCACTTGCCGTGCAAAATATATCCATTATTGCGCCCCCACCTCCCCCAAATGCAAAAGTAATTTTTTATACTTTTTGCATTGTGTACAATCTGGAAGCTACCCACATACCAAATTTAAAGTTTGTTGCATGTCGGAACGTATGCTAAACATTTCGAACAGACACATTCACAAATTTCCCTTTTATATATAGATAACCCCGTGAGCCATGCGGCTCTTGACTCGGGGGCAACTGCAACAAACAAAAACATGAACAAGAAACATCTTAAAGTGACTACACGCAACAGAAAAATCCAGTTAAAAACAGTAGAAAAAACACCGTATTTCAACGCTGTGTGCAAAAATCCCAGTGGGATGCAAGTCAACAAAAACAACCATAAGACAATTTAGATTAAAGTTATCAGGCTAACTCTGTACTACCACAAACAAACATGGCTAAACCAAAACGTTTTCAATGCTTCCTCACTCCACCAAATAATTGAGGATGAAATCAACATAACCGAGTTTGCGTGTCTCCCTCTCTCTCCGTGGTGGCGTGGATTTTCCTCCGGATGCCCCTCCACATTTAAGAGTGAACATCAGCACGAGTTTAGAGCCGTTGACCGATAGTCATTTCCACACGTTGACAAAGCCCACCTTTGTGTTGTGTGGGCAGGTCGCTTCTGAAAACAAGAGCGGACGTTTGTGTTGCACCCGAAACGTCGTGATTTATTTTATTTTCTACCTATGTGACTCTACCGAAAGAACCAAAGAGTATGGATTCCTGCACTCACGATCATAAGAGGGGTATAGCAGCTCAAGCGGGCTTGGCCTGGTTACATAAAATAAAAACCGAAAGTGTCCTCGTGTTGTAGTATTTCCTGCAGTCACGAAAGCTCCAAATCTCTCATTGCCATGCTCATTTCTCTACCCACCCCCTTCTCTCAGCCCCCTTCTCTCTCTATTTAAGGCCTCAACACAGGTGTTGTTTCTGTGTGTGCCTATGTGTGTGTGTCTCTGTGTGTCTCGGTGTCTGTGTTATCTCTCTCTGTGTGCCTATGTGTGTCTCGCTCTGTGTGCCTATGTGTGTGTCTTTCTCTGTCTGTGCTTTCTCTCTGTGTCTGTGTGTGTGTCTCTCTCTCTGTGTTATCTCTCTGCTTATGTGTCTCTCTCTGTGTGTCTGTGTTATCTCTCTCTGCTTGTGTGTATGTGTCTGTGTGTCTCCGTGTCTGTGTTTAGTTCTCTCTCTCAAATGTATCAATCTTTGGAAGAACGTTAATAAACCAGGTGGGGAGTTGACTGTTATCTTAGCCGACTCTCTGTGTTGTATTGCATTGTAGTTATAAGTTTATTTAATTTTATACCTACATAACTTTACCGAAAAAACCAAAGAGTATAGTTCAAGTTTACAAGCTTTGCTTTAAATTTCGATTTAAAGCTTTGCTTTCTCATTCATTTGTACCTGATGGTGATTGCTCGTGTTGCAAAGGAAACGTCGTATGCTATTACTTATTTTTTCTTCCTACATGACTTTACCGAAAAAAACAAAGAGTATGGATTCCTGCACTCACGAAAGCTTCAAATCATAAGAGCGGTACAGCAGCTCAAGTGGGCTTGGCCTGGTTACATAAAATAAAAACCGAAAGTGTCCTCGTGTTGTAGAATTTCCTGCAGTCACGAAAGCTCCAAATCTCTCATTGCCATGCTCATTTCTCTACCCCCCCTCTCTCTCAGCCGCCTTCTCTCTCTATTTAAGGCCTTGTCACAGAGGTGTTGATTATGTGTGCGCCTATGTGTGTGTCTCTGTGTCTGTGTGCCTATGTGTCTCTCTCAGTGTGCCTATGTGTGCCTCTTCTAGGTTCTTTCGGTAAAGTCACGTAGAAGGGAAGTAATAAAATAATAAAAACAAAACATAAAATAATTCTCACGACGTTTCGGCCACAACGCAAGCAGCCGTCCACAGGTTCTTTTTATTACTTCCCTTCTACGTGACTTTACCGAAAGAACCAAGAAGATGAATCCCTGCAGTCACGAAAGCTTTAAATCGAAATTTACGTGTGCCTCTCTGTCTGTTTTATCTCTCTGTGTGCCTATGTGTGTATCTCTAAAAAAAATACATTTAGTTGTTTTTTCATTTTTTATGAAAAAAAGAATTTGTATTATAAAAATATTATGAAAAAACAACTAAAATAAATGATAAAACTAAATTAAATTGGTTGTTTCTTCATTTATTGTATTTCTGCTGCCGTCACGAAAGCTTCCAGATCAAGTTGAAGCGAGATAATTCAAACAAAGGCCTTCAGGCGAGGGCAGGAGGCGAGGCCCCGCGTGGCTAGGCCCCGCGTTGTAATGTCCCAACCTGGACATGGATTCCCATACTCGCTGCGACTCAATTGACATCCCTACGAGAAAGACCACCACCACAACCACCACGATCAACATCTCTCACCTCGGATTTCATCGGCAGCTTCTCGTTACCTCGCTACGTTATGGCGGCAGCAGGATGTGACGTAATATTCACTTCCGGGGTACAAGACACGCCCCCAACGAGCGGGGCTGGGTAACTGAATAACTTATTCGAGAATTGAAGCTTTCGTCAACTGCAGGAATCACTCAACTCGTTGTACACTCATTGGCTCTTTCGGTAAAGTCACGTGTCGAGAGATGATGGGGCGTGGGTGCTGAACCCGTCGCAATAAAAAACAAACTCGCGACGGCTTTTAACGAATATATTATGTTAATTTTATTTCATTTCTTTACCGAAATAACCAATGAGCAATTCCTGCAGTCATCAACGCTTAGATCCTAGATTATGTTAATGAGACGCCAGTCACTGGGCGTAGCTCTGTCCAAATAAGGATTGTACCGGAAGAGAGATCGGCGGTGACCAAGCAGGGGTGACATGACGTCACTAGCGAGGCGCACCGCCCCCCCTGGCGTTTCACACCGATGAGGTAATGCTTAGTGGTGACGTCAGAGAGCGGGGTCAGAGTTCAAGTTTTGCGTATCGGGACCGTCTATAAATGACGTCACGCGATTTTGGCCGATTTTTGACCCCCCCCCTCGTCACACAGCGTCACAAAGTCAGACCCCCCTCAAATATGACGTCACAAAGCTCTGCCCCCCAACCCCCCCCCAAAAAAAAACTACCTTCAAATCGCTTTAAACTATTGTCATTGTAGTGCGTATTAAATGTGGCGCTGCACTCTGATGTTGAAGGAGAGAACATTTATTAAAAAGGAGGCTTTGGAAAGGGCCTGTCCATAAATGACGTCACGCACCTATGGGGGGGGGGTTAGACATTTGTGACGATGTGTGACGAGGGGGGGTGGGGGTTGAGGAATGTGACGTGACATCAAAATGCGCAACTGACACCTTTTTACAAGAAGTCATGTTTGCATAGACCACAATACCTGCAGTCATAATGAAAACAAAAATATAACTCTGATAATTTGCACTGTCCTTGAAGTTGATTGGTCCACACCCGAGACAGCTTTCCTTGGTTTTTTAACCTTCTATCTGGCAACAAGAAGGGTAAAACCATTTATCATAATTTTTACTGGAAAATGAGGTTCCAATGGTGTAAATGCTTACCCCGAGCTCTCATACTCTGATGGTGCATTGTCTTTGAGATGTGCGCCTTTTGGCGTCATCTGGTCCAACCCATGTGAGACTAGGCTCAAAGGAAAGCTGTCTGGGGTGTGGACCAATCAACTTCAAGGACAGTGCATACATTATCAGAGTTATGTTTTTTGTTTGCATTATGACTGAAGGTATTGTGGTCTATGCAAACATGACTCCTTGTAAAAAGGTGTCAGTTTTGTTGCCAGATAGAAGGGTAAAAAAACAATTATCGTATTTTTACTGGCAAATGAGGTTCCAATGACGTTCTACTTAGTTAAAGACTTTTTAATAAAAGTTTTCTCCTACATCAGAGTGCAGCGCCACATTAAATACGCACTACAATGACGATAGTTTAAAGCGAGTTGAAGCATGTTTAATATTATTTGGGGGGGGGGGGCAGAGCTGTGTGACGTCATATTTGAGGGGGGTTTGACTTTCAGTGACGCCGTGTGACGCGGGTGGGAAGGTCAAAAATCGTCCAAAATCGCGTGACGTCATTTATGGATGGCCCCCATAACCAGTGGCGATTTTTTTTAACCGGTCCTGAGCCGCCCCTACATCGAGTCAGCCTCAAATGCGTACCCGGTGCGGTGTGCGAACATTGCCACCCGCTAACAGCACTTGCCACAATAGTCTGTGAAGGCTATACCGGGGGGGGGGGATCATTGTCTTTGTATGTACACACACACACGTGGCCGATTACACAGATTAAAGGTCTCGACACACGTTGCAGATAAGGTTCACAAATTCACGTGTCTGGTTAATTGTGTTTGGTTACAATTATTCAAAACTCGTAAATTACAGGGCGTTTCAGAAGGGTGGACAGCATCTGCTTTGAAATTGGGTGTTGTCATTTCTGTACGATTCCAATCATTTTCGATTTAAAGCTTTCGTGACTGCAGGGATTCATCTTCTTGGTTCTTTCGGTAAAGTCACATAGAAGGGAAATAATAAAATAATAAAAATTAAACATTATAAACTAAAATTCTTACATTTCGGCCACAACGCAAGCAGCCGTCCTCAGGTGACAGACCTGCTTGCGTTGTGGCCGAAACGTCGTGAAAATTATTTTATTTTTATTATTTCCCTTCTACGTGACTTTACCGAAAGGACCAAGAAGATGATTGCAATCATTTTTAAATCCTTTATATTAAGTTCACTTGCTTGCTTGCGCGCTTACGACCGTGCAAATCTTTCGGTCGTTTTTTAACCCACTTCCCGTGATCCAATCGAGCTGACATTTTGCACACAGACTCGTTGTGCATGACAATTTATTTTCGTAAAAAAAATTTTCCAAAATTTTCCACTTTTTAGGACAAAAAAAATTCACTAACACAATCATTTTTCCTAAACATAAAAAATTATTCAAAAAAACAACAAAAATGTACAATATAAACAATCATTCAAAAACTGAAAACCTTATAATCTATATATATAAAATCGTGAATCTGTCTGTCTGTCTGTGTGTTGCCGGACCATACGCAGTTTCATTGGCCGGCGGTTGCCCCTGGCAACGGGTAGCGACGCATTCGCCGCGGGGTGGACGCCATTTTTAATTCTCGTTAAAAATAGGCGCACGCATTAACACGCGACTCTGAGGTAAATTCATCAAAGTTTCACGTCCTCTTCACTCCCCCCCCCCACCACAATGTGTGGAATTATTATTATAGGGTCGGTACATTATAAAATTATAGCGATTACACAGTATTATTGTAGCGCGGGGGGGGGGAACGGCACCCGTACCCAGCCTCAGCCGGGTGAGCAATTTGGGCGAGGCCGGAGGCTCTGCTTGGTACTAGGCCTCACCACCCACCACGCGACTCTGAGGTCAATTCATCACACTTTCAAGTCCTCTTCACTCCCCCGCCACCCCAATGTGTGCAATTACTATTATTGGGTCGGTAGATAATAAAATTATAGCGATTACACAGTATTATTGTAGCGCGGGGGATCGGCGCGCCTCACTAAAACCCTACAACGGATCGGCGCGCCTCACTAAAACCCTCCAGCGGATCGGCGCGCCTCACTAAAACCCTACAACGGATCGGCGCGCCTCACACAAATCCTACAACGGATCGGTACGCCTCACACAAATCCTACAACGGATCGGCGCGCCTCACTAAAACCCTACAACGGAAGAGTCACGCATTGTAGTGTCGTGCTTAGCGCGCCGTGCTACGAACCCGGCGACCCGAGTTCCATTCCCGCTCACGGACACCACCGGTGACGATTATTTGAACCGGTCCTGGGCCTCCCCTAGGTCGACTCAGCCTCAAAACGAGTAACTGGTGTGGCGTATGAACATCGCCACTGGGGAGACAAAGGCGGCCGGGCGTGGTGGATCCAAGTCCCGGGCAAAGCCGGGTAGTACAGCTAGTGCTTATATACGACTTTCCTTATATTTAATTTAAAATACCAATGTGATAAAAATGAAACTCTTACTCAAGAAAAACAGAAATGAATAATAAAATAAAACCGATGCCACGCATTAAAAGGATTTAGTGAAAAACTTTGTTTTTACGGATTAATTTTTTACACGCTTTTATTTAACTCACTTCGTCTGTTGTATCCTCAAAAACGAAATCTTGTAACTCAAATTTTACACACTTCCCAATGTGCTATGGACTGCAAACTTGGTATAGCTAGCTATGTAATACTGATGACAACACGATATTATATCATTTAAAAAATCCAAAACAAATATTTTTTTACATTTTACACGCTTTTATTTAACTTACTGTATGTGTTGTATCCAAAAATCTTGTAACTCAATTTCAACCGTATTCCCAATGTATTGAATGCAAACGTCGTATAGGTGTGTCATATTGATGACAATACTATCTTCTATCATTAAAAAATATATATTTTTTAAAATCTTTTTAACGGCTCTAATTGTCCACGCTCAACTGACGGTGCCTGTAAATCACCACGGTCCCTTACGTCAAGGCAAGCCTCGGGGAAACACGCCCAGGGGCGGGACATGTGGAAGGAGGGGAGTTGGGATGGGGGAAGGGGGCAGCTCGGACAGTACATTTCAGTAAACAGAGCCAGATGAAGGCTGCAAAAGGGTTCAGTGTGAATCACTGATGCTCCTGGTGAGATATCTACCCAACCAACAGATCCGCCAAGACTGGCCGCTCTTACCCTGCAGGTTGAACCTAAGATTTCAATGTTCTACTTCACTTTATTTTCATTAAAAGCTTGTGACAAAGGTGCATCTATTGGCAGCGACATCGTCTCAAGCTTACACATCTACCGGGTCTCCATTTGACTTTATATTGTCTAGGAAGTCCACCCACACCTCCACTTCCACAAACTGCTGTGAGTTGCCTCGCTCTGCCTCACAGTCAGAATTCCCCTCCTGCTTCACGTTGCCTCCATCGATGTGAAGGTCCCATTTTGGAGTCGAATCTTCATCTTCACATTTTACCTTCACTTCTTCGCTCTTCACCGCCACCTCTTCACATTTCACAATCACATCTTCAAATTTCGCCTTGATACCTTTAAAAGTGCCCAAGCTGGGATTTTCTTCCGGTACTTGTTTCATGAGGGATGGGCTCCTTAGAGCACTTTGACTTTCACAAGCTGATTTCAGACTCCACTCCTTGTAGTTTTTCTGATGCTTCTGTGTTCTCTGGTGTTCTTGAAGACCTTGTGACCGTGCAAACGCCTTCCCGCACAGAGTGCACTTGAAAAGTTTCAATCCTGTGTGTGTTCTCTGGTGTTTTGTAAGATCAGATGAATGTGAAAATGCCTTCCCACACACACTGCACTTGAAGAGTTTCTGTCCTGTGTGTGCTCTCTGGTGTCGTGCAAGATTATGTGACTGTGAAAATGCCTTCCGACACACACTGAACTTCAAGGGTTTCTGTCCTGTGTGTGTTCTCTGGTGTATTGCAAGATCAGATGACTGTGAAAATGCCTTCCCACACACACTGCACTTGAAGGATTTCTCTCCTGTGTGTGTTCTCTGGTGTATTTGACAATTTTCTGAACCTGCACACGCCATTCCACACACACTGCATTTGAAAAGTTTCACTCGTGTGTGTGTTCTCTGGTGTTTTGCAAGATGGTTTGACTGTGAAAATGCCTTCCCGCACACACTGCACTTGAAGGGTTTCTCTCCTGTGTGTGTTCTCTGGTGTTTTGCAAGATGGTTTGACTGTGAAAATGCCTTCCCGCACACACTGCACTTGAAGGGTTTCTCTCCTGTGTGTGTTCTCTGGTGTTTTGCAAGATCCCATGACTGTGAAAATGCCTTCCCACAAACACTGCACTTGAAGGGTTTCTCTCCTGTGTGTGTTCTCTGGTGTCGTGCAAGATGGTGTGAATGTGAAAATGCCTTCCCACACACACTGCACTTGAAGGGTTTCTCTCCTGTGTGTGTTCTCTGGTGTTTTGTAAGATCAGATGACCGTGAAAATGCCTTCCCACACACACTGCACTTGAAGGGTTTCTCTCCTGTGTGTGTTCTCTGGTGTTTTGCAAGATGTTGTGACTGTGAAAATGCCTTCCCACATACACTGCACTTCAAGGGTTTCTCTCCCGTGTGTTTTCTCTGGTGTCTTTGAAGAGTTGATGAATGTGCAAACGCCATCTCACACAGAGTGCACTTGAAGGGTTTTTCTCCCGTGTGTTTTCTCTGGTGTCTTTGAAGAGTTGATGAATGTGCAAACGCCATCTCACACATTGTGCACTTGAAGGATTTTTCTCCCGTGTGTTTTTTCTGATGCCGTGTCAAACTTCCAGTCCGATCCGTGCTGTATGCACGCTGGTCCCATTGTTGCCTTGCCGTACCGAGCCGCGCTGACTGCCTGTGCTCCATCAGACCAATTCTGCAGAGGAAGCGTCAGAGGAAGCGACAGCTGCAGACAGAAAATACCATCTACAAGTCAGTATCGAGGCACAGAAGAATGAATATACGCATATATATGCACACAATCTTGATTTGAAGCTTTCATGACTGCATGAATACATACTCTATGGTTCTTTCGGTAAAGTCACGTAGGTAAAAATAACATAAATGACGATGTTTCGAATGCAACACAAGCGTTCGTCTTCGGGTGAAATCGCGATAGCTGAGATGTCTGCTGTGATTTATTTTAATAAACGCTTTCATTTAACTCACTGTCTGTTGTTGTCATTGTTGTATCCTCAAATCTTGTAACTCCTATTTAACCCACTTCCCAATGTGGTATTGCCTGCAAACTTTGTATACTTATGCCATACTGATGACAATACTATATTCTATCATTAACATTTTCTTTAAAACAATATTTTTTACATGTTATGTTTCGGCTTGGGTCTAATTGTCCACGGTAAACTGAGGTTGGCTGTAATTGACCACGGTCGCTTACGTTATGGCAAGCCTCGGGGCCACTTCCTGGAGTCGTGGAGTTCTTCCATTACTAGTACATTTCATTAAAGCGTGTTTTTAAAAGCGTTTTTAAAAATATTACTTATTTTATTTCTACCTACGTGACTTTACAGAAAGAACCAAAGAGTATATATAAACACAGTCACACATGACTAACACGTCTATATGTATTCATATGTTCATGATAGAGTTAAAAAGTTACCCAAATTCATCACACGGGCTGTTATGGCGCACTATGAAAGGGCAAATGGTCATAAACATTCCTGGAAGCCCTCGTATCTTCAAAATGAATGTTAACCTAAAACTCCAAGCACACAATTTTGGCTGTCTGGCTACAAAATGAATATTTATAAGAGCTAAATTCAGCTGAAATAGCAAAGGGTGTTGAAAATAATACTACTTGTGTTATGCATTAATTTATGTTTAATTGCAAATTAGAGGTGTGAAGCCAGGCTCAGATTTCCTTGAATGCTGGGATGAACAGATCTAACGTCAGCTGTATGTGTGCTGTGTCAACTTCCTGACTGCTTCCATTCTCATAAAGAGTTCCAGATGAAAACAAAAAACATAAACCATTGTTTTCATATATCCTCGTGTTCAATAGAGTTAATAGACTTTACTGCAAACACAAACTTGACACTGCCACACACTGCCGCGTTAAAAAGGTGGTGGCGTGTCCAGAACCATGCCTGGCCACACACCTTCATCTGCTCAGTATTAATGTTTCAGTTTCATTAATTAGGTACTCACTTTACTACCTGGCTTCGCCCGAGACTTGGATTCTTGTCTTGAATGAATCCACGGCCTACGCGGAGGATGGGGGGTGGGGAATGCGTAACGTCAGAATGCACACTGCGTGACGCTGCCGCATGCGGGTGACATCACAGACATGAGGTCACCGGCTCACTTGCCGTGCAAAATATATCCATTATTGCGCCCCCCCCCCCCATTTGTATACTTTTTGCATTGTGTACAGTCTAGAAGGTACCCACATGCCAAATTTTAAGTTTGTTGCATGTCGGAAAGTATGCTAAACATTTCGAACAAATACACATTCACAAATTTCCCTTTTATATATAGATAACCCCATGAGCCATGCGGCTCTTGACTCAGGTGCAAACGCAACAAACAAAAACGTGAACAAGAAACATCTTAAAGTGCCTACACGCAACAACAAAATCCAGGAAAAAACAGCAGAAAAAACACCGCATTTCAACGCTGTATGCAGAAAATCCCAGTGGGATGCAAGTCAACAAAAACAGCCATAGGACAATTTAGATTAAAGTTATCAGGCTAACTGTGTACTACAAAAAACAAACATGGCAAAACCAAAACGTTTTCAATGCATCCTCACTCCACCAAATAATTCAGGATCAAATCAACATGGCTGAGTTTGCGTGTTTCCCTCTCTCTCTGTGGTGGCGTAGATTTTCCTCCAGATCCCCCTCCACATTTAAGAGTGAATATCAGCACGCGTTTAGAGCCTTTGACCGATAGTCATTTCCACACTTTGACAAAGCCCACCTTTGTTGTGTGGGTAGGTCGCTTCTGAAAACAAGAGCGGACGCTTGTGTTGTGCCCGAAACGTCGTGATTTATTTTATTTTCTACCTATGTGACTCTCCCGAAAGAACCAAGGGAGTATGGATTCCTGCACTCACGAAAACTTCAAATCATAAGAGCGGTATAGCAGCTCAAGCAGGCTTGGCCTGGTTACATAAAATAAAAACCGAAAGTGTCCTCGTCTTGTAGTATTTCCTGCAGTCACGAAAGCTTCTCTCTCTATTTAAGGCCTTAACACAGGTGTTGTTTCTGTGTATGTCTATGTGTGTGTCTCTGTGTCTGTGTTAGCTCTCTCTCTGTGCCTATGTGTGTGTCTCTGTGTACCTATGTGTATGTCTCTCTCTGTGTGCCTTTGTGTGTCTCTCTCTCTCTCTCCGTCTCTCTCTGTGTCCATGTGTGTCTCCCTCTGTGTGCCTATGTGTGTGTGTCTCCCTCTGTGTGCCTATGTGTGTGTGTCTATGTGTGTCTCTCTCTGTCTCTTTGTTATCTCTGTGTGCCTATGTGTGTCTCTCTTTCTCATTGTGACTCTCTCTGTGCGCCTATGTGTGTGTCTCTGTCTTCGTGTTATCTCTCTCTGTGTACCTACGTGTGTGTTCTCTGTGCGTCTCTGTGGTGTCTCTCTCTCTCTGTGTGCCTATGTGTGTCTCGCTCTGTGTGCCTATGTGTGTGTGTCTCTCTCTCTCTGTTATCTCTCTGCTTATGTGTCTCTCTGTGTCTGTGTTATCTCTCTCTGCTTGTGTGTCTCGTGTGTGTCTGTGTTTAGTTCTCTCTCTCAAATTTAGCAATCTTCGGAAGAACGTTAATAAACCAGGTGGGGTGTTGACTGTTATGTTAGCCGACTCGCTGTGTTGTGTTGTATTGCATTGTCGTTCTAAGTTTATTTTATACCTACGTAACTTTACCGAAAGAACCAAAGAATATAGTTCTAAGTTTACAAGCTTTGCTTTCTCATTCATTTGTACCTGATGGTGATTGCTCGTGTTGCAAAGGAAACGTCGTACGCTATTACTTAATTAATGTTTTCTTTCTACGTGACTTTACCGAAAGAACCAAAGAGTATGAATCCCTGCACTCACGAAAGCTCCAGATCAAGTTTAACCGAGATAATTATTTTAGTTTTTTTTCGGCAAAGTCACGTAGGTAAAAAATGAAACAACGACTAAAATAAAAAATGTATTAAATGTTTTTTATTAAAAATATTTTTAATAAAAAAATATTAGTTTTAATAAAAAATAATTATATTATGAATAAGCAACTAAAATAAATGAAACAAAATACATTCAATTGGTTGTTTCTTCATTTATTTTATTGCTGCTGCCGTCACGAAACCTTCCAGATCAAGTTTAAGCGAAATAATTCAAACAAAGGCCTTCAGGCGAGGACAGGAGGCTCGGCCCCGCGTGGCTCGGCCCCGCGTTGTAACGTCCCAACCTTGACATGGATTCCCATTCTCGCTGCGACTCAATTGACATCCCTACGAGAGAGAGAGAGGCTCTACCTTGGTAAACAACAACAACCACCACGATGAAAATCTCTCACCTCGGATTTCAACGGCAGCTTCTCGTTACCTCGCTACGTTACGGCGGCAGCAGGATGTGACGTAATATTCACTTCCGGGGTACAAGACACGCCCCCAACGAGCGGGGCTGGGTAACTGAATAACTTATTCGAGAATTGAAGCTTTCGTCAACTGCAGGAATGACTCAACTCGTTGTACACTCATTGGCTCTTTCGGTAAAGTAACGCGTCGAGGGATGATGGGGCGTGGGTGCTGAACCCGTCGCAATAAAAACAAATTCGCGACGGCTTTTAACGAATATATTATGTTAATTTTATTTTTTATTTAATTTCTTTACCGAAATAACCAATGAGCAATTCCTGCAGTCACCAAAGCTTAGTTCGTAGATTATGTTAATGAGCCGCCAGTCACTGGGCGTAGCTTTGCCCAAATAAGGACTATACCGGAACAGATATTGGCGGTGAACAAGCAGGGGTGACATGACGTCACTAACGAGGCGCACCGCCCCCCCTGGCGTTTCACACCGATGAGGTAATGCTTAGTGGTGACGTCAGAGAACGGGGATCAGAGTTCAAGTTTTGCGTATTGGGGCCGTTCATAAATGACGTCACGTGATTTTGGCCGATTTTTGACCCCCCTCCCCCCCTCGTCACAAAAAGTCAGACCCCCTCAAATATGACGTCACAAAGCTCTGCCCCCCTCCCCCCCAAATATATAAAACACGCTTCAAATCGCTTTAAACTATTGTCATTGTAGTGCTATTTAATGTGGCGCTGCACTCTGATGTTGTAGGAGAAAAGATTTATTAGAAAGGAGACCAGGGGGGCGGGGGTTTGAGAAATGTCACATCACATCAAAATGCACAACTTTAAATACATATAGAGTATAGACAAAACGTTCTGCTTAATTCTAGATTTTAAGCTTTCGTGACTGCAAGGATTCATACTTTGTTTTTTTCGGGAAAGTCACGTTGGTTCTACTTAATTAAATACTTTTTAATAAATGTGTATATATTTGTAAACATTCTTTTTCATATGTTATGTTTCGGCTTGGGTCTAATTGTCCACGATGGGCAAACGCACAAAATCAGCAGGGGATCAAATACTTTTTTCCCTCACTGTACTTATGCCAAACTGATGACAATACTATATTCTATCATTAAATAAAAAATGTTTAAACAATCTTTTTTACATGTTATGTTTTGGCTTGGGTCTAATTGTTCCCACGGTCAACTGACGTTGGATGTAATTGTCTACCGTCCCTTACGTTATGGCAAACTTCGGGGCCACTTCCTAGAGTCGTGGAGTTCTTCCATTACTCGTACATTTAATAAAAGCGTGTTTTTAAAAAAAGTTTTTTACATACTTATAGTCAAAATCTCCAAATTTGCGGTGCTTCGCTGCAAGTACAGGGCGAGACGAGGGGTGAGGCAGCGACGCGCTCAGCCTCCCCTCTGATTGCGCAACCCCTCAGACACTGGATGGAACGCGGGCACTAAGGGCTTGCCTGTTGCCATCTCAGCATGTCACCAATGGAATGTTTGTAGACCCCTTCATTATATGTCCTCGCCTTCCATAGTCCGGGTAACTTAGTTCAAGTACAGTAGAACCTCTTGTCACGACCATAATTCGTTCCATAACTTTGGTCGCAACCCGATTTAGTCGTGATTCGAACCTAATTTCCCCATTGGATTGTATGTAAATACGATTAATCCTACGAACTGTATATAGTTTTTTAAATATTTTTAAGCACAATGGTTAATTATGCTTTAGAATTTAGTGTAATAGAAAACTAAATGTAAAAACATTGCATAACACTGAGAAATCCTTGAACAGAGAAAACTAACATTTCCGCGTCAAGGTTTAGAATTGTTCAAGATGACTGTTTCGTCTGCTACATCAGTCAGTCGATTCTGAGAAAGAGAATATTCGTATGAGCAATTCATGTTTCTATTGAAAGTTAACGGTAATATTTGGGTACAGTAATGTTTTTGGAAGCATTCACCGTATTATAGTATGAACGTTAACTTCACCGCATCATCGTATGAATGATGCGAGAAGAGATTAACAGGTTCTTATGTTAGCGATTTACGTACTTGGCGCTTTCGCTCTCTAAATTATGGCTTGAATGAGGGGGGAGGGGTATGACTACACTCACACAATTTATATCTTACTAGCAATTTTATATAGCAAAAGTTATATACATAACTGTTACGCTTTGTGTAATTCAACAAAAATGGCGCGGCAGAGGGAAATCGGCCGCGACCCTGTTTGATCGCCACCCGAGTATGTGTTCGTGACCAGATTCAAAAATGTCAATGTTTTGGATGGAACCCAATTTGGTCGTGGTCAGAAGCGTTCATGACCAGAGGTTCTACTGTATGTGTATAAAGATACGTAGGCTCGCTGGTCTCGTCATGAAACTGCAATGAAAAAGCACCAGGGTAGGCAGCTATCACATCTGCCTGAGGGGGGGCGTGTCAGACACACCCCCCCTCGGTGAGGCCACGCCCCCGGTGCCTCCACAGCCACTAACCTCACCCCATGTCACTGGCTCCCATCCATCGCGTTCAGTGTTAATTACTGAGGCTCACAAAGCCAGACTCAGGCTCCCATAGGCTTCAGTGTTAATCACCGAGGCTCACAGAGTCAGACGAAGGCTCCAATAGGCTTCAGTGTGAATCACTGAGGCTCACAGAGCCAGACTAAGGCTCCCATAGGCTTCAGTGTGAATCACTGAGGCTCACAGATCCAGACTGAGGTTCCCACAGGCTTCAGTGTGAATCACTGAGGCTCACAGAGCCAGATGAAGGCTGCAATAGGGTTCAGTGTGAATCACTGAGGCTCCTGGTGAGATATCTACCCAACCAACAGATCCACCATGACTGGCCGCTCTTACACTGCAGGTTGAACCTAAGATTTCAATGTTCTACTTCACGTTATTTTTATTAAAGGCCTGTGACAAAGGTGCATGTATCGGGAGTGACATCGTCTCAAGCTTACACATCTAACGGATCTCCATTTGACTTTGTATTGTCTAGGAAGTCCACCCACACCTCCACTTCCACAAACTGCTGTGAGTTGCCTCGCTCTGCCTCACAGTCAGAATGCCCCTCCTGCTTCACGTTGCCTCCATCGATGTGAAGGTCCCATTTTGGAGTCGAATCTTCATCTTCACATTTTACCTTCACTTCTTCGCTCTTCACCGTCACCTCTTCACATTTCACAATCACCTCTTCACATTTCACAATCACCTCTTCAAATTCCACCTTGATACCTTTAAAAGTGCCCAAGCTGGGATTTTCTTCCGGTACTTGTTTCATGAGGGATGGGCTCCTTACGGAACTTTGACTTTCACAAGCTGATTTCAGACTCCACTCCTTGTGGATTTTCTGATGATTCTGTGTTCTCTGGTGTTCTTGAAGATGTTGTGACCGTGCAAACGCCTTCCCGCACAGAGTGCACCTGAAGGGTTTCTCTCCTGTGTGTGTTCTCTGGTGTTTTGCAAGAATAGGCGACTGTGAAAATGCCTTCCCACACACACTGCACTTGAAGGGTTTCTCTGTGTGTGTTCTATGGTGTGTTGCAAGATCACGTGACTTTGAAAATGCCTTCCCACACACACTGCACTTGAAGGGTTTCTCTCTTGTGTATGTTCTATGGTGTTTTGCAAGATACCACTGTGAAAATGCCTTCCCACACACACTGCACTTGAAGGGTTTCTCTCCTGTGTGTGTTCTCTGGTGTCGTGCAAGATTATGTGACTGTGAAAATGCCTTCCGACACACACTGCACTTCAAGGGTTTCTCTCCTGTGTGTGTTCTCTGGTGTATTGCAAGATCAGATGACTGTGAAAATGCCTTCCCACACACACTGCACTTGAAGGGTTTCTCTCCTGTGTGTGTTCTCTGGTGTTTTGCAAGATCAGATGACTGTGAAAATGCCTTCCCACGCACACTGCACTTGAAGGGTTTCTCTCCTGTGTGTGTTCTCTGGTGTTTTGCAAGATGTTGTGACTGTGAAAATGCCTTCCCACACACACTGCACTTGAAGGGTTTCTCTCCTGTGTGTGTTCTCTGGTGTTTGGCAAGATAAGATGACTGTGAAAATGCCTTCCCACACACACTGCACTTGAAGGGTTTCTCTCCTGTGTGTGTTCTCTGGTGTTTTGCAAGATGTTGTGACTGTGAAAATGCCATCCCACACACACTGCACTTGAAGGGTTTCTCTCCCGTGTGTGTTCTTTGGTGTCTTTGAAGAGTTGATGAATCTGCAAACGCCATCTCACACAGAGTGCACTTGAAGGGTTTCTCTCCCGTGTGTGTTCTTTGGTGTCTTTGAAGATTTGATGAATGTGCAAACGCCATCTCACACAGATTGCACTTGAAGGGTTTCTCTCCCGTGTGTTTTTTCTGGTGCCGTGTCAAACTTCCAGTCCGATCCGTGCTGTATGCACGCTGGTCCCATTGTTGCCATGCCGTACCGAGCCGCGCTGACTGCCTGTGCTCCATCAGACCAATTCTGCAGAGGAAGCGTCAGAGGAAGCGACAGCTGCAGACAGAAAATAACATCTACAAGTCAGTATCGAGGCACAGAAGAATGAATATACGCATATATATATGTACACAATCTTGATTTGAAGCTTTCATGACTGCATGAATACATACTCTATGGTTCTTTCGGTAAAGTCACGTAGGTAAAAATAACATAAATGACGATGTTTCGAATGCAACACAAGCGTTCGTCTTCGGGTGAAATCGCGATAGCTGAGATGTCTGCTGTGATTTATTTTAATACACGCTTTCATTTAACTCGCTCTGTCTGTTGTTGTCATTTTTGTCATTGTTGTATCCTGAAATCTTCTAACTACATTTTAACCCACTTCCCAATGTGGTATCGACTGCAAACTTAGTATACTTATGCCATACTGATGACGATACTATATTCTATCATTAACATTTTCTTTTAAACAATATTTTTTACATGTTATGTTTCGGCTTGGGTCTAATTGTCCACGGTAAACTGACGTTGGCTGTAATTGACCACGGTCGCTTACGTTATGGCAAGCCTCGGGGCCACTTCCTGGAAGTCGTGGAGTTCTTTCATTACTAGTACATTTCATTAAAGCGTGTTTTTAAAAGAGTTTTTAAAAATATTACTTATTTTATTTCTACCTATGTGACTTTACCGAAAGAACCAAAGAGTATATATAAACACAGTCACACATGACTAACATGTCTATATGTATTCATATATTCATGATAGAGTTAAAAAGTTACCGAAATTCATCACACGGGCTGTTATGGCGCACTATGAGAGGGCAAATGGTCATAAACATTCCTGGAAGCCCTCGTATCTTCAAAATGAATGTTAACCTAAAACTCCAAGCACACAATTTTGGCTGTCTGGCTACAAAATGAATATTCATGAGAGCTAAATTCAGCTGACATAGCAAAGGGTGTTGAAAATAATACTACTTGTGTTATGCATAAATTCATGTTTAATTGAAAATTAGAGGTGTGAAGCCAGGCTCCGATTTCCTTGAATGCTGGGATGAACAGATCTAACGTCAGCTGTATGTGTGCTGTGTCAACTTCCTGACTGCTTCCATTCTCATAAAGAGTTCCAGATGAAAACAAAAAACATAAACCATTGTTTTCATATATCCTCCGTATTCAATAGAGTTAATAGACTTTACTGCAAACACAAATTTGACACTGCCACACACTGCCGCGTTAAACAGGTGGTGGCGTGTCCAGAACCATGCCTGGCCACACACCTTCATCTGCTCAGTATTAATGTTTCAGTTTCATTAATTAGGTACTCACTTTACTACCTGGCTTCGCCCGAGACTTGGATTCTTGTCTTGAATGAATCCACGGCCTACGCGGAGGATGGGGGGTGGGGAATGCGTAACGTCAGAATGTACACTGCGTGACGCTGCCGCATGCGGGTGACATCACAGACGTGAGGTCACCGGCTCACTTGCCGTGCAAAATATATCCATTATTGCGCCCCCCCCCCCCCCCCATTTGTATACTTTTTGCATTGTGTACAGTCTAGAAGGTACCCACATGCCAAATTTTAAGTTTGTTGCATGTCGGAAAGTATGCTAAACATTTCGAACAAATACACATTCACAAATTTCCCTTTTATATATAGATAACCCCATGAGCCATGCGGCTCTTGACTCAGGTGCAAACGCAACAAACAAAAACGTGAACAAGAAACATCTTAAAGTGCCTACACGCAACAACAAAATCCAGGAAAAAACAGCAGAAAAAACACCGCATTTCAACGCTGTATGCAGAAAATCCCAGTGGGATGCAAGTCAACAAAAACAGCCATAGGACAATTTAGATTAAAGTTATCAGGCTAACTGTGTACTACAAAAAACAAACATGGCAAAACCAAAACGTTTTCAATGCATCCTCACTCCACCAAATAATTCAGGATCAAATCAACATGGCTGAGTTTGCGTGTTTCCCTCTCTCTCTGTGGTGGCGTAGATTTTCCTCCAGATCCCCCTCCACATTTAAGAGTGAATATCAGCACGCGTTTAGAGCCTTTGACCGATAGTCATTTCCACACTTTGACAAAGCCCACCTTTGTTGTGTGGGTAGGTCGCTTCTGAAAACAAGAGCGGACGCTTGTGTTGTGTCCGAAACGTCGTGATTTATTTTATTTTCTACCTATGTGACTCTCCCGAAAGAACCAAGGGAGTATGGATTCCTGCACTCACGAAAACTTCAAATCATAAGAGCGGTATAGCAGCTCAAGCAGGCTTGGCCTGGTTACATAAAATAAAAACCGAAAGTGTCCTCGTCTTGTAGTATTTCCTGCAGTCACGAAAGCTTCTCTCTCTATTTAAGGCCTTAACACAGGTGTTGTTTCTGTGTATGTCTATGTGTGTGTCTCTGTGTCTGTGTTAGCTCTCTCTCTGTGCCTATGTGTGTGTCTCTGTGTACCTATGTGTATGTCTCTCTCTGTGTGCCTTTGTGTGTCTCTCTCTCTCTCCGTCTCTCTCTGTGTCCATGTGTGTCTCCCTCTGTGTGCCTATGTGTGTGTGTCTCCCTCTGTGTGCCTATGTGTGTGTGTCTATGTGTGTCTCTCTCTCTGTCTCTTTGTTATCTCTGTGTGCCTATGTGTGTCTCTCTTTCTCATTGTGACTCTCTCTGTGCGCCTATGTGTGTGTCTCTGTCTTCGTGTTATCTCTCTCTGTGTACCTACGTGTGTGTTCTCTGTGCGTCTCTGTGGTGTCTCTCTCTGTCTCTCTCTCTCTGTGTGCCTATGTGTGTCTCGCTCTGTGTGCCTATGTGTGTGTGTCTCTCTCTCTCTGTTATCTCTCTGCTTATGTGTCTCTCTGTGTCTGTGTTATCTCTCTCTGCTTGTGTGTCTCGTGTGTGTCTGTGTTTAGTTCTCTCTCTCAAATTTAGCAATCTTCGGAAGAACGTTAATAAACCAGGTGGGGTGTTGACTGTTATGTTAGCCGACTCGCTGTGTTGTGTTGTATTGCATTGTCGTTCTAAGTGTGTGTTCTCTGTGCGTCTCTGTGGTGTCTCTCTCTGTCTCTCTCTCTCTGTGTGCCTATGTGTGTCTCGCTCTGTGTGCCTATGTGTGTGTGTCTCTCTCTCTCTGTTATCTCTCTGCTTATGTGTCTCTCTGTGTCTGTGTTATCTCTCTCTGCTTGTGTGTCTCGTGTGTGTCTGTGTTTAGTTCTCTCTCTCAAATTTAGCAATCTTCGGAAGAACGTTAATAAACCAGGTGGGGTGTTGACTGTTATGTTAGCCGACTCGCTGTGTTGTGTTGTATTGCATTGTCGTTCTAAGTTTATTTTATACCTACGTAACTTTACCGAAAGAACCAAAGAATATAGTTCTAAGTTTACAAGATTTGCTTTCTCATTCATTTGTACCTGATGGTGATTGCTCGTGTTGCAAAGGAAACGTCGTACGCTATTACTTAATTAATGTTTTCTTTCTACGTGACTTTACCGAAAGAACCAAAGAGTATGAATCCCTGCACTCACGAAAGCTCCAGATCAAGTTTAACCGAGATAATTATTTTAGTTTTTTTTCGGCAAAGTCACGTAGGTAAAAAATGAAACAACGACTAAAATAAAAAATGTATTAAATGTTTTTTATTAAAAATATTTTTAATAAAAAAATATTAGTTTTAATAAAAAATAATTATATTATGAATAAGCAACTAAAATAAATGAAACAAAATACATTCAATTGGTTGTTTCTTCATTTATTTTATTGCTGCTGCCGTCACGAAACCTTCCAGATCAAGTTTAAGCGAAATAATTCAAACAAAGGCCTTCAGGCGAGGACAGGAGGCTCGGCCCCGCGTGGCTCGGCCCCGCGTTGTAACGTCCCAACCTTGACATGGATTCCCATTCTCGCTGCGACTCAATTGACATCCCTACGAGAGAGAGAGAGGCTCTACCTTGGTAAACAACAACAACCACCACGATGAAAATCTCTCACCTCGGATTTCATCGGCAGCTTCTCGTTACCTCGCTACGTTATGGCGGCAGCAGGATGTGACGTAATATTCACTTCCGGGGTACAAGACACGCCCCCAACGAGCGGGGCTGGGTAACTGAATAACTTATTCGAGAATTGAAGCTTTCGTCAACTGCAGGAATGACTCAACTCGTTGTACACTCATTGGCTCTTTCGGTAAAGTCACGCGTCGAAGGATGATGGGGCGTGGGTGCTGAACCCGTCGCAATAAAAAACAAACTCGCGACGGCTTTTAACGAATATATTATGTTAATTTTATTTTTTATTTAATTTCTTTACCGAAATAACCAATGAGCAATTCCTGCAGTCACCAAAGCTTAGTTCCTAGATTATGTTAAATAGCCGCCAGTCGCTGGGCATAGCTTTGCCCAAATAAGGACTATACCGGAACAGATATTGGCGGTGATCAAGCAGGGGTGACATGACGTCACTAGCGAGGCGCACCGCCCCCCCGTGGCGTTTCACACCGATGAGGTAATGCTTAGTGGTGACGTCAGAGAACGGGGGTCAGAGTTCCAGTTTTGCGTATTGGGGCCGTTCATAAATGACGTCACGTTATTTTGGCCGATTTTTGACCCCCTCCCCCCCTCGTCACAAAAAGTCAGACCCCCTCAAATATGACGTCACAAAGCTCTGCCCCCCCCCCCCCCCCCAAATATATAAAACACGCTTCAAATCGCTTTAAACTATTGTCATTGTAGTGCGTATTTAATGTGGCGCTGCACTCTGATGTTGTAGGAGAAAAGATTTATTAGAAAGGAGACCAGGGGGGCGGGGGTTTGAGAAATGTCACATCACATCAAAATGCACAACTTTAAATACCTATAGAGTATAGACAAAACGTTCTGCTTAATTCTAGATTTGAAGCTTTCGTGACTGCAAGGATTCATACTCTTTGTTTTTTTCGGGAAAGTCACGTTGGTTCTACTTAATTAAATACTTTTTTATAAATGTGTATATATTTGTAAACATTCTTTTTCATATGTTATGTTACGGCTTGGGTCTAATTGTCCCCACGGTCGACTGACGTTGGATGTAATTGGCCACTGTCCCTTACGTTATGGCAAGCTTCGGGGCCACTTCCTGGAGTCGTGGAGTTCTGCCATTACTAGTACATTTCATTCATAAAAGCGTGTATTAAAAAAAGTTTTTTTCTTAATTACTTATTTGTAGTCAAAATCGCCAAATTTGCGGAGCTTCGCTGCAAGTACAGGGAGAGACGAGAGGTGAGGCAGCGACGCGCTCAGCCTCCCCTCTGATTGCGCAACCCCTCAGACACTGGATGGAACGCGGGCAGTAAGGGCGTGCCTGTTACTATCTCAGCATGTCACCAATAGAATGTTTGTAGATCCCTTCATTACATGTCCTCGCCTTCCATAGTCCGGGTAACTTAGTTCAAGTACAGTAAAACCTCTGATCATGACAATAATTCGTTCCATAACTTTGGTCACAACCCGATTTGGTCGTGACTCGAACTTAATTTCCCCATTGGATTGTATGTAAATACGATTAATCCATTCCAAACTCCTATGAACTGTATATAGATTTTTAAGCACAACAATAGTTAATTATGCCATAGAATTCAGTGTAATAGTAAACTAAATGTAAAAACATTGCAAAACACTGATAAAACCTTGAACAGAGAAAACTAACATTGCCGCGACAAGGTTTAGAATCGTTCAACAAGATTACTATTTCGTCTGCTACATCAGTCGGTCGATTCTGAGAGAGAGAATATTCGTATGAGCAATTCATGTTTCTGTAATAAAGGACTCCTTCACACGATGTCACTCTCCGTTGGTCCTTTATTTATATTCTTCTCCTGCGCACCCCGCTGGCCTCCTCCTCGGCCCAGCGTCGTCTCTCCTCGCGCCCCACGCACTCTGCAGCCACCCCGCTGCTCCGTGTGCTCCTGCACACTCTGCAGCCACTCTGCTGCCCGTGCAACCTCGCATGCTCCGCTAGCCCTCCGCTAGCCCCGTGCTACCTGCAAGGTCCCGCTAGCCACTCTATTTGCCCCGTGCAACCTCGCACGCCCTGTGCGCCCCGCACACTCCGCTCTCTCTCCGCACACCGCTAGCTGGCGGGGTGCCAAGCCCTATCAGCCTCGCGGCTGATGGCACGGCGGCCACCCAACGTGATCTCGCCTCTTCACTACCTCGACTGCCCATATCTCTTCCGGGCTCCCTCCTATAACCTCTCACCCACGTGACCCTGACTCCTCCCTCTCGGATCGTCACATCCGGCCTTCCCATTTACGCTCGCATTACATTTCTATTGAAAATAAGTTAACAGTAATATTTGGGTACAGTATTGTTTTTGGAAGCATTCACCGTAATATCGTATGAATGTTTACTTCACCGCATCATCGTATGAATGATGCGAGAAGAGATTAACGGGTTCTTATGTTAGCAATTTACGTACTCAACGCTGTCGCTCTCTAAATTATGGCTTGAATGAGGAGGGAGGGGTATGACTACACTCACAAAATGTATATCTTACTAGGAATTTTATATAGCAAAAGTTATATACATAACTGTTACGCTTTGTGTAATTCAACAACAAAAATGGCGCGGAAGGGGAAATCGGCCGCGGCTGTGTTTGATCGCCACCCTAGTATGTGTTCGTGACCAGATTCAAAAATGTCAATGTTTTGGATGGAACCCAATTTGGTCGTGGTCAGAAGCGTTCGTGACCAGAGGTTCTACTGTATGTGTATAAAGATACGTAGGCTCGCTGGTCTCGTCATGAAACTGCAATGAAAAAGCACCAGGGTCGGCAGCTATCACATCTGCCTCACTGAGGGGGGGCGTCAGACACACCCCCCCTTCGGTGAGGCCACGCCCCCAGTGCCTCCATCAGCCACAGACCTCACCCCATGTCACTGGCTCCCATCCATCGCGTTCAGTGTTAATTACCAAGGCTCACAAAGCCAGACTCAGGCTCCCATAGGCTTCAGTGTTAATCACTGAGGCTCACAGACTCAGACGAAGGCTCCAATAGGGTTAAGTGTGAATCACTGAGGCTCCTGGTGAGATATCTACCCAACCAACAGATCCACCAAGACTGACCGCTCTTACCCTGCAGGTTAAACCTAAAATTTCAATGTTTTACTTCACATTATTTTCATTAAAGGCCTGTGACAAAGGTGCATCTATTGGGAGCGACATCATCTCAAGCTTACACATCTCTGCCTCACAGTCAGAATTCCCCTCCTGCTTCACGTTGCCTCCATCGATGTGAAGGTCCCATTTTGGAGTCGAATCTTCATCTTCACATTTTACCTTCACTTCTTCGCTCTTCACCGTCACCTCTTCACATTTCACAATCACCTCTTCAAATTCCACCTTGATACCTTTAAAAGTGCACAAGCTGGGATTTTCTCCCGGTACTTGTTTCATGAGGGATGGGCTCTTTACGGCACTTTGACTTTCACAAGCTGATTTCAGACTCCACTCCTTGTGGCTCTTCTGATGCTTCTGTGTTCTCTGGTGTGTTGCAAGATTAGATGACTGTGAAAATGCCTTCCCACACACACTGCACTTGAAGGGTTTCTCTCCTGTGTGTGTTCCCTGGTGTCTTGCAAGATGCTGTGACCATAAAAATGCCTTCCCACACACACTGCACTTGAAGGGTTTCTCTCCTGTGTGTGTTCTCTGGTGTTTTGCAAGATCAGATGACTGTGAAAATGCTTTCCCACACACACTGCACTTGAAGTGTTTCTCTCCTGTGTGTGTTCTCTGGTGTTTTGCAAGATCAGATGACTGTGAAAATGCCTTCCCACACGCACTGCACTTGAAGGGTTTCTCTCCTGTGTGTGTTCTCTGGTGTCTTACAAGATCAGATAACTGTGAAAATGCCTTCCCACACACACTGCACTTGAAGGGTTTCTCTCCTGTGTGTGTTCTATGATGTGTTGCAAAATAAGATGACTGTGAAAATGCCTTCCCACACACACTGCACTTGAAGGGTTTCTCTCCTGTGTGTGCTCTCTGGTGTGTTGCAAAATAAGACGACTGTGAAAATGCCTTCCCACACACACTGCACTTGAAGGGTTTCTCTCCCGTGTGTTTTCTCTGGTGTCTTTGAAGAGTTGATAAATCTGAAAACGCCATCTCGCACATAGTGCACTTGAAGGGTTTCTCTCCCGTGTGTTTTCTCTGGTGTCTTTGAAAAGTTGCTAAATATGCAAACGCCATCTCGCACATAGTGCACTTGAAGGGCTTCTCTCCCGTGTGTTTTCTCTGGTGTCTTTGAAAACTTGATGGATCTGCAAACGCCATTCCACACAGAGTGCACTTGAAGGGTTTCTCTCCTGTGTGTGTTCTCTGGTGTGTTGCAAGATTAGATGAATCTGAAAATGCCTTCCCACACACTCTGCACTTGAAGGGTTTCTCTCCCGTGTGTGTTCTCTGGTGTCTTTGAAGAGTTGATGAATCTGCAAACGCCATCTCACACAGAGTGCACTTGAAGGGTTTCTCTCCCGTGTGTGTTCTTTGGTGTCTTTGAAGAGTTGATAAATGTGCAAACGCCATCTCACACAAAGTGCACTTGAAGGGCTTCTCTCCCGTGTGTTTTCTCTGGTGTCTTTGAAGAGTTGATGAATTTGCAAACGCCATCTCACACAGAGTGCACTTGAAGGGTTTCTCTCCCGTGTGTTTTTTCTGGTACTGTTTCAAACTTCCAGTCCGATCCGTGCTGTATGCACGCTGGTCCCATTGTTGCCTTGCCGTACCGAGCCGCGCTGACTGCCTGTGCTCCATCAGACCAATTCTGCTGAGGAAGCGTCAGAGGAAGCGACAGCTGCAGACAGAAAATACCATCGACACGTCAGTAGAGGCACAGAGGAATGAATATACGCATATATATGTACACAATCTTGATTTGAAGCTTTCATGACTGCAGGAATCCATACTCTTTGGTTCTTTCGGTAAAGTCACGTAGGGTAGAAATAACATAAATGACGTTTCAAATGCAACACAAGCGTTCGTCTTCGGGTGAAAATCGCAATCGCCGAGATGTCTGCTGTGATTTATTTTTATACATGCTTATATTTAACTCACTCTGATTTTGTACGTTTGCCCACTGGCAAAGAAATGATCAGTCTATAATTTTAATGGTAGGTTTATTTGAACAGGGAGAGACAGAATGACAACAAAATTCAGAAAAACGCATGTCAAAAATGTTATAAATTGATTTGCATGTTAATGAGGGAAATACGTATTTGACCCCCACTCAATCAGAAATATTTCTGGCTCCCAAGTGTCTTTAATACAGGTAACAATCTGAGATTAGGAGCACTCCCTTTAAGAGTGAGCTCCTAATCTCAGCTCGTTACCTGTATAAAAGACACCTGTTCACAGAAGCAAGCAATCAATCAGATTCCAAACTCTTCACCATGGCCAAGACCAAAGAGCTCTCCAAGGATGTCAGGGACAAGATTGTAGACCTACACAAGGCTGGAATTGGCTACAAGACCATCGCCAAGCAGTTTGGTGAAACAGTTGGTAACACACTACGCCGTGAAGGACTGAAATCCTGTAGCGCCCGCAAGGTCCCCCTGCTCAAGAAAGCACATATACATGCCCGTCTGAAGTTGGCCAATGAACATCTGAATGATTCAGGGGACAAGTGGGCGAAAGTGTTGTGGTCAGATGAGACCAAAATGGAGCTCTTTGGTATCAACTCAACTCGCCGTGTTTGGAGGAGGAGGAATGCTGCCTATGACCCCAAGAACACCATCCCCACCGTTAAACATGGAGGTGGAAACATTATGCTTTGGGGGTGTTTTTCTTCTAAGGGGACAGGACAACTTCACCGCATCAAATGGACGATGGACGGGGCCATGTACCGTCAAATCTTGGGTGAGAACCCCCTTCCCTCAGCCAGGGCATTGAAAATGGGTCGTGGATGGGTATTCCAGCATGACAATGACCCAAAACACACGGCCAAGGCAACAAAGGAGTGCCTCAAGAAGAAGCACATTAAGGTCCGAGAGTGGCCTAGCCAGTCTCCAGACCTTAATCCCTTAGAAAATCTGTGGAGGGACCTGAAGGTTCGAGTTGCCAAACGTCAGCCTCGAAACCTTTATGACTTGGAAAAGATCTGCAAAGAGGTGTGGGAAAAAATCCCTCCTGAGATGTGTGCAAACCTGGTGGCCAACTACAAGAAACGTCTTGACCTCTGTGATTGCCAACAAGGGTTTTGCCACCAAATACTAAGTCATGTTTTGCAGAGGGGTCAAATAATTATTTCCCTCATTAAAATCCAAATCAATTGATAACATTTTTGACATGTGTTTTTTGTTGTTGTTATTCTATCTCCCAGTGTTCAAATAAACCTACCATTAAATTATAGACTGATCATTTCTTTGTCAGTGGGCAAACGCACAAAATCAGCAGGGGATCAAATACTTTTTCCCTCACTGTACTTATGCCATACTGATGACAATACTATATTCAATCATTAAATAAAAAATGTTTAAACAATCTTTTTTACATGTGTAGTGACATGGGAGGGGAGGGGCTGCTGGGGGGCTCTGGGACCCTGGCCGGCCCAGGCGCTTGGGCCCCTTGGCACCGGACGCTGGGTTCCCAGGCGGTCCAGACGCTTAAGCCTCTTGGGGCCAGGCGTTGGGTTCCCAGGCGGCCCAGGCGCTTAAGCCCCTTGGCGCCACCAACGGGGGGGGGGGGGCTGTGTGTGCTCTGTGGGATATCTGGGGGCGCACATGGCCCCACCCCTCGTTGGGGACTAGGCATAAAAGGGGAGCTCCCTGGACGATCAGGCCAGTCGTAGCTCAAGACCCAAGACCAGCCATCTCAGGACCCTGGGACGCTGCGAGAGCCAGTGGTGGGACTCTCGAACTCCCGGCTCTACGTCCTTGTGAGGGCGAGTTCCAGAGCGTAGCCAGAGTAGTGTATCTAGGCTGTGTACCTAGGCTGTGTACCTCGGCTGTAACAGAGCATCAGGACTGTTGGAGAGTTGTTGGATTGTAATAAAGAAGTTACCTCTACAAGTGTCTCCGGAACCCATTACACATGTTATGTTTCTGGCTTTGGTCTAATTGTCCACGGTAAACTGACGTTGGCTGTAAATGACTACGGTCGCTTACGTTATGGCAAGCCTCGGGGCCACTTCCTTGAGTCGTAGAGTTCTTCCATTACTAGTACATTTCATAAAAGCTTGTTTTTAAAATAATTTTTAAAAATATTACTTATTTTATTTCTACCTATGTGACTTTACCGAAAGAACCAAAGAGGATATATAAATACAGTCACACATGACTAACACTTCTATACGTATTCATATATTTTATATATACATGATAAAAAAAAGTTTCCCAAATTCATCACAAGGGCTGTTATGGCGCACTATGAGAGGGCAAATGGTCATACACATTCCTAGAAGCCCTCGTATCTTCAAAATGAATGTTAACCCAAAACTCCAAGCACACAATTTCGGCTGTCTGGCTACAAAATGAATATTTATAAGAGCTAAATTCAGCTGACATAGCAAAGGGTGTTAAAAATAATACTAATTGTGTTATGCATAAATCCATGTTCAATCGCAACTTAGAGGTGTGAAGCCAGGCTCAGATTTCCTTGAATGCTGGTTTGAACAGATCTAACCTCAGCTGCATGTGTGTTGCGTCAACTTCCTGACTGCTTCCATTCTCATAAAGAGTTCCAGATGAAAACAAAAAACATAAACCATTGTTTTCATATATCCTCCGTATTCAATAGAGTTAATAGACTTTACTGCAAACACAAATTTGACACTGCCACACACTGCCGCGTTAAACAGGTGGTGGCGTGTCCAGAACCATGCCTGGCCACACACCTTCATCTGCTCAGTATTAATGTTTCAGTTTCATTAATTAGGTACTCACTTTACTACCTGGCTTCGCCCGAGACTTGGATTCTTGTCTTGAATGAATCCACGGCCTACGCGGAGGATGGGGGGTGGGGAATGCGTAACGTCAGAATGCACACTGCGTGACGCTGCCGCATGCGGGTGACATCACAGACGTGAGGTCACCGGCTCACTTGCCGTGCAAAATATATCCATTATTGCGCCCCCCCCCCCATTTGTATACTTTTTGCATTGTGTACAGTCTAGAAGGTACCCACATGCCAAATTTTAAGTTTGTTGCATGTCGGAAAGTATGCTAAACATTTCGAACAAATACACATTCACAAATTTCCCTTTTATATATAGATAACCCCATGAGCCATGCGGCTCTTGACTCAGGTGCAAACGCAACAAACAAAAACGTGAACAAGAAACATCTTAAAGTGCCTACACGCAACAACAAAATCCAGGAAAAAACAGCAGAAAAAACACCGCATTTCAACGCTGTATGCAGAAAATCCCAGTGGGATGCAAGTCAACAAAAACAGCCATAGGACAATTTAGATTAAAGTTATCAGGCTAACTGTGTACTACAAAAAACAAACATGGCAAAACCAAAACGTTTTCAATGCATCCTCACTCCACCAAATAATTCAGGATCAAATCAACATGGCTGAGTTTGCGTGTTTCCCTCTCTCTCTGTGGTGGCGTAGATTTTCCTCCAGATCCCCCTCCACATTTAAGAGTGAATATCAGCACGCGTTTAGAGCCTTTGACCGATAGTCATTTCCACACTTTGACAAAGCCCACCTTTGTTGTGTGGGTAGGTGGCTTCTGAAAACAAGAGCGGACGCTTGTGTTGTGCCCGAAACGTCGTGATTTATTTTATTTTCTACCTATGTGACTCTCCCGAAAGAACCAAGGGAGTATGGATTCCTGCACTCACGAAAACTTCAAATCATAAGAGCGGTATAGCAGCTCAAGCAGGCTTGGCCTGGTTACATAAAATAAAAACCGAAAGTGTCCTCGTCTTGTAGTATTTCCTGCAGTCACGAAAGCTTCTCTCTCTATTTAAGGCCTTAACACAGGTGTTGTTTCTGTGTATGTCTATGTGTGTGTCTCTGTGTCTGTGTTAGCTCTCTCTCTGTGCCTATGTGTGTGTCTCTGTGTACCTATGTGTATGTCTCTCTCTGTGTGCCTTTGTGTGTGTCTCTCTCTCTCTCCGTCTCTCTCTGTGTCCATGTGTGTCTCCCTCTGTGTGCCTATGTGTGTGTGTCTCCCTCTGTGTGCCTATGTGTGTGTGTCTATGTGTGTCTCTCTCTGTCTCTTTGTTATCTCTGTGTGCCTATGTGTGTCTCTCTTTCTCATTGTGACTCTCTCTGTGCGCCTATGTGTGTGTCTCTGTCTTCGTGTTATCTCTCTCTGTGTACCTACGTGTGTGTTCTCTGTGCGTCTCTGTGGTGTCTCTCTCTGTCTCTCTCTCTCTGTGTGCCTATGTGTGTCTCGCTCTGTGTGCCTATGTGTGTGTGTCTCTCTCTCTCTGTTATCTCTCTGCTTATGTGTCTCTCTGTGTCTGTGTTATCTCTCTCTGCTTGTGTGTCTCGTGTGTGTCTGTGTTTAGTTCTCTCTCTCAAATTTAGCAATCTTCGGAAGAACGTTAATAAACCAGGTGGGGTGTTGACTGTTATGTTAGCCGACTCGCTGTGTTGTGTTGTATTGCATTGTCGTTCTAAGTTTATTTTATACCTACGTAACTTTACCGAAAGAACCAAAGAATATAGTTCTAAGTTTACAAGCTTTGCTTTCTCATTCATTTGTACCTGATGGTGATTGCTCGTGTTGCAAAGGAAACGTCGTACGCTATTACTTAATTAATGTTTTCTTTCTACGTGACTTTACCGAAAGAACCAAAGAGTATGAATCCCTGCACTCACGAAAGCTCCAGATCAAGTTTAACCGAGATAATTATTTTAGTTTTTTTTCGGCAAAGTCACGTAGGTAAAAAATGAAACAACGACTAAAATAAAAAATGTATTAAATGTTTTTTATTAAAAATATTTTTAATAAAAAAATATTAGTTTTAATAAAAAATAATTATATTATGAATAAGCAACTAAAATAAATGAAACAAAATACATTCAATTGGTTGTTTCTTCATTTATTTTATTGCTGCTGCCGTCACGAAACCTTCCAGATCAAGTTTAAGCGAAATAATTCAAACAAAGGCCTTCAGGCGAGGACAGGAGGCACGGCCCCGCGTGGCTCGGCCCCGCGTTGTAACGTCCCAACCTTGACATGGATTCCCATTCTCGCTGCGACTCAATTGACATCCCTACGAGAGAGAGAGAGGCTCTACCTTGGTAAACAACAACCACCACGATGAAAATCTCTCACCTCGGATTTCAACGGCAGCTTCTCGTTACCTCGCTACGTTACGGCGGCAGCAGGATGTGACGTAATATTCACTTCCGGGGTACAAGACACGCCCCCAACGAGCGGGGCTGGGTAACTGAATAACTTATTCGAGAATTGAAGCTTTCGTCAACTGCAGGAATGACTCAACTCGTTGTACACTCATTGGCTCTTTCGGTAAAGTCACGCGTCGAGGGATGATGGGGCGTGGGTGCTGAACCCGTCGCAATAAAAACAAATTCGCGACGGCTTTTAACGAATATATTATGTTAATTTTATTTTTTATTTAATTTCTTTACCGAAATAACCAATGAGCAATTCCTGCAGTCACCAAAGCTTAGTTCGTAGATTATGTTAATGAGCCGCCAGTCACTGGGCGTAGCTTTGCCCAAATAAGGACTATACCGGAACAGATATTGGCGGTGAACAAGCAGGGGTGACATGACGTCACTAACGAGGCGCACCGCCCCCCCTGGCGTTTCACACCGATGAGGTAATGCTTAGTGGTGACGTCAGAGAACGGGGATCAGAGTTCAAGTTTTGCGTATTGGGGCCGTTCATAAATGACGTCACGTGATTTTGGCCGATTTTTGACCCCCCTCCCCCCCTCGTCACAAAAAGTCAGACCCCCTCAAATATGACGTCACAAAGCTCTGCCCCCCCCCCCCCCCAAATATATAAAACACGCTTCAAATCGCTTTAAACTATTGTCATTGTAGTGCTATTTAATGTGGCGCTGCACTCTGATGTTGTAGGAGAAAAGATTTATTAGAAAGGAGACCAGGGGGGCGGGGGTTTGAGAAATGTCACATCACATCAAAATGCACAACTTTAAATACATATAGAGTATAGACAAAACGTTCTGCTTAATTCTAGATTTTAAGCTTTCGTGACTGCAAGGATTCATACTTTGTTTTTTTCGGGAAAGTCACGTTGGTTCTACTTAATTAAATACTTTTTTATAAATGTGTATATATTTGTAAACATTCTTTTTCATATGTTATGTTTCGGCTTGGGTCTAATTGTCCACGATGGGCAAACGCACAAAATCAGCAGGGGATCAAATACTTTTTTCCCTCACTGTACTTATGCCAAACTGATGACAATACTATATTCTATCATTAAATAAAAAATGTTTAAACAATCTTTTTTACATGTTATGTTTTGGCTTGGGTCTAATTGTTCCCACGGTCAACTGACGTTGGATGTAATTGTCTACCGTCCCTTACGTTATGGCAAACTTCGGGGCCACTTCCTAGAGTCGTGGAGTTCTTCCATTACTCGTACATTTAATAAAAGCGTGTTTTTAAAAAAAGTTTTTTACATACTTATAGTCAAAATCTCCAAATTTGCGGTGCTTCGCTGCAAGTACAGGGCGAGACGAGGGGTGAGGCAGCGACGCGCTCAGCCTCCCCTCTGATTGCGCAACCCCTCAGACACTGGATGGAACGCGGGCACTAAGGGCTTGCCTGTTGCCATCTCAGCATGTCACCAATGGAATGTTTGTAGACCCCTTCATTATATGTCCTCGCCTTCCATAGTCCGGGTAACTTAGTTCAAGTACAGTAGAACCTCTTGTCACGACCATAATTCGTTCCATAACTTTGGTCGCAACCCGATTTAGTCGTGATTCGAACCTAATTTCCCCATTGGATTGTATGTAAATACGATTAATCCTACGAACTGTATATAGTTTTTTAAAGATTTTTAAGCACAATGGTTAATTATGCTTTAGAATTTAGTGTAATAGAAAACTAAATGTAAAAACATTGCATAACACTGAGAAATCCTTGAACAGAGAAAACTAACATTTCCGCGTCAAGGTTTAGAATCGTTCAAGATGACTGTTTCGTCTGCTACATCAGTCAGTCGATTCTGAGAAAGAGAATATTCGTATGAGCAATTCATGTTTCTATTGAAAGTTAACGGTAATATTTGGGTACAGTAATGTTTTTGGAAGCATTCACCGTATTATCGTATGAACGTTAACTTCACCGCATCATCGTATGAATGATGCGAGAAGAGATTAACAGGTTCTTATGTTAGCGATTTACGTACTCGGCGCTTTCGCTCTCTAAATTATGGCTTGAATGAGGGGGGAGGGGTATGACTACACTCACACAATTTATATCTTACTAGCAATTTTATATAGCAAAAGTTATATACATAACTGTTACGCTTTGTGTAATTCAACAAAAATGGCGCGGCAGAGGGAAATCGGCCGCGACCCTGTTTGATCGCCACCCGAGTATGTGTTCGTGACCAGATTCAAAAATGTCAATGTTTTGGATGGAACCCAATTTGGTCGTGGTCAGAAGCGTTCATGACCAGAGGTTCTACTGTATGTGTATAAAGATACGTAGGCTCGCTGGTCTCGTCATGAAACTGCAATGAAAAAGCACCAGGGTAGGCAGCTATCACAACTGCCTGAGGGGGGGCGTGTCAGACACACCCCCCCTCGGTGAGGCCACGCCCCCGGTGCCTCCACAGCCACTAACCTCACCCCATGTCACTGGCTCCCATCCATCGCGTTCAGTGTTAATTACTGAGGCTCACAAAGCCAGACTCAGGCTCCCATAGGCTTCAGTGTTAATCACCGAGGCTCACAGAGTCAGACGAAGGCTCCAATAGGCTTCAGTGTGAATCACTGAGGCTCACAGAGCCAGACTAAGGCTCCCATAGGCTTCAGTGTGAATCACTGAGGCTCACAGATCCAGACTGAGGTTCCCACAGGCTTCAGTGTGAATCACTGAGGCTCACAGAGCCAGATGAAGGCTGCAATAGGGTTCAGTGTGAATCACTGAGGCTCCTGGTGAGATATCTACCCAACCAACAGATCCACCATGACTGGCCGCTCTTACACTGCAGGTTGAACCTAAGATTTCAATGTTCTACTTCACGTTATTTTTATTAAAGGCCTGTGACAAAGGTGCATGTATCGGGAGTGACATCGTCTCAAGCTTACACATCTAACGGATCTCCATTTGACTTTGTATTGTCTAGGAAGTCCACCCACACCTCCACTTCCACAAACTGCTGTGAGTTGCCTCGCTCTGCCTCACAGTCAGAATTCCCCTCCTGCTTCACGTTGCCTCCATCGATGTGAAGGTCCCATTTTGGAGTCGAATCTTCATCTTCACATTTTACCTTCACTTCTTCGCTCTTCACCGTCACCTCTTCACATTTCACAATCACCTCTTCACATTTCACAATCACCTCTTCAAATTCCACCTTGATACCTTTAAAAGTGCCCAAGCTGGGATTTTCTTCCGGTACTTGTTTCATGAGGGATGGGCTCCTTACGGAACTTTGACTTTCACAAGCTGATTTCAGACTCCACTCCTTGTGGATTTTCTGATGATTCTGTGTTCTCTGGTGTTCTTGAAGATGTTGTGACCGTGCAAACGCCTTCCCGCACAGAGTGCACCTGAAGGGTTTCTCTCCTGTGTGTGTTCTCTGGTGTTTTGCAAGAATAGGCGACTGTGAAAATGCCTTCCCACACACACTGCACTTGAAGGGTTTCTCTGTGTGTGTTCTATGGTGTGTTGCAAGATCACGTGACTTTGAAAATGCCTTCCCACACACACTGCACTTGAAGGGTTTCTCTCTTGTGTGTGTTCTATGGTGTTTTGCAAGATACCACTGTGAAAATGCCTTCCCACACACACTGCACTTGAAGGGTTTCTCTCCTGTGTGTGTTCTCTGGTGTCGTGCAAGATTATGTGACTGTGAAAATGCCTTCCGACACACACTGCACTTCAAGGGTTTCTCTCCTGTGTGTGTTCTCTGGTGTATTGCAAGATCAGATGACTGTGAAAATGCCTTCCCACACACACTGCACTTGAAGGGTTTCTCTCCTGTGTGTGTTCTCTGGTGTTTTGCAAGATCAGATGACTGTGAAAATGCCTTCCCACGCACACTGCACTTGAAGGGTTTCTCTCCTGTGTGTGTTCTCTGGTGTTTTGCAAGATGTTGTGACTGTGAAAATGCCTTCCCACACACACTGCACTTGAAGGGTTTCTCTCCTGTGTGTGTTCTCTGGTGTTTGGCAAGATAAGATGACTGTGAAAATGCCTTCCCACACACACTGCACTTGAAGGGTTTCTCTCCTGTGTGTGTTCTCTGGTGTTTTGCAAGATGTTGTGACTGTGAAAATGCCTTCCCACACACACTGCACTTGAAGGGTTTCTCTCCCGTGTGTGTTCTTTGGTGTCTTTGAAGAGTTGATGAATGTGCAAACGCCATCTCACACAGAGTGCACTTGAAGGGTTTCTCTCCCGTGTGTGTTCTTTGGTGTCTTTGAAGATTTGATGAATGTGCAAACGCCATCTCACACAGATTGCACTTGAAGGGTTTCTCTCCCGTGTGTTTTTTCTGGTGCCGTGTCAAACTTCCAGTCCGATCCGTGCTGTATGCACGCTGGTCCCATTGTTGCCATGCCGTACCGAGCCGCGCTGACTGCCTGTGCTCCATCAGACCAATTCTGCAGAGGAAGCGTCAGAGGAAGCGACAGCTGCAGACAGAAAATAACATCTACAAGTCAGTATCGAGGCACAGAAGAATGAATATACGCATATATATATGTACACAATCTTGATTTGAAGCTTTCATGACTGCATGAATACATACTCTATGGTTCTTTCGGTAAAGTCACGTAGGTAAAAATAACATAAATGACGATGTTTCGAATGCAACACAAGCGTTCGTCTTCGGGTGAAATCGCGATAGCTGAGATGTCTGCTGTGATTTATTTTAATACACGCTTTCATTTAACTCGCTCTGTCTGTTGTTGTCATTTTTGTCATTGTTGTATCCTGAAATCTTCTAACTACATTTTAACCCACTTCCCAATGTGGTATCGACTGCAAACTTAGTATACTTATGCCATACTGATGACGATACTATATTCTATCATTAACATTTTCTTTTAAACAATATTTTTTACATGTTATGTTTCGGCTTGGGTCTAATTGTCCACGGTAAACTGACGTTGGCTGTAATTGACCACGGTCGCTTACGTTATGGCAAGCCTCGGGGCCACTTCCTGGAAGTCGTGGAGTTCTTTCATTACTAGTACATTTCATTAAAGCGTGTTTTTAAAAGAGTTTTTAAAAATATTACTTATTTTATTTCTACCTATGTGACTTTACCGAAAGAACCAAAGAGTATATATAAACACAGTCACACATGACTAACATGTCTATATGTATTCATATATTCATGATAGAGTTAAAAAGTTACCGAAATTCATCACACGGGCTGTTATGGCGCACTATGAGAGGGCAAATGGTCATAAACATTCCTGGAAGCCCTCGTATCTTCAAAATGAATGTTAACCTAAAACTCCAAGCACACAATTTTGGCTGTCTGGCTACAAAATGAATATTCATGAGAGCTAAATTCAGCTGACATAGCAAAGGGTGTTGAAAATAATACTACTTGTGTTATGCATAAATTCATGTTTAATTGAAAATTAGAGGTGTGAAGCCAGGCTCCGATTTCCTTGAATGCTGGGATGAACAGATCTAACGTCAGCTGTATGTGTGCTGTGTCAACTTCCTGACTGCTTCCATTCTCATAAAGAGTTCCAGATAAAAACAAAAAACATAAACCATTGTTTTCATATATCCTCCGTGTTCAAGAGTTAATAGACTTTACTGCAAACACAAACTTGACACTGCCACACACTGCCGCGTTAAAGAGGTGGTGGCGTGTCCAGAACCATGCCTGGCCACACACCTTCATCTGCTCAGTATTAATGTTTCAGTTTAATTTATTAGGTACTAGCTTTACTACCTGGCTTCGCACGAGACTTGGATTCTTGTCTTGAATGAATCCACGGCCTACGCGGAGGATGGGGGGTGGGGGATGCGTAACGTCAGAATGCACACAACGTGACGCTGCCGCATGCGGGTGACATCACAGACGTGAGGTCACCGCTCACTTGCCGTGCAAAATAGATCCATTATTGCGCCTCCCCCCCCCCCCCCCCCCAGAAAAATGCAAAAGTCAATTTTTATACTTTTTGCATTGTGTACAGTCTGGAAGGTACCCACATGCCAAATTTTAAGTTTGTTGCATGTCGAAAAGTATGCTAAACATTTCGAACAGACACACATTCACAAATTTCCCTATTATATATAGATAACCCCGTGAGCCATGCGGCTCTTGACTCGGGGGCAAACGCAACAAACAAAAACGTGAACAAGAAACATCTTAAAGTGACTACACGCAACAAAAAAATCCAGGAAAAAACAGCAAAAAAACACCGCATGTCAAAGCTGTATGCAGAAAATCCCAGTGGGATGCAAGTCAGCAAAAACAACCATAGGACAATTTAGATTAAAGTTATCAGGCTAACTGTGTACTACAAAAAACAAACATGGCTAAACCAAAACGTTTTCAATGCTTTCTCACTCCACCAAATAATTCAGGATCAAATCAACATTGCTGAGTTTGCGTGTCTCCCTCTCTCTCTGTGGTGGCGTAGATTTTCCTCCAAATCGCCCTCCACATTTAAGAGTGAATATCAGCACGCGTTTAGAGCCTTTGACCGATAGTCATTTCCACACGTTAACAAAGCCCACCTTTGTTGTGTGGGCAGGTCGCTTCTGAAAACAAGAGCGGACGCTTGTGTTGCGCCAGAAACGTCGTGATTTATTTTATTTTCTACCTACGTGACTCTACCGAAAGAACCAAAGAGTATGGATTCCTGCACTCACGAAAGCTTCAAATCATAAGAGCGGTACAGCAGCTCAAGTGGGCTTGGCCTGGTTACATAAAATAAAAACCGAAAGTGTCCTCGTGTTGTAGTATTTCCTGCAGTCACGAAAGCTCAAAATCTCTCATTGCCATGCTCATTTCTCTACCCCCCCTCTCTCTATATTTAAGGCCTTGTCACAGAGGTGTTGTTTCTGTGTGTGCCTACGTGTGTCTCTCTGTGTCTGTGTGCCTATGTGTGTATCTCTCTGTCTGTGTTATCTCTCTGTGTGTCTCTCTCTGTGTGCCTATGTATGCATCTCTGTTTTATCTCTCTCTGTGTGCCTACGTGTGTATATAAAAAAAAAATTATGAAAAAAAATATTACGAATAAACAACTAAAATAAATGAAAAAACTAAATAAAATTGGTTTCATTTATTTTATTTCTGCTGCCGTCACGAAAGCTTCCAGATCAAGTTGAAGCGAGAGAATTCAAACAAAGGCCTTCAGGCGAGGGCAGGAGGCGAGGCCCCGCGTGGCTCGGCCCCGCGTTGTAATGTCCCAACCTTGACATGGATTCCCATACTCGCTGCGACTCAATTGACATCCCTACGAGAGAGAGGCTCGACCTTGGTAAACAACAACCACCACGATGAAAATCTCTCACCTCAGATTTCAACGGCAGCTTTCCGTTACCTCGCGACGTTTTGGCGGCAGCAGGATGTGACGTAATATTCACTTCCGGGGTACAAGACACGCCCCCAGCGAGCGGGGCTGGGTAACTGAATAACTTATTCGAGAATTGAAGCTTTCGTCAACTGCAGGAATGACTCAACTCGTTGTACACTCATTGGCTCTTTCGGTAAAGTCACGTGTCGAGGGATGATGGGGCGTGGGTGCTGAACCCGTCGCAATAAAAAAACAAACTCGCGACGGCTTTTAACGAATATATGTTAATTTTATTTCATTTCTTTACCGAAATAACCAATGAGCAATTCCTGCAGTCACCAAAGCTTAGATCCTAGATTATGTTAATGAGCCGCCTGTCACTGGGCGAAGCTTTGCCCAAATAAGGATTGTACCGGAACAGACATCGGTGGTGACCAAGCAGGGGTGACATGACGTCACTAGCGAGGCGCACCGCCCCCCTTGGTGTTTCACACCGATGAGGTAATGCTTAGTGGTGACGTCAGAGAGCGGGGGTCAGAGTTCAAGTTTTGCGTATCGGGACCGTCCATAAATGACGTCACGCGATTTTTGCCGATTTTTGACCCCCCCCTCGTCACACAGCGTCACAAAGTCAGACCCCCCTCAAATATGACGTCACAAAGCTCTGCCCCCCAACCCCCCCCCAAAAAAACTACCTTCAAATCGCTTTAAACTATTGTCATTGTAGTGCGTATTTAATGTGGCGCTGCACTCTGATGTTGTAGGAGAGAACATTTATTAAAAAGGAGGCTTTGGAAAGAGCCTGTCCATAAATGACGTCACGCACCTATTGGGGGGGGGGGGGGTCAGACATTTGTGACGATGTGTGACGAGGGGGGGTGGGGGTTGAGAAATGTGACATGACATCAAAATGCGCAACTTTAAATAAATATAGACAACACGTTTTACTTATAATTGTTTTTTTACCCTTCTATCTGGCAACAAAACTGACACCTTTTACAAGGAGTCATGTTTGCATAGACCGCAATACCTGCAGTCATAATACAAACAAAAGAACATAACTCTGATAATGTGCACTGTCCTTGAAGTTGATTGGTCCACACCCGAGACAGCTTTCCTTGGTTTTTTAACCTTCTATCTGGCAACAAGAAGGGTAAAAACAATTATCATATTTTTACTGGCAAATGAGGTTCCAATGGTGTAAATGCTTACCCCGAGCTCTCATACTCTGATGGTGCATTGTCTTTGAGTTGTGCGCCTTTTGGCGTCATCTGGTCCAACCCATGTGAGACGAGGCTCAAAGGAAAGATGTCTCGGGTGTGGACCAATCAACTTCAAGGACAGTGCATACATTATCAGAGTTATGTTTTTTGTTTGCATTATGACTGCAGGTATTGTGGTCTATGCAAACATGACTCCTTGTAAAAAGGTGTCAGTTTTGTTGCCAGATAGAAGGGTAAAAAAACAATTATCGTATTTTTACTGGCAAATGAGGTTCCAATGACGTTCTACTTAATTAAAGACTTTTCAATAAAAGTTTTCTCCTACAACATCAGAGTGCAGCGTCACATTAAATACGCACTACAATGACGATAGTTTAAAACGATTTGAAGCATGTTTTATATTATTGGGGAAGGGGGGGGGGCAGAGTTGTGTGACGTAATATTTGAGGAGTGTTTGACTTTCAGTGACGCCGTGTGACGAGGGTGGGGGGGTCAAAAATCGTCCAAAATCGCGTTGTCATTTATGGACGGCCCCCATGACCAGTGGATTTTTTTTTGCGGTCCTGAACCGCCCCTACATCGACTCAGCCTCAAATGCGTACCCGGTGCAGTGTGCGAACATCGCCACCCGCTAACAGCACTTGCCCCAATAGTCTGTGAAGGCTATACCGGGGGGATCTTTGTAAGTACACACACACGTGACCGATTACACAGGTTAAAGGTCTCTACACAAGTTGCGGTGAAAGTTCACAAATTCACGTGTCTGGTTTATTGTGTTTGGTTACAATTATTCAAAACTCGTAAATTACAGGGCGTTTCAGAAGGGTGGACCGCATCTGCTTTGAAATTGGGTGTTATGTCATTTCTGTACGATTCCAATAATTTTCGATTTAAAGCTTTCGTGACTGCAGGGATTCATCTTCTTGGTTCTTTCGGTGAAGTCACGTAGAAGGGAAATAATAAAAAATAAAACATAAAAAAATTCTCACGTTTCGGCCACAATGCAAGCAGCCATCCTCAGGTGACAGACCTGCTTGCGTTGTGGCCGAAACGTCGTAATAATTATTATTTTATTTTTATTATTTCCCTTCTACGTGACTTTACCGAAAGAACCAAGAAGATGATCCCAATCATTTTTACACGCTTCTATTTAACTCACTTTGTCTGTTGTATCCTCAAAGACGAAATCTTGTAACTCAAATTTTACACTTTCCAATGTGCTATCGACTGCAATCTTGGTATAGCGATGTCATACTGATGACAACACGATGTTATATCATAACAAAATCCTAAACATATATATTTCAACATTTTACACGCTTTTATTTAACTTATTGTATGTGTTGTATCTATAAATTTTGTAAATCAATTTCAACCGTATTCCCAATATCGTATCGAATGCAAACTTCGTATAGGTGTGTCATACTGATGACAATACTATATTCTATCATTAAAAATAAAAAAATAATTTAAACAATCTTTTTTACGTCTAATTGTCCACGCTCAACTGACGTTGCCTGTAAATCACCACGGTCCCTTACGTCACAGCAAGCATCGAGGAGCCACGCCCAGGGGCGGGGCATGTGGAAGGAGGGGAGGGGCGATGAGGGAAGGTGGCTGGAGGAGAGGCAGCTTCGATAGTACATGTCATTAAAGCGTGTTTTTAAAAAAAGTATTTTAAAATATTTTATATTAACTCAGTGTCTGTTGTTGTATCATCAAATATTGTAACTCAATTTTAACCCACTTCCCAATGTGGTATCGACTGCAGACTTGGTATACTTATGTCATACTGATGACAATACTATATTCTATCATACAATATAAAAAAACATTTAAACATTATTTTTCATATGTTATGTTTCGGCTTGGGTCTAATTGTCCACGGTCAACTGACTTTGGCTGTAATTCGCCATGGTTCCTTACGCTATGGCAAGAATCAGGGCCATTTCCTGGAGACGTGGAGTTCTGCCAATACAAATAAAACATGCTTCAAATTGCTTTAAACTATTGTCATTGTAGTGCGTATTTAATGTGGCGCTGCACTGATGTTGTAGGAGAAAACTTTTATTAAAAAGTCGATTTAATTCAGTAGAACGTGTTGTCTATATTTATTTAAAGTTGCGCATGTTGATGTGACGTCATATTTCTCAACCCCCACACCCCCTCGTCACACATCGTCACAAATGTCTGACCCCCCCAGGTGCATGACGTCATTTATGGACGGCCCCTTTCCAACGATTTCATAAAAGCGTGTTTTAAAAAAAAAAATTCTTAATTACTTATTTATAGTCAAAATCGCCAAATTTGCGGAGCTTCGCTGCAAGTACAGGGAGAGACGAGAGGTGAGGCAGCGACGCACTCAGCCTCCTCTCCGATTGCGCAACCCCTCAGACACTGGATGGAACGCGGCGAGTAAGGGCGTGCGTGTTACTATCTCAGCATGTCACCAATGGAATGTTTGTAGACCCGTTCATTCCATGTCCTCGCCTTCCATAGTCCGGGTAACTTAGTTCAAGTACAGTAGAACCTCTGGTCACGACCCTAATTCGTTCCATAACTTTGGTCTCAACCCGATTTGGTCGTGACTCGAACATAATTTCCCCATTGGATTGTATGTAAATACGATTAATCCGTTCCAGACTCCTACTAACTGTATATACATATTTTTTTAAAAGATTTTTAAGTACAAAAATAATTAACTATGCCATAGAATTCAGTGTAATAATAAACTAAATGTAAAAACATTGCATAACACTGAGAAATCCTTGAACAGAGAAAACTAACATTGCCGCGACAAGGCTTAAAATCGTTCAACAAGATTACTGTTTCGTCTGCTACATCAGTCGGTCGATTCTGAGAGAGAGAATATTCGTATGAGCAATTCATGTTTCTATTGAAAGTAATTTAACAGTAATATTTGGGTACAGTAATGTTTTTGGAAGCATTCACCGTAATATCGTATGAACGTTTACTTCACCGCATCATCGTATGAATGATGCGAGAAGAGATTAACAGGTTCTTATGTTAGCGATTTACGTACTCGGCGCTTTCGCTCTCTAAATTATGGCTTGAATGAGAGGGGAGGGGTATGGCTACACTCACACAATTTATATCTTCCTAGGAATCTTATATAGCAAAAGTTATATACATAACTGTTACGCTTTGTGTAATTCAACAACAAAAATGGCGCGGAAGGGGAAATCGGCCGCGGCAGGGTTTGATCGCCACCTGAGTATGTGTTCGTGACCAGATTAAAAAATGTTTTAAATGTTTTGGTCGGAACCCAATTTGGTCGTGGTCAGAAGCGTTCGTGACCACAGGTTCTTCTGTATGTGTATAAAGATACGTAGGCTCGCTGGTCTCGTTATGAAACTGCAATGAAAAAGCACCAGGGGAGGCAGCTATCACATCTGCCTCACTAAAGGGGGCGTGTCAGACACGCCCCCCCTTGGTGAGGCCACGCCCCCGGTGCCCCCCCTCTCACTGACCTCACCGCATGTCACTGGCTCCCATCCATTGGGTTCAGTGTTAATTACCGAGGCTCACAAAGCCAGACTCAGGCTCCCATAGGCTTCAGTGTCAATCACTGAGCCTCACAGGGCCAGACTCAGGCTCCCATAGGCTTCAGTGTTAATCACTGAGGCTCACAGAGCCAGACATATGCTCCCATAGGGTCCAGTGTTAATAACTGAAGCTCACAGAGCCAGAATAAGGCTCCCATAGGGTTCGTGTTAATCACCGAGGCTCACAGAGCCAGACTAAGGCTCCCCCCATAGGCTTCAGTGTGAATCACTGAGGCTCACAGAGCCAGACAAAGGCTCTCAAAGGGTTCAGTGTGAATCACCGAGGCTCCTGGTGAGATATCTACCCAACCCACGGATCCACCAAGACTGGCCGCTCTTACCCTGCAGGTTGAACCTAGGATTTCAATGTTCTACTTCACATTATTTTCATTAAAGGCCTGTGACAAAGGTGCATCTACTGGGAGCGACATCATCTCAAGCTTACACATCTACCGGGTCTCCATTTGACTTTGTATTGTCTAGGAAGTCCACCCACACCTCCACTTCCACAAACTGCTGTGAGTTGCCTCGCTCTGCCTCACAGTCAGAATTACCCTCCTGCTTCACGTTGCCTCCATCGATGTGAAGGTCCCATTCTGGAGTCGAATTTTCATCTTCACATTTTACCTTCACTTCTTCGCTCTTCACCGTCACCTCTTCACATTTCACAATCACCTCTTCAAATTCCGCCTTGATACCTTTAAAAGTGCCCAAGCTGGGATTTTCTTCCGGTACTTGTTTCATAAAGGGTTTGTCTCCTGTGTGTCTTACAAGATCAGTTACCTGTGAAAATGCCTTCCCACACATACTGCACTTGAAGGGTTTCTCTCTTGTGTGTGTTCTATGGTGTTTTGCAATATATCGCGCATGTGAAAATGCCTTCCCACACACACTGCACTTGAAGGGTTTCTCTCCTGTGTGTGTTCTCTGGTGTGTTGCAAGATCAGATGACTGTGAATATGCCTTCCCACACACACTGCACTTGAAGGGTTTCTCTCCCGTGTGTGTTCTCTGGTGTCTTTTAAGAGTTGATGAATCTGAAAACGCCATCTCGCACATAGTGCACTTGAAGGGTTTCTCTCCCGTGTGTTTTCTCTGGTGTCTTTGAAAAGTTGATAAATATACAAACGCCATCTCGCACATAGTGCACTTGAAGGGCATCTCTCCCGTGTGTTTTCTCTGGTGTCTATGAAAACTTGATGGATCTGCAAACGCCATTCCACACAGAGTGCACTTGAAGGGTTTCTCTCCTGTGTGTGTTCTCTGGTGTGTTGCAAGATTAGGTGAATGTGAAAATGCCTTCCCACACACTCTGCACTTGAAGGGTTTCTCTCCCGTGTGTGTTCTCTGGTGTCTTTGAAAAGTTGATAAATGTGCAAACGCCATCTCACACAGAGTACACTTGAAGGGCTTCTCTCCCGTGTGTTTTCTCTGGTGTCTTTGAAGAGTTGATGAATCTGCAAACGCCATCTCACACAGAGTGCACTTGAAGGGTTTCTCTCCCGTGTGTTTTTTCTGGTGCTGTGTCAAACTTCCAGTCCGATCCGTGCTGTATGCACGCTGGTCCCATTGTTGCCTTGCCGTACCGAGCCGCGCTGACTGCCTGTGCTCCATCAGACCAATTCTGCAGAGGAAGCGACAGCTGCAGACAGAAAATACCATCTACACGTCAGTATCGAGGCACAGAGGAATGAATATACGCATATATATGTACACAATCTTGATTTGAAGCTTTCATGACTGCAGGAATCCATACTCTTTGGTTCTTTCGGTAAAGTCACGTAGGTAGAAATAACATAAATGACGTTTCGAACGCAACACAAGCGTTCGTCTTCGGGTGAAAATCGCGAAAGCCTAGATGTCTGCTGTGATTTATTTTAATACATGCTTTTATTTAACTCACTCTGATTTCGTACGTTTGCCCACTGGCAAAGAAATGATCAGTGTATAATTTTAATGGTAAGTTTATTTGAACAGTGAGAGCCAGAATAACAACAAAATCCAGAAAAACACATGTCAAAAATGTTATAAATTGATTTGCATGTTAATGAGGGAAATAAGTATTTGACCCCCCCCCTCAATCAGAAAGATTTCTGGCTCCCAGGTGTTTTTTATACAGGTAACGAGCTGAGATTAGGAGCACACTCTTAAAGGGAGTGCTCCTAATCTCAGCTTGTTACTTGTATAAAAGACACCTGTTCACAGAAGCAAGCAATCAATCAGATTCCAAATTCTTCACCATGGCCAAGACCAAAGAGCTCTCCAAGGATGTCAGGGACAAGATTGTAAACCTACACAAGACCATCGCCAAGCAGCTTGGTGAAACAGTTGGTAACACACTATGCCGTGAAGGACTGAAATCCTGTCGTGCCCGCAAGGTCCCCCTGCTCAAGAAAGCACATAAACATGCCCGTCTGAAGTTTGCCAATGAACATCTGAATGATTCAGGGGACAACTGGGTGAAAGTGTTGTGGTCAGATGAGACCAAAATGAAGCTCTTTGGCATCAACTCTACTCGCCGTGTTTGGAGGAGGAGGAATGCTGCCTATGACCCCAAGAACACCATCCCCACCGTCAAACATGGAGGTGGAAACATTATGCTTTGGGGGTGTTTTTCTTCTAAGGGGACAGGACAACTTCACCGCATCAAATGGACGATGGACGGGGCCATGTACCGTCAAATCTTGGGTGAGAACCTACCTCCCTCAGCCAGGGCATTGAAAATTGGTCGTGGATGGGTATTCCAGCATGACAATGACCCAAAACACATGGCCAAGGCAACAAAGGAGTGGCTCAAGAAGAAGCACATTAAGGTCCTAGAGTGGCTCAGCCAGTCTCCAGACCTTCATCCCATAGAAAATCTGTGGAGGGAGCTGAAGGTTCGAGTTGCCAAACGTCAGCCTCGAAACCTTTATGACTTGGAGAAGATCTACAAAGAGGTGTGGGAAAAAATCCCTCCTGAGATGTGTGTAAATCTGGTGGCCAACTACAAGCAACGTCTGACCTCTGTGATTGCCAACAAGGGTTTTGCCACCAAGTACTAAGTCATGTTTTGCAGAGGGGTCAATTACTTATTTTTTTTCCCCTCACTATATTTTTTTTCGCTCACTATACTATATTCTATCATTAAATTAAAAATGTTTAAACAATCTTTTTTACATGTTTAGTTTCGGCTTTAGTTTAATTGTCCACGATAAACTGACGTTGGCTGTAATTGACCACGGTCACTTACGTTATGGCAAGCCCCGGGGCCACTTCCTGGAGTCGTGGAGTTCTTCCATTACTAGTACATTTCATTAAAGCGTGTTTTTAAAATAGTTTTTTAAAAAATATTACTTATTTTATTTCTATCTACGTGACTTTACCGAAAGAACCAAAGAGTATATATAAACACAGTAACACATGACTAACACGTCTATATGTATTCATATATTCATGATAGAGTTAAAAAGTTACCCAAATTCATCACACGGGCTGTTATCGCGCACTATGAGAGGGAAAATGGTCCTACACATTCCTGGAAGCCTTCGTATCTTCAAAATGAATGTTAACCCAAAACTCCAAGCACACAATTTTGGCTGTCTGGCTACGAAATTAATATTTATAAGAGCTAAATTCAGCTGACATAGCAAATGGTGTTGAAAATACTACTACTTGTGTTATGCATAAATTCATGTTCAATCGCAACTTAAGAGGTGTGAAGCCAGGCTTTCCTTGAATGCTGGGATGAACAGATCTAACGTCAGCTGCATGTGTGCTGTGTCAACTTCCTGACTGTTGCCATTATCATAAAGAGTTCCAGATGAAAACAAAAAAGAAACCATTGTTTTCATATAACCTCCGTGTTCATTAGAGTTAATAGACTTTACTGCAAACACAAACTTGACACTGCCACACACTGTCGTGTTAAACAGGTGGTGGCGTGTCCAGAACCATGCCTGGCCACACACCTTCATCTGCTCAGTATTAATGTTTCAGTTTAATTTGTTAGGTCTTAGCTTTACTTCATGGATTCGCCCGAGACTTGGATTCTTGTCTTGAAAGAATCCACGGCCTATGCGGAGGGTGGGGGGTGCGTGACGTCAGCAGACGCTGCCGCATGCGGGTGACATCACAGACGTGAGGTCACCGCTCACTTGCCGTACAAAATATATCCATTATTGCGCCCCCCCCCCCCCCCCCCAAAATGCAAAAGTCAATTTTTATACTTTTTGCATTGTGTACAATCTGGAAGCTACCCACATGCCAAATTTAAAGTTTGTTGCATGTCGGAACGTATGCTAAACATTTCGAACAGACACATTCACAAATTTCCCTTTTATATATAGATAACCCCATAAGCTATGTGGCTCTTGACTCGGGGGCAAACGCAACAAACAAAAACGTGAACAAGAAACATCTTAAAGTGACTACACGCAACAAAAAAATCCAGGAAAAAACAGCAAAAAAAACACCGCATTTCAACTCTGTATGCAGAAAATCCCAGTGGGATTGCAAGTCAACAAAAACAACCATAGGACAATTTAGATTAAAGTTATCAGGCTAACTGTGTCCTACAAAAAACAAACATGGCTAAACCAAAACGTTTTCAATGCTTCCTCACTCCAAATAATTCAGGATCAAATCAACATGGCTGAGTGTGCGTGTCTCCCTCTCTCTCCGTGGTGGCGTGGATTTTCCTCCGGATGCCGCTCCACATTTAAGAGTGAACATCAGCACGAGTTTAGAGCCTTTGACCGATAGTCATTTCCACACGTTGACAAAGCCCACCTTTGTTGTGTGGGCAGGTCGCTTCTGAAAACAAGAGCGGACGCTTGTGTTGCGCCCGAAACGTCGTGATTTATTTTATTTTCTACCTATGTGACTCTACCGAAAGAACCAAAGCGTATGGATTCCTGCACTCACGATCATAAGAGCGGTATAGCAGCTCAAGCGGGCTTGGCCTGGTTACATAAAATAAAAACCGAAAGAGTCCTCGTGTTGTAGTATTTCCTGCAGTCACGAAAGCTCCAAATCACTCATCGCCATGCTCATTTCTCTACCCCCCCCCCCTCTCTCTCAGCCCCCTTTTCTCGCTATTTAAGGTCTCAACACAGGTGTTGTTTCTGTGTGTGCCTATGTGTGTGTCTCTGTGTGTCTGTGTTATCTCTCTCTGTGTGCCTATGTCTGTCTCGCTCTGTGTGCCTATGTGTGTGTCTCTCTCTGTATGTGCTTTCTCTCTGTGTGCCTGTGTGTGTGTCTCTCTCTCTCTGTGTGTTATCTCTCTGCTTATGTGTCTCTCTCTGTGTGTCTGTGTTATCTCTCTCTGCTTGTGTGTATGTGTCTGTGTGTCTCCGTGTCTGTGTTTAGTTCTCGCTCTCAAATGTATCAATCTTTGGAAGAACGTTAATATACCAGGTGGGGAGTTGACTGTTATCTTAGCCGACTCTCTGTGTTGTATTGCATTGTAGTTATAAGTTTATTTAATTTTGTACCTACATAACTTTACCGAAAAAACCAAAGAGTATAGTTCAAGTTTACAAGCTTTGCTTTCTCATTCATTTGTACCTGATGGTGATTGCTCGTGTTGCAAAGGAAACGTCGTATGCTATTACTTAATTTATTTTTTCTTCCTACGTGACTTTACCGAAAGAACCAAAGAGTATAGTTCAAGTTTACAAGCTTTGCTTTAAATTTCGATTGCAAGCTTTGCTTTCTCATTCATTTGTACCTGATGGTGATTGCTCGTGTTGCAAAGGAAACGTCGTATGCTATTACTTATTTTTTCTTCCTACATGACTTTACCGAAAAAAACAAAGAGTATGGATTCCTGCACTCACGAAAGCTTCAAATCATAAGAGCGGTACAGCAGCTCAAGTGGGCTTGGCCTGGTTACATAAAATAAAAACCGAAAGTGTCCTCGTGTTGTAGTATTTCCTGCAGTCACGAAAGCTCCAAATCTCTCATTGCCATGCTCATTTCTCTACCCCCCCCCCTCTCTCTCAGCCCCCTTCTCTCTCTATTTAAGGCCTTGTCACAGAGGTGTTGATTATGTGTGTGCCTATGTGTGTGTCTCTGTGTCTGTGTGCCTATGTGTGTATCTCTCTGTCTCCGTGTTATCTCTCTCTGTCTCTCTCTCTCTGTGCATATGTGTCTCTCTCAGTGTGCCTATGTGTGCCTCTTCTTGGTTCTTTCGGTAAAGTCACGTAGAAGGAAAATAATAAAATAATAAAAACAAAACATAATAAAATAATTCTCACGACGTTTTGGCCACAACGCAAGCAGCCGTCCTCAGGTTCTTTTTATTACTTCCCTTCTACGTGACTTTACCGAAAGAACCAAGAAGATGAATCCCTGCAGTCACGAAAGCTTTAAATCGAAATTTACGTGTGCCTTTCTGTCTGTTTTATCTCTCTGTGTGCCTATGTGTGTATCTCTAAAAAAAATACATTTAGTTGTTTTTTCATTTTTTTATGAAAAAAAATGTGTATTAAAAAAATATTATGAAAAAACAACTAAAATAAATGAAAAAACTAAATTAAATTGGTTGTTTCTTCATTTATTTTATTTCTGCTGCCGTCACGAAACCGTCCAGATCAAGTTGAAGCGAGAGAATTCAAACAAAGGCCTTCAGGCGAGGGCAGGAGGCGAGGCCCCGCGTGGCTAGGCCCCGCGTTGTAATGTCCCAACCTGGACATGGATTCCCATTCTCGCTGCGACTCAATTGACATCCACACGAGAGAGAGAGAGGCTCGACCTTGGTAAACAACAACAACCACAACAACCACCACAACAACAACCACGATTCTAGATTTGAAGCTTTCGTGACTGCAAGGATTCATATTCTTAGGTTTTTTCGGTAAAGTCACGTAGGTAAAACATTAAAATTAATGAAAAATAAAATATTTTACTTTCATTAATTTTAATGTTTTACCTACGTGACTTTACCGAAAAAACCTAAGAATAAACCACCACGATGAAAATCTCTCACCTCAGATTTCAACGGTAGCTTCTCGTTACCTCGCGACGTTATGGCGGCAGCAGGATGTGACGTAATATTCACTTCCGGGGTACAAGACACGCCCCCAACGAGCGGTGCTGGGTAACTGAATAACTTATTCGAGAATTGAAGCTTTCGTCAACTGCAGGAATGACTCAACTCGTTGTACACTCATTGGCTCTTTCGGTAAAGTCACGCGTCGAGGGATGATGGGGCATGGGTGCTCAACCCGTCGCAATAAAAAAACAAACTCGCGACGGCTTTTATCGAATATATTACGTTAATTTTATTTTTATTTAATTTCTTTACCGAAATAACCAATGAGCAATTCCTGCAGTCACCAAAGCTTAGTTCCTAGATTATGTTAATGAGCCGCCAGTCACTGGGCGTAGCTTTGCCCAAATAAGGATTGTACCGGAACAGACATCGGCAGTGACCAAGCAGGGGTGACATGACGTCACTAGCGAGGCGCACCGCCCCCCAGGAGTTTCACGCTGATGAGGTAACGCTTAGTGGTGACGTCAGAGAACGGGGGTCAGAGTTCAAGTTTTGCGTATCGGGACCGTCCATAAATGACGTCACGCGATTTTGGCCGATTTTTGACCCCCCCCTCGTCACAAAGTCAGACCCCCCTCAAATATGACGTCACAAAGCTCTGCCCCCCAACCCCCCCCCAAAAAAACTACCTTCAAATCGCTTTAAACTATTGTCATTGTAGTGCGTATTTAATGTGGCGCTGCACTCTGATGTTGTAGGAGAGAACATTTATTAATAAGTGTAACCCGTAAAAACAAAGCTTTTCACTATAAATCCTTTATATGCGTGGCGGCTAGAGTCCTCTCGTCCTCTGGCTTGAGATGGCTGCCACCTATGGGTCAGATGATTGTCTGCCAGTATTAAGCAATTGGTAATTAAATATTTAATTTGTTTTTCCTAAACAGTGTAAAATTTTGAAAAAAATATTTCACGAACATTAATTGTCTCGCACAACGAGTCTGTGTGCAAAATGTCAGCTCGATTGGATCACGGGAAGTGGGTTAAAAAACGAGCGAAAAATTTGCACGGTCGTAAGCAAGCAAGCAAGCGCGCAAGCGAACTTAATATAAGCATAACCAGTAAAAACAAAGTTTTTCACTATAATTCCTTTATATGCGTGGCGGCTAGAGTCCTCTCGTCCTCTGGCTTGAGATGGCTGCCACCTATGGGTCAGATGATTGTCTGCCACCATTAAGCAATTGATAATTACATATTTAATTTGTTTTCCCTAAACAGTGCAAAATTTGATTTTTTTTTCACGAAAATTAATTGTCACATACAACGAGTCAGTGTGGAAAATGTCAGCTCGATTGGATAACGGGGAGTGGGTTAAAAAACGAGCTAAAGATTTGCACGGTCCTAAGCAAGCAAGCGAACTTAATATAAAGGATTTAAAAATATATTCGCCTGTGGAGGACGCGGGGATCGATCCCGCGACCTTTGGCATGGGAAGCGAGGGCGCTACCAACTGCGCTACTCCGCCACGGCCTGTGGAGGGGTTACGCTCTGGGCTCTTACACTCTGACGTTCAGCCAAAGCCATGAATGCGTTCAATTTGAATATATGTAAAATACATTTTTTTGCCTAAAAAGTGTAAAATTTTGGGAATTTTTTTCCACGAACAATAATTGTCTGGCACAACGAGTCTGTGTGGAAAATGTCAGCTCGATTGGATCACGGGAAGTGGGTTAAAAAACGACCGAAAAATTTGCACGGTCCTAAGCAAGCAAGCAAGCACGCGAACTTAATATAAAGGATTTAAAAAGGAGGCTTTGGAAAGGGCCTGTCCATAAATGACGTCACGCACCTATGGGGGGGGGTCAGACATTTGTGACGATGTGTGACGAGGGAGGGGTGGGGGTTGAGAAATGTGACATGACATCAAAATGCGCAACTTTAAATAAATATAGACAACACGTTATACTTATGATAATTGTTTTTAACCCTTCTGTAATGCGGGCGTGGACGACCTTCCGGAGGTGACGTCATGGGGGGAGGAGTTACGTCACGTGGGGAGAGAGTGCAGGTCTATAAGGGGAGAAACCGGAAGCAGTAGGGAGTGATCGGAGACTGGGAAAGTGTGAGGCCACGCAGGGCGGAGTGGGGAAGAGAGAGAGTGGCGAGATCGCCACACACACACACACCCCGAGGATCGGCACCGTCAGCCAACGGTGACCGACCCCGGGGCTGGAGGAGCAGCGAGGAGACTGCAGAGAGAGCAGCGGGTCTGCAAGGGTGGAGTTCGGCAGCGGGGGTCTGCGCGACGAGACAGCAGCGGGTCTGCAAGGAGGGAAGTGGGCTATGTGAGCGACAGCAGCCTGGGGCTGCAGAGCGAAGAGTATATAGGGGAGTGCTGTGAAGTGGGCTACGTGAGCGATAGCTGCCTGGGGCTGCAGAGCGAAGAGTAAAGGGGAGTGCCGTGAGGGAAAAGAGATCGAACCCAAATAAAGGACACAGGACAGAGAGAAGCGTCCGAGTCTTTTATTACACTTCTATCTGGCAACAAAACTGACCTTTTTACAAGGAGTCATGTTTGCATAGACCACAATACCTGCAGTCATAATGAAAACAAAAATATAACTCTGATAATGTGCACTGTCCTTGAAGTTGATTGGTCCACACCCGAGACAGCTTTCCTTGGTTTTTTAACCTTCTATCTGGCAACAAGAAGGGTAAAACCAATTATCATATTTTACTGGCAAATGAGGTTCCAATGGTGTAAATGCTTACCCCGAGCTCTCATACTCTGATGGTGCATTGTCTTTGAGTTGTGCACCTTTTGGCGTCATCTGGTCCAACCCATGTGAGACTAGGCTCAAAGGAAAGCTGTGACGCGGGTGGGAAGGTCAAAAATCGTCCAAAATCGCGTGACGTCATTTATGGACGGCCCCCATAACCAGTGGCGATTTTTTTTAACCAGTCCTGAGCCGCCCCTACATCGACTCAGCCTCAAATGCGTACCCGGTGCGGTGTGCGAACATCGCCACCTGCTAACAGCACTTGCCCCAATAGTCTGTGAAGGCTATACGGGGGGGGGGTCTTTGTATGTACACACACACGTGGCCGATTACACAGATTAAAGGTCTCGACACACGTTGCAGTGAAAGTTCACAAATTCACGTGTCTGGTTTATTGTTTGGTTACAATTATTCAAAACTCGTAAATTACACGGCGTTTCAGAAGGGTGGACAGCATCTGCTTTGAAATTGGGTGTTATGTCATTTCTGTAAGATTCCAATCATTTTCGATTTAAAGCTTTCGTGACTGCAGGGATTCATCTTCTTGGTTCTTTCGGTAAAGTCACATAGAAGGGAAATAATAAAATAATAAAAATTAAACACTATAAAATAAAATTCTCACGTTTCGGCCACAACGCAAGCAGCCGTCCCCTCAGGTGACAGACCTGCTTGCGTTGTGGCCGAAACGTCGTGAGAATTATTTTATTTTTATTATTTCCCTTCTACGTGACTTTACCGAAAGGACCAAGAAGATGATCGCAATCATTTTTAAATCCTTTATATTAAGTTCACTTGCTTGCTTGCGCGCTTACGGCCGTGCAAATCTTTCGGTCGTTTTTTAACCCACTTCCCGTGATCCAATCGAGCTGACATTTTGCATATAATCTTAATTTTGGAGCTTTCGTGACTGCAGGAATTATTCTTTGGTTCTTTCGGTTAAGTCACGTCTAAAGATAAAACAATAAATTAAAATAATAGACGTGACTTAACCGAAAGAACCAAAGAATATTTTGCACAGACTCGTTGTGCGTGACAATTTATTTTCGTGAAATTTTTTTCCCAAAATTTTCCACTTTTTAGGAAAAAAAAATGTCACTAACACAATCATATATTTTTCCTAAACATAGAAAATTTTTCAAAAAAAGAACAAAAATGTACAATATAAACAATCATACAAAAACTGAAAACCTTATAATGCTTATATACGACTTTCCTTATATTTAATTTGAAATACCAATGTGATAAAAATGAAACTCTTACTCAAGAAAAACAGAAATGAATAATAAAATGAAACCGATGCCACGCATATAAAGGATTTATAGTGAAAAACTTTGTTTTTACAGGTTAATTTTTTACACGTTTCTATTTAACTCACTTCGTCTGTTGTATCCTCAAAAACAAAATCTTGTAACTCAAATTTTACACACTTCCCAATGTGCTATGAACTGCAAACTTGGTATAGCGAGCTGAGTCAAACTGATGACAACACGATATTATATCATTAAAAAAATCCAAAACATATATTTTTTACATTTTACACGCTTTTATTTAACTTACTGTATGTGTTGTATCCAAAAATCTTTTAACTCAATTTCAACCGTATTCCCAATGTATCGAATGCAAACGTCGTATAGGTATGTCATACTGATGACAATACTATATTCTATCATTAAAAAACAAATATTTTTAAACAATCTTTTTAACGGCTCGAATTGTCCCCGCTCAACTGACGTTGCCTGTAAATCACCACGGTCCCTTACGTCACGGCAAGCCTCGGGGAGATACGCCCAGGGGCGGGGCATGTGGAAGGAGGGGAGTTGCGATGGGGGAAGGGGGCAGCTCGGACAGTACATTTCATTAAACAGAGCCAGATGAAGGCTCCAATAGGGTTCAGTGTGAATCACTGAGGCTCCTGGTGAGATATCTACCCTACTAACAGACCCTGCAGGTTGAACCTAATATTTGTGACAAAGGTGCATCTATTGGGAGCGACATCGTCAAGCTTACACATCTACCGGGTCTCCATTTGACTTTGTATTGTCTAGGAAGTCCACCCACACCTCCACTTCCACAAACTGCTGTGAGTTGCCTCCCTCTACATCACAGTCAGAATTCCCCTCCTGCTTCACGTTGCCTCCATCGATGTGAAGGTCCCATTTTGGAGTCAAATCTTCATCTTCACATTTTACCTTCACTTCTTCGCTCTTCACCGTCACCTCTTCACATTTCACAATCACTTCTTCAAATTCTGCCTTGATACCTTTAAAAGTGCCCAAGCTGGGATTTTCTTCCGGTACTTGTTTCATGAGGGATGGGCTCCTTACGGCACTTTGACTTTCACAAGCTGATTTCAGACTCCACTCCTTGTGGATTTTCTGATGCGTCTGTGTTCTCTGGTGTTCTTTAAGACCTTGTGACCGTGCAAACGCCTTCCCGCACAGAGTGCACTTGAAGGGTTTCTCTCCTGTGTGTGTTATCTGGTGTATTCGACAATTTGATGGACGTGCAAACGCCATTCCACACACACTGCACTTGAAGGGTTTCACTCCTGTGTGTGTTCTCTGGTGTTTTGTAAGATAAGATGACTGTGAAAATGCCTTCCCACACACACTGCACTTGAAGGGTTTCTCTCCTGTGTGTGTTCTCTGGTGTTGTGCAAGATGTTGCGTAAGATTTTGTGACTGTGAAAATGCCTTCCCACACACACTGCACTTGAAGGGTTTCTCTCCTGTGTGTGTTCTCTGGTGTTTTGTAAGATCAGATGAATGTGAAAATGCCTTCCCACACACACTGCACTTCAAGGGTTTCTCTCCCGTGTGTTTTTTCTGGTGCTGTGTCAAACTTCCAGTCCGAACCGTGATGTATGCACGCTGGTCCCATTGTTGCCTTGCCGTACCGAGCCGCGCTGACTGCCTGTGTTCCATCAGACCAATTCTGCAGAGGAAGCGTCAGAGCAAGCGACAGCTGCAGACAGAAAATGGGAAAATGTCAAAACTGGGTGGTTTTTAACTTTTGCCGACAAAACTGGATCCCAAATGTCAAAACTGGGTGCACCCTGGGTGGCCAAAAACTTGAGTTTTGGACACTCAGGGTGCACCCAGTTTTGACATTTGTCAAATACACTTGATAATTGTATACTAGCACAGTGTGCCAGCACCCCATTCATCCAAACACTTGGTATTTGTATACTGGCACACTGTGCCAGCACCCCATTCATCTAAACACTTGGTATTAGTATGCTGGCAGTGTGCCAGCACCATATAACTACACACACTTGATATTTGTACGCTGGCACAGTGTGCCAGCACCCCAACAACCAACATTTCAAGCTACGGCTCGGACTCGGAAGTGAGTTTGGGGCGGGCTTGCGACCAGGCGGGCGCACTGCCACCTTGCGTGATGACCTAGACTAGTGACTCGCGTCAATACCAAACTTTTGGATTGTTGGTTGATGCTACGCGCTACTGTACACCCTTAAATTTGCCATGCATTCGACCATAGCCCGCCAAACGACCAAGCACAGAGACAAAGGCGACGTCCTTGGGAGATGGACCAGCCTGCTTGACGCTCCTGACCATGGTCCCAATGGTGCGGAACCAACCAACGAATGCGCATCTCGTTGATTGGTCAATCCTTTGGCCCACCGTTACGGTGATTGGCGGAAATATTGTGTGAAAAATCAAATTGCTGGCAATGAAAATAGACATTGTCTCGTGAAAAATTGAAAGTAGACGTAGAAACGTGATTTTTCACAAGCATTTTTCACGAAACAGGTGGAGGAACGGCTCACATTCGAATGGCAACCCTCCACCCCAAGAAGACTTTTACCACGCGCCGCGAGGCCATCCACGGCATCCAAGACTTTGCTTTGCAACAAGGCAAGCGCGCGGTCCTTGACCTCAAGCGAAGCGGCGGACGGCACGTTGCCATCGTCTGCTCTAGTTCAACACCTTGTTCCTTCAAGGTGAAGCTGACGAAGCTCACGGGGGAACGACGCGGCTTCCGCGTCTCGGCGCTGTGCACGGATCACCACGGCTGCACGGGCACTACCAAGATCACGCAGCGCCAAGTGGAGGCGAACACGACAGCCCGTTCGGCCTTTCGCGCCAACCCCCGTACCTCCGCACCGACTGTCATTGCCCAGGTCGCCGACGTTGCTCGCGTCATTGTCCCGACCCGGATGATGTACCGCGCCAAGGACACGTGCATCGCGGCGAACGAGAGTGCGGCCCATGCAGGCTTCGAGTTCATCAACTCGCTGGTGGAGACGTTCGGCAAGCTCAAAGCGACGACCTGCAGTGTGCGAGAAGACGCGGGCATCTTCTGGGGTGCGTTCATCTGCAACCCGATCGCACGCTCGTTGCAGCCAAGTCTTCAACGCGTCGTCGGCATCGACGGGTCGCACATGAAGGCGCGCGCCTACAACGGAACCATGCTCGTCCTCGTTGGGCGCGACGGCAACAACCGCAACGTCCTTCTCGCCGTGGCGCTGGTGCCGTCCGAGACGGCAGCGGCCTACGACTGGTTTCTCAACTGCTGCACGACCAACGACATCGAGCTCGACGGCACGCCGGTCTTCTGCGATCGTGGCACGGGCATCCTAGCCTCCGACTGGAAGGACCTCATGCTCATCCACTGCACGCGGCATTTGATCTGCAACGGCGTGGACAACATCGGCTCCGCGTTCACGCCTGACCTCCAAGGCATCATCTACAATGCCCAAGGGTGCGCCTCCGAGGCCGCGTTCCGCAGCTCCTTGGGCTGCTTGGGCGTAGCTCTGCCTGCGGCGGCCACGTACTACAACAAGATCGACCCCCACACGTGGGCGCTCTACCCGCACCTGCACACGACGCCATTGTACGGCTGGCGCACGACGAACTTTGTGGAGTCCACGAACAGCGAGGCCCTGCCGGCTCGCGAGATGGACCCCTTCCACTTCCTCATGCACCACATGGAAGACATGATGACGACGGCCTTTGCCCACCGCAGCGACGCCGAGAAGTGGGCCGCTCAAGGGCGTGTCATTACGCCGTACGCTCAAGGACTCATCGACGCTCAGCAGGCGTTGGCCCCGAGGTACAAGATCTACGAGAGTACCTCGACGCGTGCATACGTCAAGAATCCAGACGCCTACGCCTCTGCCAAGCGCCGAGTCGATCTCAGCTCTCGGTCGTGCACGTGCGGGTACATGAAGCAGATGGGCTTGCCGTGTCGGCACTACATTCGTGCCCTCATGGCGTTTGGGCGGATGCCCGAGCTCTACGACGCATGTGCGGTGTGTTACCAAGTCTCTGCCATCAACACGACATGGACCTCGGTTGCCGGTATCGAGCTGCCCATTGCCGAGGAGCTGCAACGCGACAACACCATGATGCCACCTCCTCGCCAGAAGAAGGCTGGCCGCCTGAAGAAGCGTCGGATTCGCAACCGTGGCGAAGGTGGCCCATTGGGCCTCACGCGGTGCTCCTTCTGTCGCGCCAAGGGCCACAACAAGTGCTCTTGCCCGTCGAAGTAGTTATATATATGTAACAAACATGTTTTGTTCTAAGTGTGCAGCACCATACTTCTCGACGCAAACACTATCTACCGTTGTTCTACTGTAGTAGGTGTAGCATGCAAGCTGGCACACTGTACCAGTATACAAATGGCAAGTTCGTGTATGTTCGCGAGCTGAAAGTGTTACTGTAGTTGCAAGCTGGCACACTGTGCCAGTATACATATGGCAAGTAAGTGTTACTGTAGTAGCGAGCTGGCACACTGTGCCAGTATACAAACGGCAAGTAAGCGAGCTGGCACACTGTGCCAGTATGCAAACGGGAAGTTTGTGGTGCAAGGTATGGAACATGAGCCACGAGAAACATCATTTGGAATGCTCTAAATCTGTGGCGACATATGGATGAATAACGCAAGGACCTAAACGTGTACAAAATGATACATTAAATCGTACACCTTCACCCAGTTTTGACATTTGTCCACATTGAACATCACCCAGTTTTGTCATATCAAAAAGCACCACCCTGTTTTGCCTGTCGTTTTCCAAGACCACCCAGTTTTGACATTTGGGATCCAGTTTTGTCGGCAAAAGTTAAAAACCACCCAGTTTTGACATTTTCCCGACAGAAAATACCATCTACACGTCAGTATTGAGGCACAGAGGAATGAATATACGCATATATATGTACACAATCTTAATTTGAAGCTTTCATGACTGCAAGAATCCATACTCTATGTGGTTCTTTCGGTAAAGTCACGTAGGTAAAAATAACATAAATGACGTTTCGAACACAACACAAGCATTCGTCTTGGGGTGAAAATCGCGATAGCTGAGATGTTCTTGCGTGATTTATTTTAATACACGCTTTCATTTAACTCACTCTGTCTGTTGTTGTTGTCATTGTTGTCGTTGTTGTATCCTCAAATCTTGTAACTCCATTTTAACCCACTTCCCAATGTGGTATCGACTGCAAACTTGGTATACTTATGCCATACTGATGCCAATACTATATTATATCATTAAATAAAAACATTTTAAACAATCTTTTGTACATGTTATGTTTTGGCTTGGGTCTAATTGTCCACGGTAAACTGGCATTGGCTGTAACTGACCACGGTCGCTTGTGTTACGACAAGCCTCGGGGCCACTTCCTGGAGTCGTGGAGTTTTTCCATTACTAGTACATTTTATAAAAGCGTGTTTTAAATTTTTTTTTAAATATTACTTCTTTTATTTCTACCTACGTGACTTTACCGAAAGAACCAAAGAGTATATATAAACACAGTCACACATGAATAACACGTCTATACGCATTCATATATTCATGACAGAGTTAAAAAGTTTCCCAAATTCATCACACGGGCTGTTATGGCGCACTATGAGAGGGCAAATGGTCATAAACATTCCTGGAAGCCGTCGTATCTTCAAAATGAATGTTAACCCAAAACTCCAAGCACACAATTTCGGCTGTCTGGCTGCAAAATGAATATTCATGAGAGCTAAATTCAGCTGACATAGCAAAGGGTGTTGAAAATAATACTACTTGTGTTATGCATGAATTCATGTTAAATCGCAACTTAGAGGTGTGAAGCCAGGCTCAGATTTCCTTGAATGCTGGGATGAACAGATCTAACGTCAGCTGCATGTGTGCTGTGTCAACTTCCTGACTGCTTCCATTCTCATAGAGTTCCAGATAAAAACAAAAAACATAAACCATTGTTTTCATATAACCTCCGTTTTCAATATAATTAATAGACTTTACTGCAAACACAAACTTGACACTGCCGTGTTAAACAGGTGGTGGCGTGTCCAGAACCATGCCTGGCCCCACACCTTCATCTGCTCAGTATTAATATTTCAGTTTCATTTATTTATTTCAGTTTCATTTATTAGATACTAGCTTTACTACCTGGCTTCGCCCGAGACTTGGACTCTTGTCTTGAATGAATCCACGGCCTACGCGGAGGATGGGGGGTGGGGGATGCGTAACGTCAGGATCCACACTACGTGACGCTGCCGCATGCGGGTGACATAACAGACGTGAGGTCACCGCTCACTTGCCGTGCAAAATATATCCATTATTGCGCCCCCCCAGAAAAATGCAAAAGTCCATTTTTATACTTTTTGCATTGTGTACAGTCTGGAAGGTACCCACATGCCAAATTTTAAGTTTGTTGCGTGTCGGAAAGTATGCTAAACATTTCGAACAGATACACATTCACAAATTTCCCTTTTATATAAAGATAACCCCGTGAGCCATGCGGCTCTTGACTCGGGGGCAAACGCAACAAACAAAAACGTGAACAAGAAAAATCTTAAAGTGACTACACGCAACAGAAAAATCCAGGATAAAAAACTGCAGAAAAAACACCGCATTTCAACGCTGTATGCAGAAAATCCCAGTGGGATGCAAGTCAACAAAAACAGCCATAGGACAATTTAGATTAAAGTTATCAGGCTAACAGTGTACTACAAAAAACAAACATGGCTAAACCAAGTTTTCAATGCTTCCTCACTCCACCAAATAATTCAGGATCAAATCAACATGGCTGAGTTTGCGTGTCTCCCTCTCTCTGTGGTGGCGTGGATTTTCCTCCAGATCGCCCTCCACATTTAAGAGTGAATATGAGCACGCGTTTAGAGCCTTTGACCGATATTCATTTCCACACGTTGACAAAGCCCACCTTTGTTGTGTGGGCAGGTCGCTTCTAAAAACAAGAACGGACGCTTGTGTTGCGCCCGAAACGTCGTGATTTATTTTATTTTCTACCTACGTGACTCTACCGAAAGAACCAAAGAGTATGGATTCCTGCACTCACGAAAGCTTCAAATCATAAGAGCGGTACAGCAACTCAAGTAGGCTTGGCCTGGTTACATAAAATAAAAACTTAAAGTGTCCTCGTGTTGTAGTATTTCCTGCAGTCACGAAAGCTCCAAATCTCTCATTGCCATGCTCATTTCTTTCCCCCCCCCCCCCCCTCTGCCTCAGCCCCCTTCTCTCTCTATTTAAGGCCTTAACACAGGTGTTGTTTCTGTGTGTGCCTATGTGTGTCTCTGTGTCTGTGTTATTTCTCTCCGTGTGCCTGTGTGTCTGTGTCTCTCTGTGTCTGTGTTATCTCTCTCTGTGTGCCTATGTGTGTGTCTCTGTGTGCCTATGTGTATGTCTCTCTCTGTGTGCCTCTGTGTATCTCTCTCTCCGTGTGCCTATGTGTGTGTGTCTATGTGTGTCTCTCTCTGTCTCTTTGTTATCTCTGTGTGCCTATGTGTGTCTCTCTCTCTCTCATTGTGTCTCTCTCTGTGTGCCTATGTGTGTGTCTGTCTTCGTGTTATCTCTCTCTGTGTACCTATCTGTGTGTGTGTCTCTCTGTGCGTCTTTGTGGTGTCTCTCTCTGTGTGTGTCTCTCTCTCTGTGTGCCTATGTGTCTCGCTGTGTGCCTATGTGTGTGTCTCTGTCTGTGTTATCTCTCTGTGTGCCTGTATGTGCTTTCTCTCTGTGTGCATGTGTGTGTGTCTCTCTCTCTCTGTGTGTTATCTCTCTGCTTATGTGTCTCTCTCTGTGTGTCTGTGTTATCTCTCTCTGCTTGTGTGTATGTGTCTGTGTGTCTCCGTGTCTGTGTTGAGTTCTCTCTCTCAAATTTAGCAATCTTTGGAAGAACGTTAATAAACCAGGTGGGGAGTTGACTTATCTTATCCGACTCTCTGTGTTGTATTGCATTGTAGTTCTAAGTTTATTTAATTTTATACCTACGTAACTTTACCGAAAGAACCAAAGAGTATAGTTCAAGTTTACAAGCTTTGCTTTCTCATTCATTTGTACCCGATGGTGATTGCTCGTGTTGCAAAGGAAACGTCGTATGCTATTACTTAATTAATGTTTTCTTTCTACGTGACTTTACCGAAAGAACCAAATAGTATGGATCCCTGCACTCACGAAGCTCCAGACCAAGTTTAAACGAGATAATTCTTTGTTTTTTTCGGTAAAGTCACGTAGGTAGAACTAAAATATGAAAAAAACAACTCAATTAAATTGGTTGTTTCTTCATTTATTGTATTTCTCCTGCCCTCACGAAAGCTTCCAGATCAAGTTGAAGCGAGAGAATTCAAGCAAAGGCCTTCAGGCGAGGGCAGGAGGCGAGGCCCCGCGTTGCTAGGCCCCACGTTGCATGGATTCCCATACTCGCTGCGACTCAATTGATATCCCTACGAGAGCGAGGCTCTACCTTGGTAAACAACAACAACCACAACAACCACAACAACCACCACAACCACCACCACCACCACGATGAAAATCTCTCACCTCGGATTTCATCGGCAGCTTCTCGTTACCTCGCTACGTTATGGCGGCAGCAGGATGTGACGTAATATTCACTTCCGGGGTACAAGACACGGCCCCAACGAGCGGGGCTGGGTAACTGAATAACTTATTCGAGAATTGAAGCTTTCGTCAACTGCAGGAATGACTCAACTCGTTGTACACTCATTGGCTCTTTCGGTAAAGTCACGCGTCGAGGGATGATGGGGCGTGGGTGCTGAACCCGTCGCAATAAAAAACAAACTCGCGACGGCTTTTAACGAATATATTATGTTAATTTTATTTAATTTCTTTACCGAAATAACCAATGAGCAATTCCTGCAGTCACCAAAGCTTAGATCCTAGATTATGTTAATGAGCCGCCAGTCACTGGGCGTAGCTTTGCCCAAATAAGGATTGTACGGGTCAGACATCGACGGTGACCAAGCAGGGGTGACATGACGTCACTAGCGAGGCGCACCGCCCCCCTTGGTGTTTCACACCGATGAGGTAATGCTTAGTGGTGACGTCAGAGAACGGGGGTCAGAGTTCCAGTTTTGCGTATTGGGGCCGTTCATAAATGACGTCACGTTATTTTGGCCGAATTTTGACCCCCCTCACCCCCTCGTCACACAGCGTCACATAAAGTCAGACCCCCCTCAAATATGACGTCACAAAGCTCTGCCCCCCAACCCCCCCCCAAAAAAACTACCTTCAAATCGCTTTAAACTATTGTCATTGTAGTGCGTATTTAATGTGGCGCTGCACTCTGATGTTGTAGGAGAGAACATTTATTAAAAAGGAGGCTTTGGAAAGAGCCTGTCCATAAATGACGTCACGCACCTATTGGGGGGGGGGGGGGTCAGACATTTGTGACGATGTGTGACGAGGGGGGGTGGGGGTTGAGAAATGTGACATGACATCAAAATGCGCAACTTTAAATAAATATAGACAACACGTTTTACTTATAATTGTTTTTTACCCTTCTATCTGGCAACAAAACTGACACCTTTTACAAGGAGTCATGTTTGCATAGACCGCAATACCTGCAGTCATAATACAAACAAAAGAACATAACTCTGATAATGTGCACTGTCCTTGAAGTTGATTGGTCCACACCCGAGACAGCTTTCCTTGGTTTTTTAACCTTCTATCTGGCAACAAGAAGGGTAAAAACAATTATCATATTTTTACTGGCAAATGAGGTTCCAATGGTGTAAATGCTTACCCCGAGCTCTCATACTCTGATGGTGCATTGTCTTTGAGTTGTGCGCCTTTTGGCGTCATCTGGTCCAACCCATGTGAGACGAGGCTCAAAGGAAAGATGTCTCGGGTGTGGACCAATCAACTTCAAGGACAGTGCATACATTATCAGAGTTATGTTTTTTGTTTGCATTATGACTGCAGGTATTGTGGTCTATGCAAACATGACTCCTTGTAAAAAGGTGTCAGTTTTGTTGCCAGATAGAAGGGTAAAAAAACAATTATCGTATTTTTACTGGCAAATGAGGTTCCAATGACGTTCTACTTAATTAAAGACTTTTCAATAAAAGTTTTCTCCTACACATCAGAGTGCAGCGTCACATTAAATACGCACTACAATGACGATAGTTTAAAACGATTTGAAGCATGTTTTATATTATTGGGGAAGGGGGGGGGCAGAGTTGTGTGACGTAATATTTGAGGAGTGTTTGACTTTCAGTGACGCCGTGTGACGAGGGTGGGGGGGTCAAAAATCGTCCAAAATCGCGTTGTCATTTATGGACGGCCCCCATGACCAGTGGATTTTTTTTTGCGGTCCTGAACCGCCCCTACATCGACTCAGCCTCAAATGCGTACCCGGTGCAGTGTGCGAACATCGCCACCCGCTAACAGCACTTGCCCCAATAGTCTGTGAAGGCTATACCGGGGGGATCTTTGTAAGTACACACACACGTGACCGATTACACAGGTTAAAGGTCTCTACACAAGTTGCGGTGAAAGTTCACAAATTCACGTGTCTGGTTTATTGTGTTTGGTTACAATTATTCAAAACTCGTAAATTACAGGGCGTTTCAGAAGGGTGGACCGCATCTGCTTTGAAATTGGGTGTTATGTCATTTCTGTACGATTCCAATAATTTTCGATTTAAAGCTTTCGTGACTGCAGGGATTCATCTTCTTGGTTCTTTCGGTGAAGTCACGTAGAAGGGAAATAATAAAAAATAAAACATAAAAAAATTCTCACGTTTCGGCCACAATGCAAGCAGCCATCCTCAGGTGACAGACCTGCTTGCGTTGTGGCCGAAACGTCGTAATAATTATTATTTTATTTTTATTTATTTCCCTTCTACGTGACTTTACCGAAAGAACCAAGAAGATGATCCCAATCATTTTTACACGCTTCTATTTAACTCACTTTGTCTGTTGTATCCTCAAAGACGAAATCTTGTAACTCAAATTTTACACTTTCCAATGTGCTATCGACTGCAATCTTGGTATAGCGATGTCATACTGATGACAACACGATGTTATATCATAACAAAATCCTAAACATATATATTTCAACATTTTACACGCTTTTATTTAACTTATTGTATGTGTTGTATCTATAAATTTTGTAAATCAATTTCAACCGTATTCCCAATATCGTATCGAATGCAAACTTCGTATAGGTGTGGTCATACTGATGACAATACTATATTCTATCATTAAAAATAAAAAAATAATTTAAACAATCTTTTTTACGTCTAATTGTCCACGCTCAACTGACGTTGCCTGTAAATCACCACGGTCCCTTACGTCACAGCAAGCATCGAGGAGCCACGCCCAGGGGCGGGGCATGTGGAAGGAGGGGAGGGGCGATGAGGGAAGGTGGCTGGAGGAGAGGCAGCTTCGATAGTACATGTCATTAAAGCGTGTTTTTAAAAAAAGTATTTTAAAATATTTTATATTAACTCAGTGTCTGTTGTTGTATCATCAAATATTGTAACTCAATTTTAACCCACTTCCCAATGTGGTATCGACTGCAGACTTGGTATACTTATGTCATACTGATGACAATACTATATTCTATCATACAATATAAAAAAACATTTAAACATTATTTTTCATATGTTATGTTTCGGCTTGGGTCTAATTGTCCACGGTCAACTGACTTTGGCTGTAATTCGCCATGGTTCCTTACGCTATGGCAAGAATCAGGGCCATTTCCTGGAGACGTGGAGTTCTGCCAATACAAATAAAACATGCTTCAAATTGCTTTAAACTATTGTCATTGTAGTGCGTATTTAATGTGGCGCTGCACTGATGTTGTAGGAGAAAACTTTTATTAAAAAGTCGATTTAATTCAGTAGAACGTGTTGTCTATATTATTTAAAGTTGCGCATGTTGATGTGACGTCATATTTCTCAACCCCCACACCCCCTCGTCACACATCGTCACAAATGTCTGACCCCCCCAGGTGCATGACGTCATTTATGGACGGCCCCTTTCCAACGATTTCATAAAAGCGTGTTTTAAAAAAAAAAATTCTTAATTACTTATTTATAGTCAAAATCGCCAAATTTGCGGAGCTTCGCTGCAAGTACAGGGAGAGACGAGAGGTGAGGCAGCGACGCACTCAGCCTCCTCTCCGATTGCGCAACCCCTCAGACACTGGATGGAACGCGGCGAGTAAGGGCGTGCGTGTTACTATCTCAGCATGTCACCAATGGAATGTTTGTAGACCCGTTCATTCCATGTCCTCGCCTTCCATAGTCCGGGTAACTTAGTTCAAGTACAGTAGAACCTCTGGTCACGACCCTAATTCGTTCCATAACTTTGGTCTCAACCCGATTTGGTCGTGACTCGAACATAATTTCCCCATTGGATTGTATGTAAATACGATTAATCCGTTCCAGACTCCTACTAACTGTATATACATATTTTTTAAAAGATTTTTAAGTACAAAAATAATTAACTATGCCATAGAATTCAGTGTAATAATAAACTAAATGTAAAAACATTGCATAACACTGAGAAATCCTTGAACAGAGAAAACTAACATTGCCGCGACAAGGCTTAAAATCGTTCAACAAGATTACTGTTTCGTCTGCTACATCAGTCGGTTCGATTCTGAGAGAGAGAATATTCGTATGAGCAATTCATGTTCTATTGAAAGTAATTTAACAGTAATATTTGGGTACAGTAATGTTTTTGGAAGCATTCACCGTAATATCGTATGAACGTTTACTTCACCGCATCATCGTATGAATGATGCGAGAAGAGATTAACAGGTTCTTATGTTAGCGATTTACGTACTCGGCGCTTTCGCTCTCTAAATTATGGCTTGAATGAGAGGGGAGGGGTATGGCTACACTCACACAATTTATATCTTCCTAGGAATCTTATATAGCAAAAGTTATATACATAACTGTTACGCTTTGTGTAATTCAACAACAAAAATGGCGCGGAAGGGGAAATCGGCCCGCGGCAGGGTTTGATCGCCACCTGAGTATGTGTTCGTGACCAGATTAAAAAATGTTTTAAATGTTTTGGTCGGAACCCAATTTGGTCGTGGTCAGAAGCGTTCGTGACCACAGTTCTTCTGTATGTGTATAAAGATACGTAGGCTCGCTGGTCTCGTTATGAAACTGCAATGAAAAGCACCAGGGGAGGCAGCTATCACATCTGCCTCACTAAAGGGGGCGTGTCAGACACGCCCCCCCTTGGTGAGGCCACGCCCCCCGGTGCCCCCCCTCTCACTGACCTCACCGCATGTCACTGGCTCCCATCCATTGGGTTCAGTGTTAATTACCGAGGCTCACAAAGCCAGACTCAGGCTCCCATAGGCTTCAGTGTCAATCACTGAGCCTCACAGGGCCAGACTCAGGCTCCCATAGGCTTCAGTGTTAATCACTGAGGCTCACAGAGCCAGACATATGCTCCCATAGGGTCCAGTGTTAATAACTGAAGCTCACAGAGCCAGAATAAGGCTCCCATAGGGTTCGTGTTAATCACCGAGGCTCACAGAGCCAGACTAAGGCTCCCCCCATAGGCTTCAGTGTGAATCACTGAGGCTCACAGAGCCAGACAAAGGCTCTCAAAGGGTTCAGTGTGAATCACCGAGGCTCCTGGTGAGATATCTACCCAACCCACGGATCCACCAAGACTGGCCGCTCTTACCCTGCAGGTTGAACCTAGGATTTCAATGTTCTACTTCACATTATTTTCATTAAAGGCCTGTGACAAAGGTGCATCTACTGGGAGCGACATCATCTCAAGCTTACACATCTACCGGGTCTCCATTTGACTTTGTATTGTCTAGGAAGTCCACCCACACCTCCACTTCCACAAACTGCTGTGAGTTGCCTCGCTCTGCCTCACAGTCAGAATTACCCTCCTGCTTCACGTTGCCTCCATCGATGTGAAGGTCCCATTCTGGAGTCGAATTTTCATCTTCACATTTTACCTTCACTTCTTCGCTCTTCACCGTCACCTCTTCACATTTCACAATCACCTCTTCAAATTCCGCCTTGATACCTTTAAAAGTGCCCAAGCTGGGATTTTCTTCCGGTACTTGTTTCATAAAGGGTTTGTCTCCTGTGTGTCTTACAAGATCAGTTACCTGTGAAAATGCCTTCCCACACATACTGCACTTGAAGGGTTTCTCTCTTGTGTGTGTTCTATGGTGTTTTGCAATATATCGCGCATGTGAAAATGCCTTCCCACACACACTGCACTTGAAGGGTTTCTCTCCTGTGTGTGTTCTCTGGTGTGTTGCAAGATCAGATGACTGTGAATATGCCTTCCCACACACACTGCACTTGAAGGGTTTCTCTCCCGTGTGTTTCTCTGGTGTCTTTAAGAGTTGATGAATCTGAAAACGCCATCTCGCACATAGTGCACTTGAAGGGTTTCTCTCCCGTGTGTTTTCTCTGGTGTCTTTGAAAAGTTGATAAATATACAAACGCCATCTCGCACATAGTGCACTTGAAGGGCATCTCTCCCGTGTGTTTTTCTCTGGTGTCTATGAAAACTTGATGGATCTGCAAACGCCATTCCACACAGAGGTGCACTTGAAGGGTTTTCTCTCCTGTGTGTGTTCTCTGGTGTGTTGCAAGATTAGGTGAATGTGAAAATGCCTTCCCACACACTCTGCACTTGAAGGGTTTCTCTCCCGTGTGTGTTCTCTGGTGTCTTTGAAAAGTTGATAAATGTGCAAACGCCATCTCACACAGAGTACACTTGAAGGGCTTCTCTCCCGTGTGTTTTCTCTGGTGTCTTTGAAGAGTTGATGAATCTGCAAACGCCATCTCACACAGAGTGCACTTGAAGGGTTTCTCTCCCGTGTGTTTTTTTCTGGTGCTGTGTCAAACTTCCAGTCCGATCCGTGCTGTATGCACGCTGGTCCCATTGTTGCCTTGCCGTACCGAGCCGCGCTGACTGCCTGTGCTCCATCAGACCAATTCTGCAGAGGAAGCGACAGCTGCAGACAGAAAATACCATCTACACGTCAGTATCGAGGCACAGAGGAATGAATATACGCATATATATGTACACAATCTTGATTTGAAGCTTTCATGACTGCAGGAATCCATACTCTTTGGTTCTTTCGGTAAAGTCACGTAGGTAGAAATAACATAAATGACGTTTTCGAACGCAACACAAGCGTTCGTCTTCGGGTGAAAATCGCGAAAGCCTAGATGTCTGCTGTGATTTATTTTAATACATGCTTTTATTTAACTCACTCTGATTTTGTACGTTTGCCCACTGGCAAAGAAATGATCAGTGTATAATTTTAATGGTAAGTTTATTTGAACAGTGAGAGCCAGAATAACAACAAAATCCAGAAAAACACATGTCAAAAATGTTATAAATTGATTGCATGTTAATGAGGGAAATAAGTATTTGACCCCCCCCTCAATCAGAAAGATTTCTGGCTCCCAGGTGTTTTTTATACAGGTAACGAGCTGAGATTAGGAGCACACTCTTAAAGGGAGTGCTCCTAATCTCAGCTTGTTACTTGTATAAAAGACACCTGTTCACAGAAGCAAGCAATCAATCAGATTCCAAATTCTTCACCATGGCCAAGACCAAAGAGCTCTCCAAGGATGTCAGGGACAGATTGTAAACCTACCAGACCATCGCCAAGCAGCTTGGTGACACAGTTTGTACACACTATGCCGTGAAGGACTGAAATCCTGTCGTGCCCGCAAGGTCCCCCTGCTCAAGAAAGCACATAAACATGCCCGTCTGAAGTTTGCCAATGAACATCTGAATGATTCAGGGGACAACTGGGTGAAAGTGTTGTGGTCAGATGAGACCAAAATGAAGCTCTTGGCATCAACTCTACTCGCCGTGTTGGAGGAGGAGGAATGCTGCTATGACCCCAAGAACACCATCCCCACCGTCAAACATGGAGGTGGAACATTATGCTTTGGGGGTGTTTTTCTTCTAAGGGGACAGGACAACTTCACCGCATCAAATGGACGATGGACCGGGGCCATGTACCGTCAAATCTTGGGTGAGAACCTACCTCCCTCAGCCAGGGCATTGAAAATTGGTCGTGGATGGGTATTCCAGCATGACAATGACCCAAAACACATGGCCAGGCAACAAAGGAGTGGCTCAAGAAGAAGCACATTAAGGTCCTAGAGTGGCTCAGCCAGTCCTCCAGACCTTCATCCCATAGAAATCTGTGGAGGGAGCTGAAGGTTCGAGTTGCCAAACGTCAGCCTCGAAACCTTTATGACTTGGAGAAGATCTACAAAGAGGTGTGGGAAAAAATCCCTCCTGAGATGTGTGTAAATCTGGTGGCCAACTACAAGCAACGTCTGACCTCTGTGATTGCCAACAAGGGTTGTGCCACCAAGTACTAAGTCATGTTTGCAGAGGGGTCAATTACTTATTTTTTTTCCCCTCACTATATTTTTTTTCGCTCACTATACTATATTCTATCATTAAATTAAAAAATGTTTAAAACAATCTTTTTTACATGTTTAGTTTCGGCTTTAGTTTAATTGTCCACGATAAACTGACGTTGGCTGTAATTGACCACGGTCACTTACGTTATGGCAAGCCCCGGGGCCACTTCCTGGAGTCGTGGAGTTCTTCCATTACTAGTACATTTCATTAAAGCGTGTTTTTAAAATAGTTTTTTAAAAAATATTACTTATTTTATTTCTATCTACGTGACTTTACCGAAAGAACCAAAGAGTATATATAAACACAGTAACACATGACTAACACGTCTATATGTATTCATATATTCATGATAGAGTTAAAAAGTTACCCAAATTCATCACACGGCTGTTATCGCGCACTATGAGAGGGAAAATGGTCCTACACATTCCTGGAAGCCTTCGTATCTTCAAAATGAATGTTAACCCAAAACTCCAAGCACACAATTTTGGCTGTCTGGCTACGAAAATTAATATTTATAAGAGCTAAATTCAGCTGACATAGCAAATGGTGTTGAAAATACTACTACTTGTGTATGCATAATTCATGTTCAATCGCAACTTAAGAGGTGTGAAGCCAGGCTTTCCTTGATTGCTGGGATGAACAGATCTAACGTCAGCTGCAGGTGTGCTGTGTCACCTTCCTGACTGTTGCCATTATCATAAAAGAGTTCCAGATGAAAACAAAAAAGAAACCATTGTTTCATATAACCTCCGTGTTCATTAGAGTTAATAGACTTTACTGCAAACACAAACTTGACACTGCCACACACTGTCGTGTTAAACAGGTGGTGGCGTGCCAGAACCATGCCTGGCCACACACCTTCATCTGCTCAGTATTAATGTTTCAGTTTAATTTGTTAGGTCTTAGCTTTACTTCATGGATTCGCCCGAGACTTGGATTCTTGTCTTGAAAGAATCCACGGCCTATGCGGAGGGTGGGGGGGTGCGTGACGTCAGCAGACGCTGCCGCATGCGGGTGACATCACAGACGTGAGGTCACCGCTCACTTGCCGTACAAAATATATCCATTATTGCGCCCCCCCCCCCCCCCCCAAAATGCAAAAGTCAATTTTTATACTTTTTGCATTGTGTACAATCTGGAAGCTACCCACATGCCAAATTTAAAGTTTGTTGCATGTCGGAACGTATGCTAACATTTCGAACAGACACATTCACAAATTTCCCTTTTATATATAGATAACCCCATAAGCTATGTGGCTCTTGACTCGGGGGGCAAACGCAACAAACAAAAACGTGAACAAGAAACATCTTAAAGTGACTACACGCAACAAAAAAAAATCCAGGAAAAAACAGCAAAAAAAACACCCGCATTTCAACTCTGTATGCAGAAAATCCCAGTGGATTGCAAGTCAACAAAAACAACCATAGGACAATTTAGATTAAAGTTATCAGGCTAACTGTGTCCTACAAAAAACAAACATGGCTAAACCAAAACGTTTTCATGCTTCCTCACTCCAAATAATTCAGGATCAAATCAACATGGCTGAGTGTGCGTGTCTCCCTCGTCTCTCCGTGGTGGCGTGGATTTTCCTCCGGATGCCGCTCCACATTTAAGAGTGAACATCAGCACGAGTTTAGAGCCTTTGACCGATAGTCATTTCCACACGTTGACAAAGCCCACCTTTGTTGTGTGGGCAGGTCGCTTCTGAAAACAAGAGCGGACGCTTGTGTTGCGCCCGAAACGTCGTGATTTATTTTATTTTCTACCTATGTGACTCTACCGAAAGAACCAAAGCGTATGGATTCCTGCACTCACGATCATAAGAGCGGTATAGCAGCTCAAGCGGGCTTGGCCTGGTTACATAAAATAAAAACCGAAAGAGTCCTCGTGTTGTAGTATTTCCTGCAGTCACGAAAGCTCCAAATCACTCATCGCCATGCTCATTTCTCTACCCCCCCCCCCTCTCTCTCAGCCCCCTTTTCTCGCTATTTAAGGTCTCAACACAGGTGTTGTTTCTGTGTGTGCCTATGTGTGTGTCTCTGTGTGTCTGTGTTATCTCTCTCTGTGTGCCTATGTCTGTCTCGCTCTGTGTGCCTATGTGTGTCTCTCTCTGTATGTGCTTTCTCTCTGTGTGCCTGTGTGTGTGTCTCTCTCTCTCGTGTGTTATCTCTCTGCTTATGTGTCTCTCTCTGTGTGTCTGTGTTATCTCTCTCTGCTTGTGTATGTGTCTGTGTGTCTCCGTGTCTGTGTTTAGTTCTCGCTCTCAAATGTATCAATCTTTGGAAGAACGTTAATATACCAGGTGGGGAGTTGACTGTTATCTTAGCCGACTCTCTGTGTTGTATTGCATTGTAGTTATAAGTTTATTTAATTTTGTACCTACATAACTTTACCGAAAAAACCAAAGAGTATAGTTCAAGTTTACAAGCTTTGCTTTCTCATTCATTTGTACCTGATGGTGATTGCTCGTGTTGCAAAGGAAACGTCGTATGCTATTACTTAATTTATTTTTTCTTCCTACGTGACTTTACCGAAAGAACCAAAGAGTATAGTTCAAGTTTACAAGCTTTGCTTTAAATTTCGATTGCAAGCTTTGCTTTCTCATTCATTTGTAC